CTAAATGATTGTATTTATATAGTGTTTACTTGAATCGTATACATATGTATAGTGTAGTACAGTACAGATCAAATGCACTCTTGAGTGCATGATTTAATTTTGTAGTGCAAAAATCAAACTTCGGACATCGTTTAAATTTACAAGCAAATCAACCATGTGCTTGGTTTGGTTATGGAAATGCAGTATCTTTAAATATAAATTTCCATTTGGAATTGTTACATGGCCCATTCAGTATGAGTATTTATGTCCACACCTTTAGTGACGCTTTCGAAGTGCATGATAATGTAATTAATTCCATATATAGAGTAATTTTCGTAACCGTTTGCTAGAAGCCAAGCCAAACGTATTCCGCTATGAACCTAAATATATAGCATTAATTGAAAACTACAAAAAAACAAGAAGTGAATCGGGTCAAAGTCAGGCTGTGTTATTGTCCGACCTGCAAAGTGCGGTGAAATTGCAGAAATCATCGCTCGAAATAACGCAAATTAACTCGCTTACAAAACGGAAATAACAGCACGTAGTTCGAAATGGATTTCATGGTCAAGTTGCGCAGCTACCGAAGACGTTTCGATACCTCATGGATACGTTCGACGGCTCGCCGGAACTCCGCAGATTTCCCATTCCCATTCCAATCTCGGCATCTCGCGGAGCTTGTTACACCGATGATGTTTCCCACACCCCGACCGAAGGTGCGTCGGTATGTGTGGCTTTGTGGACGCATCTGATTAGCAGCGGATAGCGCTGATTGCATGAACAAACGATGGTGATCCATACCCATAACTGCCTCCTGCCTCCCACATGACTGACTGACTTGTCGTAGATGTGGAAAACGGACCGAGCAAATTTATTCGACATTTTTTATTTATGAATGAGTGGGGCACACGAACGTCTGCCAGTGTGCGAGTGTGTGGACACCACGGGAGAGTCGATGGAGGTCGATGGAAACACCTGCCCAACCTCTTTTGGCGGCAAAAAAATAATGCGGGCACTTAATATATTATTTAAAGCAAAAAAGGATAAGCTGAATAAAAGGGTGTTGAGTGTGGTAGTCTCCCGCAATATTTTCCAGAAGTAGTCTATTGGTTCCAGTGTAAATAAGTACATAACAAATAATACAGCCAATACTTTGATATCTCTTACTTTTAATAATTTCCTTAAAATTGAAGACTCTGTTCCTAAGATTCTTTTCTTGCCAAGAATCATGTACTCATTAGTGCAAATGATCTAATGATTATCGGGACTATATTGGTTCGAACCGCTCCCTACCCTCTGTATAAACATATATAGCTTTTCATGAATACAATACGCCCTTATACTCATCGAGTACCGGATATAAAAATAATGTAAACATTCAAGTATGAGTATTTTTAAGTGCGTGTGCTTCTCCCAGTGCAAAGTGATCCAGGGCAGTAGTAGTAAGTTTGAAATCTCGGGACTGCGTCGTTGTAAAATGTTTGGCATTCCAAGCATCACAAAAAAGCCAAATAAAGGCATCCCGCGATCACTTGGTCTGATCGCCCGGAGCACTGTAATGGGTAATGTGGAAACGAAAGCGCAAGTGGATGACGGACCACGCCCGCCTCTGCTCCCAAGGCAGCCCTCCGCTCGGAAACCTATTTGTTTCGTTGGTCTTCGATGGGAAGGCCAAACACAACTACACCTGCCCAACTGGCCTGGCTGGGTTGCTTGATGAAAGTTTCACTCTCGACAGCGGGCTCTGTGTTAATGATAATGATATTTAAATGCAAAATTCCGGATCGCTTACCGATGTCACTACTGCCGCAAGGTGCTTGCCTTTCCCGGACTATTGGGTCTGCTGCGCTTCTGCTTTTTTAGCATTCTAGGGCGCGGTGAAACCATTGAGAGTTCAACTTACATAACACCCGACCGACCAGGTGAGTTTGCCAAAAATACATAAAACCCGTCTGGATTATGGTAAAGACAATGAAAGTAAAATACTTAAGCAAAGCACATAAATACATACGGATATGTATGTGCATACATATCTACAAGGGCAGAGAGAAATGAAGAGAAGAAACGACGACAAACGAAAGAGAAAAGAAACGAGACAAGTCCCCAAAATGGCCAGATTAATGTGCGAAATATATGAATTCCGTCAAAGTCAAATGAAAATGAATCAACTCTGAAATTCAGTTTATTCGAAAGCAAGTATAATGCTCTATAGCACTGTTACGGTTGCTCATCATTATTAATTATAAATAAGAAAAAAAGAAAATCAATCAATATTTAGATTAAAAGCTTTATAAAATATATTCGAAACTTTATGATGATTTACCAAATTCGAAATGCGAATGTCTAATCATATTCAGAATTGATTACTTCTGAGGGGAAATTTACATAATTTAATTTGTAACGTTATTGAAAATAACAACTTAAACCGGAAAAATTCAGTGGAATTTACTATATTTAATGGTTACTACTTTAGAAAAGCATTAACTTATTCTACGTTTTAATATGTATATTTCTGTCAATCACTTCAAGCATATTTTTTTATTAATATTTAATATAAATTGTTTCATTTCCTTTAAAAGTTCTGACGGAAAATCAGCCGAATTGGCTTCACTGCCCAGAATTGGCAGCTAAGCATCACTGCGCAGCTAACGGCATCCTATGTTCTTTATTCCTCAGCAACAGGTGGGCCGGACTGAGGCTGTTTTCTCGATTCTGATGCTGCCTGTTGTCACCGTTGCGGCTCCATTCAAATGTTTGTGATCAAACAAATGACTGGCACCTGCGACGGCATGGATCTCGGCTGGGCCCATGGGAACATCAAATATGGTACAATGACCGGCAGGCCGACCAAACGAGAACCTCAGTGGCCCGGTGAGCGGTCGAAATCAATGTTCTTTTCGATGGTAGGGCAGGCAAACCGGTTAAAGAACTTTAAGCATAATGACAGTGCCGAGAAGTGCTTATTAAGCATGCGCTGCTAAAACATATATTAGCGATATATGTGTATACATATGCCCGAGAACACGCATCGGATCGATCCGCAGCCATCCGAAATTCGCTTGGACTTTGGACGCACACCGTTTGCAGGCATCGCGGAATGAAATTTCTATGCGGTCCGATAAATTCGCTTGCGAAAGAGTGTGAGTGCTCCCATGCAAACATATGTAGTAGGTATATATGGCCAGATGTTGCCATATCTTATTGCTCTTCTTCTCTTGCTCAGTGGCGGGGCCTCTTAAGAGAACTGCGGGCCGAGTAACGAACTTGAACCCTCCAAAGTAAAGTGATGCCTATTTAATCATCATCGAATCAAAAACACTGGGCCCCGATTAATAGGTTCGAATTTACCAATTTGATGATAGATTCGAATAGGTTCCAATTTACTTATTGCTAAATTGAGTAAATTAAGCCGGTTAAGGTCTCCTAGATTGAATTTGGAGCTTCTAAATCAGTACATTATAAATTAAATTAATCGATTAAAACGATTTTGTTTTTAACTCAGTTCCGCTATCGAAAGTGGATCTAAAACCAGTACTTATAGTTAATGGCTCTTAAAAATTTAATACCTATTAGGATAACTTAAATACCAAAGATCTAAGACAAACTAATTTCCATTTATAAATATTTAATATTTTCTGTAGTCTTAGAGGATCACGTTCTTCATCAGATTAAGTCGGAATATTCATAAGAACTATGAAGACGAGTTTTCCAGGTTTCCCTACTTTTTGTCACGACCTTTATGGTCGTGACATTATTGTGCTATTATTGATGCAAATCTAGAAGACTTATTCTTATCTTTACGGCGAAACAATGTCGCGTACACTCGACCTATGGAAAGGTCTCCAGATGCAACTACGACGAAGACGACTGTAATGGCTCTATCAGAGAGGCCGTTAATTGTTTGCCCTGCAAATGTTCTATGGCTGGTTAATAACCATCTGTTGACTTTGCTTTTAGACAGAGTGACGATCGCAAAGGCTAACAATTATTTATACACACCCTGGGGCCAAGGTGCAAGTGATCAATTAGCATGTTACAACAGCATTTGCGCATGCGATTCGCCTGGGTGAAAGCCATTGACTCGGCCCGGGCCGAAGTGCATGCATCCAGGTTCTGGGTGTTTTGTCACCACTGGCCCAGCATAAATTGATGTCACGACACATATTTTGATCGCAGGTTGGACATCGGACAGGTATTTGGCGCATTAGCTTGCTGACCCTACAGAAACCTGCAAAAATGCGAATGCAACAGCGTTTTTCGACGCTTCCGCATTGGCCGGACAGGTGAAACTTTCTTGATTGAGTGACATTGGCGACATCGCTGCACTCCAAATACACCCAAACTGCAGAAGGGAAACAAAACAAAAATTGCTTCGAAATGCCACAGGTGATGTTGGCTTGGGTATTTTCCCGCTAGACCTGAATGATTTCCAAAACGAAAGGATAAGCACCTAGTTTTATGCTAATTTTTACTATGGAGCCCGTAACTCAAACCTTGATGCCTTATTATTTAAACTCATTTAAAGTGTTGCACCTTGTTGCACCCAATTGTAACGGTAGAATATTCATTTGCTAGAATATTAATAGTTCTATAAAAAAATTTAATTAGTCCATTTATGCATAACCCACAAGATGCATTTATAGCGCATGCCTACTTTTAATTAACTTTGATTAAATCAATGTCGCAGACTGTTAGCTGACAACTGCACCCGCATCAACATGTGGTTAATGTTATTCGTTTCGAAGGCGACATCGATCCCTCTCGGAAGTGCAACGCCGTCCCTGGGCTAGCGCTCTCCCACTCGCACCGCTGGACACGTGTGCGCTCTCCCGCTCTTACCGCTCTCTTAGTTGGCTGTTGCTTCCGCGCCCGCTTCTCTTGGGCACCGCCTGCAACTGGGCGCGGCGGGAACAGGAGACAGCAACCGCCACTTTTTTTAATTAAACCACCGCGAACTGTGATGACTAATCCCGTGTCCATTTCGGGGCCCGGAAAATGCCTCTGGCACGGCACAGAGTACTCACCGCAGGCAGGTGATGATGATCCCGAGACCGGCACCAGAAATGCAGCCAATCCAAACCGATATTATCCGAATAATTTGATCGGCAAGAATTTCGAGCTCTGGCCGCGCACACACACACTCGCACGCGTACGCACTGGCGGAAGAGAACTGCGGAACTGACGACGCGCGCTTTTGAGAACTACACGACTAGTTGTGGGGCTTTGGGGCTCCTGCTCCCGTTCCGATACTCAAATTCATACCGACGCTACGCTTCTTTCTCTTTCTATCTCGCCCTCTCTCATACACGCACTCGCTGAAGAGAACTGCGAACTAGCGATTAGTGTTGCCAGATGAAAACTTGGCTCTCCCCCTAAAAAATCGCAAATAGTTGAATTTTCTACCTAAAAAATCCAGTACTATCGATAGCTTTGAGCAATCGAGTGTTGTTCGATTGCCTGAAGAAGTGAATTCCCATCACTATAGCATTTACCAAAAACAGCTGTTCGCCCATTACGCAAAAGTTTATTTTATTCATTTTGTTTATTAAAAATGTCGCTTTTGGGCGCTTTTGCTAGGTGAGTGTTCGCACCCAATCCTAGATAACACTCTCGGTAATCCACCACCAACGTTTTCTGTCACAGATTAGGATTACAGAGGTGCGGAGGAGCCGCCGGTGCCGCTGTCGCACGCTGCCTCCACACGACTCCGGTTCTCTGCGCTGAACCCCTTAAGAAAAAAAAGAAATTGGATCCACAGATCGTCAAACAGAGGGAGGACCGGAAGAAAAAGAAGATCGAGAAGCAGATCCGCAGGCTGGAGAAGAATGCACGCCAGCTGAAGCCTGTGGAGGAGCTGGAGGTGCCACTGGAGCTTATTGACGAGAAAGAGTGAGTTTGAATGGAGAGCATGATCAATGGACAATTTATATATAATACTTTGCTTCAGAAAACGGCAAAGGAAGCTTACGCCCCTGGGAAGCGCTGAGCTGGAAGAGCGAGCACTGCTAAAGAAGCAGTGGGCGCACTATAAGCACGACGAGCGGGTGGCGGACTTCCAGATCGTCGACCGCTTGATTCAGGCACAGAACAAGGCATTGGCCGAACTGCGCCGCGAGTCTGAGGAGCTGTATCAGGCTGCCATTGAAGTGGATCCCCAGCTACTGCCCGTCGCCGTTAAGGGGCCTGTGGCCACTCCCCCCATCAAGAACTATGCCAGTCCAGATGGCGACTACCTGCACCAGTCCATGAAGTGGGAGGTGAAGTGAGCTGCACGTGTGGATTCCCCGACATGTTTTCTGAAAAGTTTGCAGGTGCCTGAGGTCAAAGATTTCAAATAAACAGAACACCTAATTAATTTGTTGCGCCTTGCCCTTATCACCAACAGCGTCAGCTATATAAACCGATTTAATCAAAGTCTGACTTAGTAGTGTGTTCAGTGCACAGTCACGATGCAGCTGATGTCCGGGATTCTCTTGTGTTTGGCTTTGGTGGCTTGCCTCTGGCTTGGAACGTAAATATTTCTCCCTTCTGCGGTCAAGCAAGAATTTACAAAAGTGATAAAATCATAGGGCGTTGCCCAGGAACGGCATTTCAAAAACCCTGGGTCCGCTGAGGGGTCCTTGCTCCGATGGTCAGCAGTGCGAATCTGGAGACTGCAGCTGTGGCCAGTGCATGGGCTGCGTGAATGATGTGTGCTTTATGGAACTATGCCCCTATCTGCCTAGAAATCGCGAGCAGAGATGGGATATTTCCCCCAGAACTGCGAATATCCCCTAGATTGTCAGCTGTACTTGCCATTTAAATGCGTTTTGCGTCGCCTTTATTGTTATCAGTGTAGAACGAGAATATGACGGGCGAGAAATCCTGCCAAGCCCTTTCGGATATCTGTCGAAATAAATAATACGCGAAAAAGTTGCACTGCTGTCTGCTGTTTGATGTGGGGATGGGATTCTTAAGCAAAGTCTTAGGACGACGGACTGTTGGCGTTGGTCTTGGCATCGGCCTGTCGCTTTTTCACACCCCAGTTGTACACACGCGCCATGTTTACCTCCGTCGTGGTAATTTGATCCCTGAAATAAAGCATTTCCTTGAACCATACGGTTTTCATGAGTGCAATGATCCACACTGACCTGAGAAAGTCCTGGTCATGCTCCACGGACTTGAGATTGCCCACGGCCGATGTGATGTTCTGCTTGAGCAGCGCCTCCGCCTCGTCCAGTGGATACTCCAGCATTACGCTGGCACCCAGCCAGAGGTAAACTGTTTTCGTTGGCGGCACCAGCGTCTTGATGAACACCTGGTCACTTAGCAGAAACTGCGTCTCGCGCTCCTCGTCCTCCTTGCGCAGAACATTCACCATCTCCAGCGAACGCTCCAAGTCGGGGATCTGCGACTTTAGCTTACGTCTCCTCGCCTCCAGGTTGTAGGCCATGAATCGGTACTTGCCGTGCTGCTCGTCCAAGCGCTGCAGAACCTTCTCACAATTCTCGTTCTCTGGCTGCAGCATGAACGAGTCAATCTCCTCCTGGAAGCACCAAATGGTCGTGGATTAGTGGGCAGTTCCCAGGTGCAGGTGCAGGCAGCACGATTGCTAGGTTAGGATTTGACCACTCACCAGGAAGACGGCCTCCGGGATGCCGGCGAAGGTCTTCTGGTTTTCTGGCAATTTGGGCATTTCCACCGTGTCCATGATGCCAGTCATTCTGATCCTTTTATTCGTATTGTCTACAAATCCAATTTAATTTCCAGGAGGTCAGCCTGCCGCTGTAAAAGTCGATGGGTGAGTCAAAACTGATGACTTATCGATTGTCAGCCGAGGAGGCTGTATCGATAAGCGGTCGAGAAACAAATAAATAAATTCTAAAGTAAATACAAATGTATTAAAATTATAAACAAATTAAATTCACGTTGGTATCAATTAAACTTGGCAAAATTAAAATAAATTTATCAGATTTTTAAGCGATTGCGATTATTTTATGAAAATTATTAACGTTGTTCCATCTCTAGCCCGAGTCGATACCTGGCGCGTCGATTAATGCCGCTTGTGAAATTCTGGCAAACTAAAAAGAACAGCAAAATGAGCACCTGGAATCCCGAGAACGATGTGGACCTGCTTTCCGGCTCCGAGGACGAGGAGGATGTGGCCATGAAGCGGGACTACCACGGCCGGGAGGCCCTTCTATTCGTAGTTGACGCGAACCTGCTTGCGAGTGGCGTGGAGCGCTTGATGGAGGCTCTGAACATTATCCGAACCGCCTTTGTTTCTGGGATGTTGGTGAACGACAAGGATTTGATTGGTTTGCTATTCGCCAACACAAAGAATAGTCCGCCGCCGCTGGAAACCTCCGCCTTGGACAACATCGTAGTCCCCGATAACTGCGCAGTCTTCCTTCCACTCCGGCAGCTAACTAAAGCCATTGTGGAGCACTACCTGGAGTTTATGGGTGGAGCCGAGACCTTGTTTGCCAAGGAGTATGGCCTGGCTGAGCCGGATGGCTGCGGAAGATTCGATTTGATGATCCGCCTGTGCATCGAACTGCTGGAGAAGTGCGGCAAGAAACTAAACAACGCCAAGATCGTTTACATGACGGATGTGAATACGCCGCACCCGCCGTCCAGCAATGCATTCCAGGCGGCTTTGCAGAAGGCCAGTGATCTTGAGGGCAAGGAGATCGAGTTTCATGTCATTCCCATGGTGGATGACTTTGACTATGAGCCGTTCTACAAGGAGTTTATAACTCTATCAAGAGGTAAGATGAGACATAAAAAAAGTTAATTACTTCCCAAGTTCGAAGTCTGTTCCCCTCGTTGGTGTTCAAGTCTCGCCGGAGAGGTTTTAAGACTTCGCAGATCAAACATGAGCAATCATTCACCCGCGTCCAAGTGAAGTCCAATTAGCTTGTGGTTTTGGATTGGCTTACATGCAACTTATGTCTTTATTTACATTAAATTATTACATAAAATCTGGTCTGATTAACGTTTCGTTTTTTTGCAGCCATCGAACTCGACGCCTTTCAGGTACCGGATGCCCAGGTTCTTCGCGAGATCCTTGCGGATCGCAAGTTAAAGCAGGACTTTTTACGCCGCTGCTTGGGCCACTTCACCTTCAACCTGGGGCCCAATCTGTCCATGTCCGTGCAGTACTACAACTACTTCCAGCGACGCGCCTACCCTCATAAGGTGCAGATCCTGCGTCGGGACAACAGCGTGGTGCAGAGCAAGCGGCTGATCATGGTTCGCGAGCTCGAAAAGGAGTCGGAGGAGATCAAGCACGAGTACCAAATCAAGTCGACGGGTGGTTGGTATGAGTGCAACGTGGGTGAGAAGAATCTCCGCATCAGCATGGAGCAGGTTAATCGGATGCGCAACCTGCACAAGCCGCAGATGATGCTGTTGGGCTTCAAGCATCGCTCCTCTATGCCGGAAGTCACCTACAGCAAACCCTCTAATTTCATGTACCCCGATGACCAAAGTATCATTGGCTCAAAGCGCCTTTTTCGCGCGTTGTGGGAACGGTGTCTGGCACGCGAGAAGATTGCCATCTGCCTGTTCATGTGCAAGCGCAAGTCTATTCCTCGCTATGTGGCCCTGGTGCCCGTAGAGGCCCCGGAGAAGGGAGAGGAGAAGAACTATCGCTCGCTGTTGTGCGGGGATGGATTCAAGATTGTCTACCTGCCGGAGGCAAAGCACATTCGGCATATCGACATGTGTGACTGGAACAAACCAGATAACGCAGCCAGCGACGCGGGCGTCGAGTTCTTCCAGAAGATCATCAAAAAACTGCGAGTAGACTATCATCCCAATCTGATCAACGATCCTACTCTGGACGCCCTGCAGGCTAATCTGCTGGCCCTGTCACTGGATTTCACAACTGACAGCAAGGGAATGGACAATCTGCTGGACACCACGCATCAGGACAAGCGCATCGAAAAGTTTCTGCCCGACTACGACGAGATCTTTGCCCCCGACGTGGAGCCTGCCAAGAAGCGAACGGCAAAGACTGCCACTGAAGGTGCCAGCGCTTCAAAGATGCCCAAGATCGACATGGACCAGATCAAGAGCTTAGATTTTGTGCTGGGTCTAATCGAGGAGCAGCGCTTGTCTAGCTGCACATCTGTCCAACTCGAGTTCATCTTAAAGGAGCACTTTAATTTTGTGCTGAACAAGTCAGCCACCAAGGCAAAGTTACTGGAAAAGATCCAGGAATTGACTCCCAAAGGGGCCAGCTAGTTTAGGGAACTGAGTTGCCTATTCCGCAGCATAAAGTGATAAGATGTAAAAGAAAGCGCTGAATTATATTTAAGTTTGAATTATTAAGTATAATGTATCAAATAAACATATTAACCAAGTTGTTTAATTTCTCAAACATTCTGAAAATTGATTAAAAATAAATAAAAACCAATATTGAGAACACAGCTGGAAATATTCGCCTTTTAATGCTGATCAAGAATATATATGATTTATGGGAAATGAGTCTTTCAATGCAATGCAAACTCCTGACTGCAAGGGTATTTTTATTTATATTTTTTACGAGCCTCCACAAAGTATGCTATGAAACCTTTTGAAATTCCTTTTCATTACTATCGAAACATCGATATAATTACAGGCAAAGTTAATCGCCGTTCGCAGTCCCATCTCTAATCACATGTCCGCTGTTGCCGCGCCGGTTTGTGTTTCGCGAATTTAAGCATTGCGAATTAACATTAACTGATTATGTCGTTGCAATTCCAAAACGACTGCGGGGACTCCGTCAAGCTGGCCATCATCGAGGAGCTGCAGAACCTCCTCAGCTCGGACACGGGTGTCCTGCATCAGGCTGAGAAGCGCACCAAGCAGTTGGAGTACACCGAAGGTGCGTTTGGCATGCTTTCTGATTTGGCGGGCAGCCAGCGCTCGGCTTGGCTTGGGTGCGGCACCCCGAACGAATAGATTCGTCTAACCCCAAATCCTGTTTGCAGGCTATGGCGTCTACCTGTCCGAGATCATCATGAACCAGGCGCACGAGCTACCGCTGCGCCAGATAGCGATCATCATGCTCACCCGCTACGTGGAGAGCCACTGGACAGATGAGCGTGACGCTAGCGACGGTGCCTCCAACGGCTGCCTGGCCAGTGAGCAGGCAAAGCGCACCATCCGCAACATCCTTCCCAACGGACTGTACGATCCGAACTCCAAAATCCGATCCTCCGTGGCGCACACCATTTCCACAATTGCGGCCACTGATTACCCGCACGGCTGGGCGGAGCTTTTCCACATTATTGTCAAGTGCCTGGGCGGAAACGAGGACTCCATACACGGGGCCATGCAGGTCCTGCAAGACTTCACCTACGATGTGGCTCAGATTAAAGAGCTGGGGCCCGTGGTTATACCCGAGGTGTATCGCATCTTTGACTCGGAGCAGAATTACTCGATCAAAACACGCGTCTCGGCCATCCGCATCCTGAAGCCTCTCTTCACCTCGATCGCAGCTCTGATCACCGACAAGGAGGAGCAGAGCACGATGATGAGCTCTATTTTGACCAATTTCATGGACAAGCTGATGCACTACCTGAGCATGAACAGCGGCTCCGGCTCGAATTTCCTGCTTCGGTCCGAGATTATCAAAGGTGAGTGTTTCTGTGATTTCGGAGGAAGTGTGTGTAACCCGAAACGTGCCTTTCCATGTCCACAGTGTTTACCCATTTGGTCACCGAAATGCCCAAGTACATCCACCCGTTCATGGATCGCGTTCTGCCCATCATCTGGCAGCTGCTCACCCAAATAGCGGAGACATATGTGAAGGTGTCTGTCAACCAAACGGAAACGAATCCCCTGGATAGCGGCGACAGCGAGGATGACGATGAGCAGACAAACTTCCAGACGCTGATCATCCAGATCCTAGAGTTCATCAACTGCATCGTAACCTGTAGCAAGCTGCGCGGCAGCATTAAGAACGTGCTGGCAGACCTCATCTACATCACCATCGTGTACATCCAGCTGAGCGAGGAACAGCTGGAGGACTGGGAGGATGATCCCGAGAAGTTTGTGGACGACGAGGACGATGGCGGCGTGGAGCTCACTGTGCGGATGTGTGGTCGCGATGTTTTACTGGTGAGTGGGGAGGAAGCTCCCTATTCTGAATCCTCCTTATGACCACATTATTATTTTCTAGGCCATAAATGACGAGTTCGGGGTCAAGGCCATTCAGCCGCTGCAGGAGGCCTTGGGCAGACACTTCACCGTGGCCGAGGCGGAGAAGGCGGCGAACAACCCGAACTGGTGGAAAATCCAAGAGGCCTGCATGGACGCGGTGCATGGTTTTCGCGACATCATCCTCGAGGGCGACTCCAAGTTCGACCTGCTCAACTATTTGACCATCGTTCGCAACCTGCTAGTCCACCAGGAATCGCCGCACCTGGTTGGACGCGCTCTCTGGACGCTGAGCACCTACTCCAAGTCGGACCTATATAATCCCCAGATGCTGGTCGAGATCCTCGACGTCACGCTCTGCAGTCTCTCTCCGGAGAAGTCGCACATTCTAAGGATCAGTGCCGTGCGCGCTCTCCACGGATTCCTGCAGGCGAATGAGACGAGCGAGGGCGAGAAGCGCACTCTGCTGGTGTCCAAGCTTCCGGGATTTCTGGATGGGATCATGGCCCTTGTGCCAGGTTGCAAGGCCACGGTTTTGGCGCTGCTAATGGAAGCCCTGACTATTATGGTCAAGGTACGTAAGGATAACCCATCTTTAGACATTTTTTCTCATCTTGAATCAACATTTAGTTTGATGCTGAGTTCGCCTTTGCCGGCCAGGGCAAGATCACGCCACTGGCCATCGCCGTATTCCTAAAGTACGCCGAGGATCCGTACGTGTTGGAGAACGTCCAGGACTTGATTAGAGCACTGTGCCAGCGCAAGGAGTGCCTCGGATCGCTGCAAGAGAAGTTCATTCCCACGATCGTGAGCATTCTCGCGCTAACGGGCGAGGCCAGCACCGAAAAGCAGGACATTGCCCTGGACGTGTTGAATACGATAGTCCGCTACACGGAGCCACCGCTTAGCAACACCTTGTTGGAGACGGCATTCCCCGCCATGATCAACTGCATCCTTCACACCGACGATCATGCCGTTATGGTGGCCGGCGGAGAGTGCCTCCGCAGCTTCATCAACGTCTCGCCGCAGCAAATCTGCAGCTACAAGAATGGCGAGGGGATCAACTGCATCATGCAGGTGGTTGCCACCGTCCTGCTGAACCCGATGAACAGCGAGATGACGGCTGGCGGGCAGATCGGGCGTCTGGTTATCACGATCATCACCAAGCTGGGCAGCATGCTCGGCCAGAACGTGGACATGCTGCTGAAGGCTGTGATTAGCAAAATGCAGAACCTCGAGTGCCTGAAGGTGGTCATGAATCTAGTTGTGATCTTTGCTCACCTCTTTCTCACCCAAATGGACGCGGTGCTCAATTTTCTGTCGACTGTTCCCGGTCCGAATGGCGAGCCGGCAATGCAGTTTGTGCTCACCAACTGGCTATCGCGGCAGAACTCCTTCTTCGGCATCTACGAACGAAAGGTAAAAGATTCCATCTGCTTTTTAGGGTAATTATTCTCTGACAAATATGTGTTTTTGCTGCCTTTTAGGTAACCACAATGGCTCTTTGCAAGCTCTTTGAGTACGGTGTGGCCACACAGGACAACCGCTTGACTACCATCACCTTCAAGGAGCTCGTGGACGACGCCAGCGATACTCGCCGACGTACCCGCTCTGTGGCGGCTTCCACTCAGAAATGGGTGACCATTCCGGCACTTGTAAAAATCTTCAAAGTGCTTATCTCCGAGTACCAGCACTTCCAAGAGAGCAAACTGGACGAACCGCTGACGGATAGCGATGAGGATGAGGACGATGATGGACCTGGCAATACCTCAAAGCCTCGTTACGTTTCTGACCTGTGCTTCGAGGGAGATGAGAATAATGCCGAGGACGAGCAGCTACTGCAGGAGCTCCTCAAGGAGACCAACTACCAGGGCGACATTGCCGAGAATCTGCAAAAGTTCCTCACTACCTTCACGCAGAACGAGCACTTCCCAACCTTTTTTGAACACCTTACCGAGCCCGAGCGCTGCGTCTTGCTCACCAAGGTGCAGCAGAAGTAGCCCACCGCGGGGACCATCACATCAGCAGCAGCAGGATCAGCTTTGTTATCATGTCTCACAGTGTGGATTTGTGTTAACCATATTTATATATATTGTTGCTAACCCTTGAATAAAATAAATATTTTCTATATTTTCTCAATGACCTTGATTTAATTGAATGCCTTGTCTTGTTTCTGAAAAGTCTTTCAAAATATTTGGAGTATATAATTTTTGTATCGTTCCAGCTCTATTTTTATACCCTTGCAGGGTATTATAATTTCAGTCAGATGTTTGCAATGCAGTGAAGGAGACGTTTCCGACCCTATAAACCATATATATTCTTGATCAGCATCAACAGGGGAATCGTTCTAGATATGTCAGGAAGAAATCGATTTTTTGGCCATTTTTGCAAATTTTTATAAGGGGTTACATCATTAAAATTTTAAATTTTGATAAAAAATTGAATTTTCAAAATTTTAAAATGAAGTATGCAGATTTATTAACTGTAGAAAATCTTGCACAGAACAGTTTTCCGATTTAAAATTAATGCTCTTTTGGCCGAGTTATGATATTTTTAATTTACAAAAAAAAATCAAGAAGTTTTTTAATATAAAAAAACCGATTTTATAATACAAAATAATATTTTTCTAAAACAAGGAATCATTTCCGACCCCATAAACCATATATATTCTTGATCAGCATTAACAGGCAAATCTTTCTAGACATGTCCGGAAGAAATCGATTTTTTGGGCATTTTTGCGAAATTTGATAAGGGGTTACATCATTAAAACAAGCAAAAATGGCCAAAAATTTTGATTTCTTAAAATTTTAAGTTTGGTATGCAGTTTTTTTAAATTGATAAAAACTAACACAAAACTGCTTTCCGAATCGAAATTAATGCATTTTTGGCTTAGTTATGATATATTTTAATTGTTATCTGCAAGGGTATACAAACTTTGGCTGGCCAAAGTTAGCTTTCTTTCTTGTTAATTTTCTCGTAACTCTTATTTGCGATCCATGCTTAAAAAGTATACATACAGGGAAGAGTTTCATCTTCAGAATATAGAAAGATATATTTTAAGTAAAAATCTTTAGTTTGAAAGTTGTAAAACATATAATATATTTATTATCCTTATATGGATCGAAATCATTTGGCTAAACATATAGAAAGCCTCCTCAGCTTGAGGTCTAAGCGTAGCTCACTTTGTGGAATCACAGAGCCACCTCGTCTGGTCGGAGTTTGTGCTGTAGCGGAATGTCGGGCTTATAGGCATCCTGTGGGAAAATCTCAGGTAACCACGAGCTAGTGAAATAGTTGCCATTACTCACCATGCGTTCCTCGGAGCCAAAGCTAAAGAACTTTCGTATGCAGGGTGTGAGCAGAACGGGATCCACTTTGTTGGGATTATTTTTTCCAAAAATCAGGGTACCAAGGAGTGCTACGACAATGGTGATCGATGCTCCGAAGGTGGTGTACCACATGTACGAGATGCGGTACAGGGGAAAGATATCCCTGTCGGAGGAAACAATAGTTGATCGCAAGCTTATGGGAACGAGTAGAAAATCTTACTCTGCGGATGCAACCAAATGACTTGAGCTTTTCACCAGACTGGTGGTCACATTAAAGCTATAGTCACACTGCTCCACGTTGAGTGCCTTCGTGTTGTAATTGATGGCGCCAGAGGCTATGGCCCACTGGGCATTAAGGCTCACCCAGGACATGCCTATCACACCCATTATTCCACCTAGCAAGGCGCTCTAAAAAAATACCTTAAAAAACCGCTTAGCACAGAAACCTGCCAGAAGGTACTCACATTTCCATTGATCCAGGGCATAAATAGACCGATGGTGAAGATGCCAAATAGGGGACCATTGGTGATAGCCTCCAGGCTCATGGTTAGCTGGAGAACAGTGCCCATGTGTTCGACCACGTAGACCAGGCACACGCACAGGGCACCCACTCCGACGACCACCAGGCGCATGATCCAGTTAATTGCTGTGGTGGTCAGCGGCTTCTTCACGTACGGCTTGACGAAATCCTCAAGGACCACGGCCGACATGGAGTTGAGGCAGGTGGACAGGGAGCTCAGTGCGGCACTGAACACCCCGGCTATAAATAGACCAGTCATGCCGGGCAGTTCACCCAAGGTCTCCATCACAAAGAGCGGCAGGAGCTGGTCTCGAGCCTTGGCCAGCTGAAAATTCAATGATTATAGCTATTTTCTATGAAAGGAGATGGCTTTCCTTACTTTGGTGGTGAGGGGATCACAGTTCTGGTAGGTGGCATAAATAAGAAGTCCGTTGTATCCACAGAGCGCCATCAGGATAAGCACGCCGGCGCAGAATATGCAAAGCGCCTTCCGGGCGTCCCCTAGGGTAGGAAGCGACAGGTAACGCTGGATCATGTTCTGGGAGACGGCGTTCGTTTGCGTCCAGTAGACGATCCCGCCCAGAAACAGACACCAGAACGTGTGACGCACGGTGGGATCGATACTAAGGCTACAGAAGGGATATTAAAGATATTAACTATATCCTGAAAATCTCAAAATTTACTCTGGCGCCTCCAGGCGGTCCGTGTTCCACGCTCGTTCCAGCACCACTCCTGGTCCACCGATATCTCGAGTACCCTTGATAGCGACGAGGCAGAGGGCGCCCAGCATGGACACCGCCTGGACTACGTCTGTCCACACCACAGCCTTTAGGCCGCCCAAGCTCGTGTAGAAGACGCAAATGATGCACACAATCGGTGTAATGGTGTGTACCCCGATTCCAGTAACCTGGTTGAAGGCCAGGGCAGGCACATAGATCACGATGGGCAAGTAGGCAACCTGACGGATATGGGTGAGGTGTGTACTAGACGAAGTTGATCTGATCTACTCACATTCATGACCGCAAACATAATGGAACCGTAGAGGCGGAGCCTGCGATCGAAACGAACTTCCAGGTACTGCAAGGATCCGCAAGGAATATAGAGCACGCTTTACCTAGACTTAAAAGGGCTCACCTCGTAGGTAGATGTGATGTTTAGGTCGTGGAAGACGGGCAGATAGAAGACTCCCATGACCACGCCCATTCCGATGACGCCGCAGGCTACATACAGATACTGAACGCCATAAGAGTAAACTTCCGTGGGCAGCCCGAGCAGCGTGATTCCCGATATAAAGCTAGCCACCAGCGAGAAGGCGATGGGTATAACCAGCATTTTCCGGCCGCCCAGCATGTAATCATCCTCGGAGACAGACTTGTTCATAAAACCGAAATATATCCCAATGCCGATGCAGAGCAGGAACATGGCCACGAAGGCCACATAGTCCGGCCACGCGAAGCGCTGCAGCTCGGCAAGAATTTGTTCGATGTTCTGCATGTTGGCGACTAACTACTGTCGGAAACGGAGGCTGGATGCGATATGTGCCCGACTCTTAGGTGCGTCGGCGGCTCACTGAGTCCATGTGCGGCACCGGGCGCCGAGATTCGGGTGACTCTGTGACTGTGCGGCTGTGATTCAATTCAATTCCGCTCAATTATCAATTGTGGGATAATTTAGTTTCGGGGGCACGGGGACTAGCTAGCGACTATCTTTATTTAAGCCGGCGGGTGGCGGGTTTCGGGTGGGCGGGGAATTACGACACCTCCGTCTCCAGTGCCAGTTCCGGGAACGTCCATTTGCCCATTGCTTCTCTGACCGAGCACTGGCCACTGTTCTCACTCAGCTGCCACTTGTAAGTCGTTATGTCACCCAGCACTCCGCGAATTAATCTTGAATATATCCTCCAAGAACGCGGCGCCACGACTTAATCTCGTCACCAATCACTGGCAAATCCCGGAGGTCGCACTAGAGTAGCCGGAACCGAAATTTAACGCCTTTCGGTCTTTTAACTGCTCTCCGCCAGCGGATTGCACAAGAACTGGGGAGCCGCAGCCACGCGCTGCCGGAGCATCGATATATAGTCATTCATAGAACCACCTGGCAGAAGGCCAGGAGAGCTGCAGCGGCAGCAACATCAAGTTCAAGATCGGGAGAGGCACGAACGCGGAACATCGCCAGTGCACTCGGAAGAAATAAACTAAAACTATACTTAAATGTGGAGGAACTAGCACAAAGTAGGTATTTTAAAAAGTTTATTAAATATTAGGGAAGATTATAGAACTTTCTTTGACTGCGTTGTATGATTTGGTATTTAGTTAATATAATAATGGTCTTTATTATTATTTTGTTCTTAAAACAAATGATTGTTTATTTCGATTCAAAATATAAATTATATTTTTATAATATTACACAACTTCAATCATAAATTAAATCATAAAATTCATTCTAAATATAAAAATCCTACTGCAAATTGATAGATTATCCCACAAAGATTCAGAGGATATTAATATTATCCTTTTATTTGAAGCAGATTCCAAGTGGATAATTTATCTGTTTATTTATAAAATTTTCCAATAATCATTATTTGTCCTGGATCTCTTTTAACAAACTAAATTCTCTATAATTAAATTACTTTTCCTGCTATTAATTTTGTTCAGTGTGATTACCCGAAAGCTAAACGGTTTTATAGCAATCTCACAGAGAAATCATTTTAAATCAGATGCGGGGCCGGCCTGCAGTTCGCTCTTGAGTATCCAGGAGGCTGCTCTCAATGCGATGGCGACGACCACCGAGTTGGGATTCCCCGAGACGGGCCGGGGTAGCACGCTGGCATCCACTATCCGAACATTGGACACCCCCTGTAATCTACAGAGAACGTTTCATCATCGATATTTAGTGGGTTCAGGGGCATATACCTCAGCTGGGTGTCCACGACGCTGCCCAGGGCACAGGTGCCGCCCGGATGATGAGAACCGAGGCCAATGTGGCGCAGCAGGCACTCCAAGTAGTGATCCGAGGGCAGTTGCTCGGAAAAGTCCCTCTCAAAGGGACCGAAGTTGGAGCACTCTTGCAGCTTTGGCCAGTGGATTCGGGGATGCAGTGAAGCAAAGGCTGCAGAGGTGACCAGCTAAAAGATGATTAATTATGTGTTAATATAGAGCAGTTGTAATAGTAGCCTTACCTTCACGGCACTCCTAATGGCCGCAATGGTGCAGGCCACATCCTCCTCCCGGCTGAGGTAGTTGGGATCGATCAGGGGATTCCGTCGCATGTGCCGGTTAAGGAGGCCGACGGAGCCTCGAGATCTGGGCTGCAGGCAGCTAGAGATCACGACGAATCCCTCCTGGGAGGCGTTGTAGTAGCGCGGAAAGAGCGCTCGAAATGCGGCGCCCTTGAAGTTGGATATGGACATAAGGGAGGCCTCGTCGATAGCGCCGGCTCCAAAGAAGGTGATGCCGAAGGGTGAGGATCCGCCATGGCTGGCCACGTTGCCCAGTACTCCAAAATTGCCCAGAGGTCCGGTCCCAGAGCTGAGGAAGTTGATTAAGGTCATGGGGTTTAGGAGTGTTCTCTGATTAATCGTGGCTCCTGTGGCTCCCATCGAAACGAAGAGGGGAAGGTTGAAGTGGTCGTGCAGGTTCTGACCCACAGAAGGTAAGTGGTGCTGCAGGGGAATGCCCAGCTTGTCCAAGATGCTCCTCTCACCGATTCCAGAGGCCAAGAGGAGCTGCGGAGTTTGATAGGCTCCAGCGCAGAGGATCAACTCCTTCCTCACCTCGACACTAAACTCCTGCTCCTTGTTGTCCTCATCCTTAGTCCCAACCAGAATGGAGGTGGCACGGGGCAGCCGGTCGGGCGACAGCTGTATCCGCTTCACCAATGCCTCGGGAAGCAGGCGAAGATTGGAGCTATGAAGCACTGGGTTCAAGAACTGCTGCAACACCGAGTGGCGCAGGCCATTCTTAATATTATATCTGGAACGCCGAAAAACCCAATCCTTGTGCGCAAACTCAGCCTGCGCTTCGTCCAGGGCTTCACTTAGCTTGGAATAGCCACGAGGGACTTCGAACATTTCCGCCGGCTTGGGCTTAGCGGCTGCCATGAAAGATCGCATGTGCGCCCAGCTCCAATCACTCAGGTTGTGCAGATCACGCCAGGAATCAAAGTCCGCCCCGTAGCCTTCGAAGTGCAGCATGTAGTTGAGGTTGGCGGAACCACCCAGACCTTTGCCCCTGGGAAGGCACTGGCGCCGGTCAATGAGACCTCTGGAGGAGTAATGCTGCGGGACCGACAAGAAGGACCAATCGTTGATACCCTTCTGCTGAAAGGTGGTCAGCAGGGGAATCCGGCTGAGCAGGCCGAACTGGCCACCGGCCTCGATGAGCAGCACAGTGCCGTTGCTGTGCTTGGCCAGAAGAGAGGTAAGTGTACTCCCCCCCGTGCCAGCTCCAACTGGAGGTGAAGTAAGGCACATTACAGTTCACCTTTTCCATGCATTCACTTACCAATCACGTAGTCGAAGGCATACTGGCGCTCCTGCGGCGTCAACACATTAGGTATCGAGTCCTTGAGCAGGGTTCCCACCAGGAGGACAAGCGTTGACAGGAATCCAATCACAATCGCTCCCACGACCAGGATCTCTGTTAGGAAAGATCCCTTAACAAAAACCCTCTTTCCACCTTTACTTTTCGAACTCACTTTGAAAGTGCATTCCCATGTTGTGTTCTGTTCTGTGCGATGACGAAATCCAACTAGAGTTGGCTGGCCGCAGACCTGGTCTAATCCAATTAACGCCGTCGCAGGGTGGGACTTGGCGCTAAGTTTGAAAAAGGTGCTCGGTCGCTTAACTAGAGACCAACCTTTGAAAGTCGATAGTTTTCTAGCTTTTGGACAACAAACACAGGTAACCGCTAACATTTTAAATACAATTATTAAACATCCCCAATAAAAAGTCAGCAAAATGTTTGTTTAAAAAGTAAAATAATTTATTTTAAATTCATCTAAGTAAGTCTATAACTATTACTATCTTAGGACAGGGGTTTTGTAAGATTTCTTTTGAGTTCTCAACCAAAAATCCGCTTCAGTCTCAGAAATGATAAACTAGGAATGAGATCCGCTGTTAACGTGCTAGTCCTCTTAGTCGACTTCCTCCACAGTGGGCCCTGAGTAGCCGCCAAAGCCTCCAGCTTGCTGGCCACAGTTGGCTCCAGGACCACCGGCTGCTCCCGCTCCAGCTCCCGCTGCCTGCTGATGCATCTTTGTCATAATGGGCGAGCAGTGGCGGGTGAGCTCCTCTAGCTTGTGGTCGAACTCCTCCTTATCGGCAGTGGTGTTCGTGTCCAGCCAACGGATGGTCTCGTTGCACCTCTCCAGGACGGAGTTCTTATCGGCTTCGTCCAGCTTAGAGCCGTTCTGCTCCACGGCCTGCTTCACATTGAAGACATAGCTCTCCAGCGCGTTCCGAGAGGTGATACGCTGCCGCTGCTTCTCGTCCTCGTCGGCGTACTTCTCGGCCTCGTTCACCATGCGGTCGATCTCCGCCTGCGAGAGTCGTCCCTTGTCGTTCTTGATGGTGATATTCTTCGCCTTGCCCGTGCTCATCTCCTTGGCGGAGACGTTCAGGATGCCGTTGGCGTCCATGTCGAAGGTGACCTCAATCTGGGGCACTCCTCGAGGGGCAGGCGGAATGCCGGACAGGTCGAAGGTGCCCAGCGCATTGTTGTCCTTGGTCATAGCGCGTTCGCCCTCATACACCTGGATGGAGACCCCGGGCTGGTTGTCCGCGTAAGTGGAGAAGGTCTTTGTCTGCTTGCACGGGATGCGGCAGTTGCGCTCTATCAGTTTGGTCATCACCCCGCCGGCGGTCTCGATGCCGAGCGAGAGGGGAGCCACGTCCACCAAAAGCACGTCCTGGATCTTGCCGGTCTGGTCCCCGCTAAGGATGGCGGCCTGCACGGCGGCTCCATAGGCTACCGCCTCGTCTGGGTTGATGGAGAGGTTCAGACTCTTGCCGTGGAAGAACTGCTGCAGCAGGCTCTGCACCTTGGGGATGCGGGTGGAGCCGCCCACGAGCACAATGTCGTGGATCTGGCCCTTGTCCATCTTGGCGTCGGTGAGCGCCTTTTCCACTGGCTGCAGGGTGTTGCGGAAGAGGTCTGCGCACAGCTCCTCGAAGCGTGCGCGGCTCACCTTGGTGTAGAAGTCGTGGCCCTCGAACAGTGCGTCTATCTCGATGGTGGCCTCCGTGCTGGATGACAGTGTGCGCTTGGCCCGCTCGGCAGCCGTTCGTAGGCGGCGCAAGGCGCGGGGGGTTGGAACGAAGGTCCTTCTTGAACTTGCGCTTGAACTCATCCGCCAGGTGCGTGACCAGGCGGTTGTCGAAGTCCTCACCGCCCAGGTGCGTGTCTCCGGCGGTGGCCCGCACCTCGAACAGGGATCCCTCGTCGATGGTCAGGATGGAGACGTCGAAGGTGCCGCCTCCCAAGTCAAAGATGAGCACGTTGCGCTCCCCCTGAAGATTCTTGTCCAGGCCGTAGGCCAGTGCTGCCGCCGTGGGCTCGTTGATGATCCGGAGCACGTTCAGCCCAGCGATGCGGCCAGCGTCCTTGGTGGCTTGGCGCTGAGAGTCGTTGAAGTAGGCCGGCACAGTGATGACCGCGTCCGTGACGCTCTCGCCCAGATAAGCCTCCGCTGTCTCTCGCATCTTCACCAGCACCATTGAGCTGACCTCCTCGGGGGCAAAACGCTTGGCCTCGCCCTTAAACTCCACGCCGATCTTGGGCTTTCCGCCGTCGCTGACCACCTTGAAGGGCCAGTGTTTCATGTCCTCGGCGATCTTTGGGTCGTCGTACTTCCGTCCGATGAGGCGCTTGGCGTCGAACACCGTGTTCCGGGGGTTCATCGCCACCTGGTTCTTGGCGGCGTCGCCAATCAGCCTCTCAGAGTCCGTGAAAGCCACGTAGGAGGGCGTAGTGCGGTTGCCCTGATCGTTGGCAATGATCTCCACCTTGCCGTGCTGGTAGACGCCCACGCAGGAGTACGTGGTGCCCAAGTCGATTCCAATGGCAGGCATTTTGTTTGTGTTTTTATACTTCTTGGTGAGATTTGTAACTTTTTGACTTGTTGCTTTTCCAAGTTGATTAACTTCTTGCTCGGTTTGAATACTTTAATGACTTTTAATAACTTCAATTCTGCAATTTAATGCACTTTAGCTTGTTATATTCGGTTTGTTTTGTTCGCTCCTTCGCTTTCGCGATGTTTTCAGTTTGCTTGCTTGTTTTGAATTGCTGTGAAGAGAGCCGAGCGGCCCTATTTATACCCGGGCGCTCTCTTCGCGAACATTCGAGACCGGCCTCTCTCGAAGCTGCCGGAGTGGGGTGGCTGTGCCGTGCGTATGAGCGAGACAACAGTAGCGGCCACTTAAGAGAGAGGCACCTTGAATTTTCTAGAATTTTCTTTAAGCAAAACAACAGCAGATGACCTACCGCAACAAATGCGTTATTTTTGGGTTCCGGAAAATTCGATTGTTTTCCCATTTTCCATCTATATATAGATGACTTAAGTATCTGTTAGATTTGCGATTAAGTGAATAAGATAGTGCTATCTTATATAATTAAATCATTTAGTTTTAAAACCCTAGGATATTATAATTATTATATATTTTTTTTAATTTGATAATGGATTACACGTTAAAATTGTCAAAAATTGGTTAAATATTGAGTCGATTTAAAACTAACTTAGAAGAGCTTTCCGAATGATCCTATGGCAAACTGTAAGGGTATGAAAATATCTGGCTATCGACCACGGAATTGAAGCAATCAACCCATCATTATAAGCAAACTACTGAGCTCCTTAATCCCTAAGATTTTCAATAAAAATATTAAAAACTCGTCTTCGAAACATGATTAAAATACGCATTAAATTGGGCAGTCATTGTCTTGATTTATTTTTAATACGTACTATATTCTTAAGTTTACAGGTTTATAATTTTCATTTAGTGGGTTTTTAGTGTATTCACATTAGGTTGTATTAACAGTCCATAAACAGTCCTCTGTAGTTTATCACGTTTGCTGTTTCACGATTTCATTTTCATTTGCTATTCTAGGCTACTAGTCTTGTGGCAATATCAGTCAGTTGATTCGTTGTCGGAAAATTCTTTTTCGTCCATGTGGGGGACTAGGGGTTGTCCGTACAGCAGAACCTTTGCACGGACGGACTTGCAGCCGGAGACCCTCGCGTCGATGCCCTTGATTATCTCGTCGACTTTGGCACTATCCAGCTGCATATTCTCAAGAAGCTCCTCTCTGCGGATGCAGTCCAGCAGATGTCTGGGCTCAAAGGAGGCATAGGGGATGACTTGGGTGTGCGGCAGTTGCTTCAACGCCTCCATTTCCGTGTCAAATTTCTCTTCTGACTGCAGACGGTTCACACTGAATATAAAGACCACGGTCAATCGCTTTAGATGCGTCTGTCCCGTGCTGTTGGCTATATCCTCTCTCCCGCGAATCAGCTCGTTGACGGCACCTACGAATTGCGCGTCCTTAGGGGTCATATTGTCAATCAATATGAGATTTTGTCCGCACTGGACGACTTCATGGAGAACGCTCTTAACCCGCAATAGGGACGAAGCGTCACGCCAGGATACAGTCTTCACGTTTTCGGGCCACGGAAACTGTTCGCGCAGCACTTGGGCCGTGTGACTCTTGCCAACGCCAGAGGAGCCGACCAAAGCGATATTCTATTGGGGAATAAAGTTTAATTACTGCTGTATACACCCCTTAACAAGGGGAAATCTACACACCTGGAAGGTAACGTTGTCCAGAGCACGTTCTAACTCATCCAGGGCCTCCTCCTGGTGCAGTACTTGGCGCCTGCAGTGCGTCACCATGTGGCCCAGCCGATGAGAGCGGTCGCAGTAGTTGCTACGATTGTGGACGATCGAGTGGTAATGGTTATTGTACATCTCCCAAAAGCTGCTGTCCTCTGGGGACCATCGCCACACAGTGATTCCCAGGCCGAGACATAGCGCCATGAGCAGACAGTACCAAGTCGTCTGATATGCCTTCTTGCGGCCCAGTTCCAACGCATGTTTGCGGCGCACTGGTTTTCTGCTACTGCTGCTCTCAGAGACTACAAGGCGGCGAAGGCGGCGCTTTAGCCACGTGCGTTGCAACGCCTTTGGTGAGTTGTGGGAATGACGCCTGACGGAATGTTTCTTAGTCCTATGGAGCTCTTCTTCATCCTGCCTTGTCATTGGCGTCATGTCCTTGGCCATAGCTTCTGAGATCTCCATGTTAGAAAGATTTTGCCCATCAAGGAGGTTTATTCCGATGCCGTTTTGAACTTAAGCTGCGCTGAGGAGCTATATTTGTGAATTATTCTTTACTTTCCGATTGTTTTTAGTTTCTGCCGGCAAAATTGATATGGGAAATTTTCGATAGATTTACATATTCAAACATCGATGTTTTTGGGTTATATCGATTAGTTAGGCAAATATTTAATAAATAATTAAATAAAAAATCTGCCATTGAAGAAAATCCGAAATATGTTAATTCTTTTAATGGATATTTTTTTTTCTGACAGTTCAAAGTTTAAAAATACCATAACTATGTCAAAAACTCATCAAATTAAATCGGAAAGCTTTTACATATATGCTAGTTTTTAGTAGGCCGTTAAGGCTGATTAAGAATATACATATATGATTTATGGGGCTGGAAATTACTTCTTTGCGTTTCAAGCTTCTGACTGAAATAATAATATTTTAAAACTAAATGATTTAATTATATAAGATAGCACTATCTTATTCACTTAATCGCAAATCTAACAGATACTTAAGTCATCTATATATAGATGGAAAATGGGAAAACAATCGAATTTTCCGGAACCCAAAAATAACGCATTTGTTGCGGTAGGTCATCTGCTGTTGTTTTGCTTAAAGAAAATTCTAGAAAATTCAAGGTGCCTCTCTCTTAAGTGGCCGCTACTGTTGTCTCGCTCATACGCACGGCACAGCCACCCCACTCCGGCAGCTTCGAGAGAGGCCGGTCTCGAATGTTCGCGAAGAGAGCGCCCGGGTATAAATAGGGCCGCTCGGCTCTCTTCACAGCAATTCAAAACAAGCAAGCAAACTGAAAACATCGCGAAAGCGAAGGAGCGAACAAAACAAACCGAATATAACAAGCTAAAGTGCATTAAATTGCAGAATTGAAGTTATTAAAAGTCATTAAAGTATTCAAACCGAGCAAGAAGTTAATCAACTTGGAAAAGCAACAAGTCAAAAAGTTACAAATCTCACCAAGAAGTATAAAAACACAAACAAAATGCCTGCCATTGGAATCGACTTGGGCACCACGTACTCCTGCGTGGGCGTCTACCAGCACGGCAAGGTGGAGATCATTGCCAACGATCAGGGCAACCGCACTACGCCCTCCTACGTGGCTTTCACGGACTCTGAGAGGCTGATTGGCGACGCCGCCAAGAACCAGGTGGCGATGAACCCCCGGAACACGGTGTTCGACGCCAAGCGCCTCATCGGACGGAAGTACGACGACCCAAAGATCGCCGAGGACATGAAACACTGGCCCTTCAAGGTGGTCAGCGACGGCGGAAAGCCCAAGATCGGCGTGGAGTTTAAGGGCGAGGCCAAGCGTTTTGCCCCCGAGGAGGTCAGCTCAATGGTGCTGGTGAAGATGCGAGAGACAGCGGAGGCTTATCTGGGCGAGAGCGTCACGGACGCGGTCATCACTGTGCCGGCCTACTTCAACGACTCTCAGCGCCAAGCCACCAAGGACGCTGGCCGCATCGCTGGGCTGAACGTGCTCCGGATCATCAACGAGCCCACGGCGGCAGCACTGGCCTACGGCCTGGACAAGAATCTTCAGGGGGAGCGCAACGTGCTCATCTTTGACTTGGGAGGCGGCACCTTCGACGTCTCCATCCTGACCATCGACGAGGGATCCCTGTTCGAGGTGCGGGCCACCGCCGGAGACACGCACCTGGGCGGTGAGGACTTCGACAACCGCCTGGTCACGCACCTGGCGGATGAGTTCAAGCGCAAGTTCAAGAAGGACCTTCGTTCCAACCCCCGCGCCTTGCGCCGCCTACGAACGGCTGCCGAGCGGGCCAAGCGCACACTGTCATCCAGCACGGAGGCCACCATCGAGATAGACGCACTGTTCGAGGGCCACGACTTCTACACCAAGGTGAGCCGCGCACGCTTCGAGGAGCTGTGCGCAGACCTCTTCCGCAACACCCTGCAGCCAGTGGAAAAGGCGCTCACCGACGCCAAGATGGACAAGGGCCAGATCCACGACATTGTGCTCGTGGGCGGCTCCACCCGCATCCCCAAGGTGCAGAGCCTGCTGCAGCAGTTCTTCCACGGCAAGAGTCTGAACCTCTCCATCAACCCAGACGAGGCGGTAGCCTATGGAGCCGCCGTGCAGGCCGCCATCCTTAGCGGGGACCAGACCGGCAAGATCCAGGACGTGCTTTTGGTGGACGTGGCTCCCCTCTCGCTCGGCATCGAGACCGCCGGCGGGGTGATGACCAAACTGATAGAGCGCAACTGCCGCATCCCGTGCAAGCAGACAAAGACCTTCTCCACTTACGCGGACAACCAGCCCGGGGTCTCCATCCAGGTGTATGAGGGCGAACGCGCTATGACCAAGGACAACAATGCGCTGGGCACCTTCGACCTGTCCGGCATTCCGCCTGCCCCTCGAGGAGTGCCCCAGATTGAGGTCACCTTCGACATGGACGCCAACGGCATCCTGAACGTCTCCGCCAAGGAGATGAGCACGGGCAAGGCGAAGAATATCACCATCAAGAACGACAAGGGACGACTCTCGCAGGCGGAGATCGACCGCATGGTGAACGAGGCCGAGAAGTACGCCGACGAGGACGAGAAGCAGCGGCAGCGTATCACCTCTCGGAACGCGCTGGAGAGCTATGTCTTCAATGTGAAGCAGGCCGTGGAGCAGAACGGCTCTAAGCTGGACGAAGCCGATAAGAACTCCGTCCTGGAGAGGTGCAACGAGACCATCCGTTGGCTGGACACGAACACCACTGCCGATAAGGAGGAGTTCGACCACAAGCTAGAGGAGCTCACCCGCCACTGCTCGCCCATTATGACAAAGATGCATCAGCAGGCAGCGGGAGCTGGAGCGGGAGCAGCCGGTGGTCCTGGAGCCAACTGTGGCCAGCAAGCTGGAGGCTTTGGCGGCTACTCAGGGCCCACTGTGGAGGAAGTCGACTAAGAGGACTAGCACGTTAACAGCGGATCTCATTCCTAGTTTATCATTTCTGAGACTGAAGCGGATTTTTGGTTGAGAACTCAAAAGAAATCTTACAAAACCCCTGTCCTAAGATAGTAATAGTTATAGACTTACTTAGATGAATTTAAAATAAATTATTTTACTTTTTAAACAAACATTTTGCTGACTTTTTATTGGGGATATACAGATGATTCAAATATTAAAAAATTTCTTCAATTCTTAGAAAATGTTAAATAATAAAAGAATTAGAAAGAATTATTCGGCAAAGTCTGTTGAAACATTGCTCTTTAAAAATGTATTAAAGAATTCAATTAAAAGATATAAAAATATACCTTTACATAATTAGAAATATGTGGATTACATTTAAATTGCATTTTTAACGAGCCTGGGAAGTAGAAAATGATCATTTATTTGGTGAGCAAATTAAATTGAATTGGTGTTTGCATTTAACGGTTTTATGGAACTGCCCCTGTTGTTCGCTAGAAACCGAGTTGGCAGCCCATCAGCTGTTCGCCGAGAGAGGATGCAGAGGAAAGCAAAACGAAACCGCCTACAAATATTGTTATTTTGATTAGATCAAACGGACAGAAGATATGGAACCTCCTTACGCACCGCTGAGCGAGTCCTGCGCCAAGGCACTGGGGGACAAGGTCTACGAGAAGCGCAAGCTGGCCTCGCAGGAGATCGAAAAGTGAGTAGGCGCCTGACACCTGCCACCAGCGATTTGTCATTCCAATTGGGAATTCTACTCACCGCCAGAATGGTCACTGAATTCAACAACAAGAACAACTCGGCCCAGATCCGGAAGTTAATTGAGGTGTTGGCCACGGACTATGCCACCTCGCGGGATGCCAATCGGCGGAAGGGGGCGCTTATCGGACTCGCGGCCACTGGCTTAGGGCTGGGAAAGGTAATGTCATTAGTCATAGGCATAGGTCGCGGTATCTAACTAGATAAACTCGTGATTTCACCCTCTCCAGGACTCGGACAAGTATGTGAATGGCCTGGTGACGCCAATCCTGACCTGCCTCTCCGACCCAGAAAAGGGTGTGCGCTACTTTGCCTGCGAGTCGCTGTACAACGTGGTCAAGGTGGCGCGGTCCGCCATAATTCCATTCTTTCCGGAACTGTTCGCGGCAATATCCCGCCTTGTCACCGACTCGGATCAGTTGGTGAAGGATGGCAGCGAGCTGCTGGATCGCCTGCTGAAGGTAAAGTTGCTGTCACAATGAATTGTCTTGAGTTAATTCGAATTATTCGGCAGGACATTGTCACGGAATCGTCACAGACCTTTAACCTGGAGGCCTTTATTCCCTTGCTTCGGGAACACATCTACGTAAAGGATGCTTTCGCCCGGCAATATGTGATCTCATGGATATCCATCCTGAATGCCGTGCCCGACATCAACATGGTCAACTATCTGACCGAGATTCTGGACGGTCTGTTCGTCATGCTGGAGGACAACACGCTGGAGATCCAGCGCATGTGCGAGACGACGATAAGTCAGTTCCTGAAGTCCATTCGGAACGACTCGTCCTCCGTGCGGATGGAGGATACAATTAACACGCTGATCACCCACGCCCAGTCGCCCAATGAGCTGATCAAGTCAATTGCCATCACCTGGATCCGGGAGTTTGTTCAGATATTTGGCACTAATGTGTTGCCCTACGCCAGCGGGATATTTACGGCGATACTGCCCTGCCTCGAGTACAACGTAGAGTCCAAGCGCAGTAAGTTGTGTGTTGATTAGGCCAGAATCCTTTCATTTCGTATTTGCGTTTTGTTCAGGCATCAAAGAGTGTGCTGTTTCCGTGAACAATTCGATGATGTTGCTGGTGTCCACCAAGGAGCTGAAGACGCAGACTGTGGCCAAGATAGACTTGCGTTCGATCATGGACGTTCTATCGCAATATCTCACGCACAACTCCATGCACACGAAGATCGCTGTGCTCAAGTGGATCCATCATCTGTTTACCAACTTCCCCAACGAGATGTCTGTGCACGCCACCAATTTGAATAATAATTTAATGTCGACGCTGGCAGATAACTCCGACGAGGTTGTACTGCAAAGTCTGTCTGTTCTGGCGGAAATTGTAAATTCACAGGACACTAGAGGTATGTCTTTCCTCCCACAGAATCTTTCGTTGATAGAGGCTTGTCCCTTGCAGAATTGAACGACTTCAAGAAGACACACTATCGCAAGTTTCTGTTGAGTTTGCTGAACCTGTTCAGCGAAGAAAAACTCATTTTGGAGAATCGAGCCAGTCTCATAATAAGGTAATTTGCATACATTAAACTCTTAATTAATAAATTAAATGTTTACTGAGTAGAAAACTCTGCGTGCTGCTGAATGCCGAGTATATTTACCGCACATTCGCCGAGATCATAGCCGAGGAGGTTCCCAACTTGAAGTTCGCATCCACAGTTGTGCGTCTGCTGAACATTATACTTCTCACCTCGACGGAACTCTTCGAATTGCGGACCAGCCTGCGCAATATTTCCAACGAAAAGTCGGCAGATCTCTTTAAATGTCTGTACCAGAGTTGGGCCCACTGTCCCGTGTCAACGCTCTCCTTGTGCCTGCTGGCCCAGAGCTACCAGCACGTCTCCCATTTGGTCACCTTATTGTAAGTCCTTCTGACAAGGTTTAACTCTAATTACTATTATCGAGTAATTCTCTTTCAGCGCCGATGTTGAGATAACCATGGAGTTGCTTACCGAATTGGACAAACTGGTCCAGCTGATAGAGTCTCCGATCTTTGCGCCTTTGCGCCTCACTCTGGTCTCCAAGGCGAACAACTGCGCGGACGCTCAGTACTTGGCCCATGCCCTGTTTGGCATCCTTATGTTGCTGCCGCAGACCGAAGCCTTCGATACCCTTCGGAATCGCCTGCAGTGCGTGCCGAACTACTGGGGCCACGAACCCATGTAAGAAGTCCCTCTCCCCACTAATATCAGTATGTGTCTAAAAGACTTTTACTTGTTACCCCGCAGAGATGAGCGAAATTCACTGGAGTACAAGAGCGGCATCGACTTCGATGCCCTGGAGCAGCACTTCATCAAGCTGCAAAAGGCGCATCGCGAACAGCGAATTGTACACCGAAAGCGCAGTGTAATTACTCCAGAAAGTAACTAAAAGTCCAAAGCATACCTTATTTATATATATAGCCTGTGATTAAGCGTACAGTAATTTAATATCGCATTTGTGTGTTTTAATAAACGTGAATCTTATACACCTAAAGGCGTGAGTTCCCCCTGGAATATATTCAAAATAAAACAAGACAATCGTATTAATTACCTTTGATTTTTATTTAAACCTCCGAATGCCCGTGGGCAGCGAAGTGCAATGGTGTTGGTACATTTGCAGCAGGAAAATGGTATCGTCCAGGGTAAGTTCAGCTTTCGACAATGTCTTTATCCTGTTTTTTACCTTATTCAGGATCTCGACCTCGGGTGGCGTAAATGTCTCGACGATCTGAAGCGATTAGTGTCAATGAGAGACAAATTTCAGTTGTAAATAGTACCCACCTCAGCGATATACTCCTCGGAATCGCCACGCTCCTTCATGGTCTCCACTATGCTGTCTAGCCTCTGGGATTTCTCAATGAGACCTTTGTGCTCGTTCTTTTCAAAGTTGGAACGTTCGATGGTGTTGTAGAGTGACTTGTAGCTAGCATCCAGAAGCATTCTTACCGTCTATAACGCAAGGATTACAAACCAAGGCACTTAATTTATTTAACGATTTACTTACATCTTTCTCTTTGACCTGAAAGAGGTAGAAGGCTTTGGCGGGGCCATTGCTGCCTCCGCCGGGCTTTTTAATGATCTTGACGTGAATGAACTGCTCCTGGAACAAGTTGTAGGCCAACGACTTGGCCTCTTTGGAGGGTATCATGGCCTCCTTTTGCAGATCCTCCTGCTCGATGTATTTCTTGCAGCGGATTACACGAAAGATGCGGGCAGCCTTAGAGCCGAAACGTTCGGTAATGACGGATTCCACGCAGGCAAAGGCAAGCGACTCAAAGGCGTGTTCCATGTCCACGACATAAAGGCCGCCGCCCATGTCTCCCACTCTTCTAAAGAAGCCCATTGAATCGTCAGCTAAATATTAACAAGATATGTTGATTAAAATATTCAAATAGGTAAAGCTTGGATTGTAATTACTTAACAAACTTATGTACTGATCCAAGTACTTCATTAGATCTAGATTATTCGACCTTTTCTCGATGGCCTGCTTAATTTCCACAAACGTTATTTGGTTGGAAAGTTTCTGCAAAGAATTAAGTTTTATAATATAATTTATAATAATGTAATACTGGCTACCTACACGCTGCCATGGATCTGTGGTATTGTACATAATTTTCAGTATGAACCGGAAACACTCGGCTGCATTCTCGCCCATTTTACGTTCAATAGCGTCCACCATGATCGCGTCACGAAAGTCCTGATGAAAGCGATCATAGTTCAGGTTCCACACCATGGTACTGTCCTTGGCTTCCGCCAGTGTGGCATCTCCTTTGCGTATTTTGGCCAGCAGCTGAAGATCGATGTTGGGATGCCGGAAAAAGTCGCACTCGTTGCTCTCGAATTTTGGCACTACCTCATCCTGGTCATCGGAAACTAGAAGCTCGGGCCTCTTAATGATATAGTGATCTGTAATCATGGTGAGGAAGGTGTTCCTATAGGATTCTGGACTCTCGGCCTTATTTTCGCCCTCGGCCAGACACTTGATCAGTATGCCAGTGGCCGTATCCGATCCGGAATTGATAAGCTCCTCGGCGATGGAGGCGCCCACATTTCCATACTTTGTCTGCACCAAGTGAACGTAACTAAAATAAGAAATTAAATTTAAATAAAGCCTTAAAGCTTAATTTGTACACCAATGCCTACTTACCGCGGATACCGAAGCAGGGAGATGATATCCTCGCGCCGGAGCGCGTACTCGGCAAGGGAGGGATTTAGCTTGGAGGCCTCGAAGTCCACAAGTCGGAACTTGACGAGCACCGCCAGCGCCAGTCCCACTTCCTTGCGAGATAACTTGGTGGCGCTGACCAGTTGCCCCAGCGTTCGCGTATTGGCCAGGAAGAGACAGTCGGCCACCGATTGAACCACCTGGCCGAAGCACTGCTCCAGGATGGCGGAGCACAGATGCGAATAGTCCGCCGACATGGTGGCTGGAGCAGTTCTGTCACTTTAATCTTAAATTGTGCCGTTTACCAGCAGAAAATGCGGCTAAAATCAAATGCAAAAAACAAAACAAAACCGCGTTGTTAAAACAGCTGTTAATCGATTAACGATTACAATAATCGAGTAAGCCAAACAAAAAATTCAAATTGGAATTTGTCAGGTTTCTTATTAGTGTGATGCCTTATCAAAGGCGTTTTTGCTCAACGACGCTCTGTTCACACTGTGCACAATACGTTTACACAGGTAGAAGTGTTCCCGTTTGCCGTATCTGAATAAACTTAATCTTTGGGGTCTTACCAATGGCCACATGTTGCTCCCAGCTGCAAACGACTTCGAAATTCTGGGGTGAAGCCCGCGGCCACTATCAGCAGTACGCGCGGCCCTTCATTATAAATCCGTTTTCCCTTCGCATTTTCCCATCTTCCGCCTGCGACCAATACTAAGACCTTTCAGGTTAGAATTGCGTCAGATAAAGGTGACAGCGATCTATTTTTACAATCCCATTTGCATTTGCATTCGCAGAATAGTTTTACCTTACCCATGTCGGACGTGGACTCGGACGGGGAGGCGCCCAACGAGGGTGGCACCAGTGCAAGTGCCCTCGATGAGTTCCGGGAGAGCTGGCAGCGGGAGCTTGCCCATGGACACAGGCCAGGCTCAGGAACGACGCAGAACTCGAATGTCACCGAGGCGGAGCTGCTGCAGGCCAAGGCGGAGAGCCTATTTCGCACTGCCGTCCAGTTGGAGCAGCGCGGCAAGGTCTACGACGCAATTCCCTTCTACCGCAAGGCCACACAGATCGTGCCCGACATCGAGTTCAAGTTCTACGAGCAGCAGAAGCTGAGCCACGAGTTTGTCAGCAACAAGAAGTTCCACCATCTAGCCGGCGACTTTGCTAAGCAGCTGGACCTGGGCCAGCCGGATGCCACGGAAGGCGGTGCAGACCAGGAGTTGGACAATCTTTTCGATAAGTTCCATCGCGACTTGCGCCAGGACAGCATCTATAGCGGCAAAATGATCGCGTCCAGCCGTGATGCCAGCGTCTTGTCCACAGGACTGCACTTTTCGGATCTGCCGCCCGAGATTGTGATGCGCATCCTCCGCTGGGTAGTGTCCGCGCAGCTGGACATGCGCTCCTTGGAGCAGTGCGCCGCCGTCTGCAAGGGATTCTATGTGTACGCCCGGGACGAGGAACTGTGGAGGCTAGCTTGCGTCAAGTAGGGATTCCTCAGATTGCAGATAGCTTGGAGATGTTCATCTTAATTATCTTTCAGAGTATGGGGTCACAATGTTGGAGCCTTGGATGCCCAGGACTCTGGCAGTAGCCATGCCTATTACTCGTGGCGGGACATGTTCATCCGGCGGGAGCGGGTGCACTTCAACGGCTGCTACATCAGCAAGACAACGTACCTGCGAATGGGCGAGAATAGCTTCCAGGATCAGTTCTATCGGCCTGTGCAGCTGGTGGAGTACTATCGCTACATTCGCTTTATGCCCGACGGCAAGGTGCTGATGATGACGAGCGCCGACGAGCCGGCGCAGGGCGTCAACAAGCTGAAGCATTTGCACAACGGGCAGCGTGCCGATGTGCAACGGGGTCGCTATCGGCTCTACGGCGACACGGTCACCCTGGTGCTGCAAAAATCACAGGCCCGGGGAACGGGTCACATGCGACAGAGGCGTGGCAGCATCATGCCACTGGAGGAGGACTCCACGCAATTCCTGATCGAGCTGCGCATCGCCAACTCACCGAAGCGCCGCCGCTGTGCGCAGTTGGTGTGGTCACACTACACGCTCGTGCAAAAGCGGAACAAGGTGGACACCAGCTCCGAGTTCGACCTCACGGACGCCAAGTATCCACCGCTGTGGTTCTCGGCGGTGAAGAGCTACCACCTCGATGCGGACGCACCTCTAGTTTAGGTGAGGATTAGCTTCTGCTCCCGTTTTACATGCTGCAAAAATAAAAGACGGTGTAGTTGAAACCCTTTTAGAGGGGGAGAGGAAATAACGAGATATTATTAGCAACTATCCTCATCGGAGTGGCGTGTCTAAAAGCGTACAACGTTCTTAACAACTAGAGCGTAAAATCTTCCTAGGACAGTATTGAGAAGCTTAGCTTTTCCTCCGCAGTTTACGGTTAAAATTCGTTGCAAGAGTCTGCAACTATAGCAGCTACAGCGATTGGGGGTTCCTCTAGGACTCGGACTGCACCACCACGTGCTCATAGCGCATTAGGTCGGGCGTGTCCCAGCAGCTCTTAAGGCAGGTGAAGACTAGCACGTTGCCGTATTCGATCGGGACATTGCAGCCGTTGAGCTGGAACCGCAGCTTGGGAATGAGTGTGGGCAGCAGCTGGACCTCGCAGATCGTCTCGCCCCTGCAGTTCTGGCATTTGGGCAACGGTTCCGCCAGCGGGGCCACCAGCAAGGGAAGAGCGTCTCGGGAGTACCTGCCACGTAGCCACAATTAATCCGGATGGCTACTTTTCCACAATATAAATGCTCACCTCAAGACTTGACCTGGATTCTGCTGGATGGTGGTGATGAAGTTGTGAAACACTATGTCGCCGTGGGCGGGCAGAGCCTTCTCGTACGCCTCGTGCTCGTCCCCAGCCTCCACGGCGGATCCTGCGGCCACTGCCGTGGGCGAGTGGGTCGCACCCTCGTCCCTGAGCTTGTACTCCTGGTACAGATCACGTATGTGGTCCATGGACAGAGCGCCACCATAGTTCTCGTACTCCTCCACCCGGGTCTTGCTCTCTACATCCACCGCGATGTAGTAGGACTTTAATGTAAGGTCCTTGATCTGCATTGGCGACAGCGGCTGCGAAGTGTGTTTCAACAGGGCGATCAGGTCGCGTTCCGGCTTCTTGGGGGTGTCGACCAGCACCACATCCGTTTCGGGGCCCTCGATCTCCGCACAAATGACGGCGGAGGCTGCACTGGCTCCGGCACCATCCACGTTGGGAGCGGCGGCCGCTGCACAGTTGGCATTGGGATCCTCGTCTGCATTCTGCGGCGAGATCATGTCCATTTGATGCAACCCCGAGATCAGGTCGTTCTCCACCGAAGTGCTCTCATCCTCGTCGTCGTCGTCATCGCCGCCACCGCTAATCTTACCCAGATCGACTTTAGCTGGCTCGTCCAGCTGCATTTCGCCCTTCGCGTACTGCAGGACATTGGGTCGGACGTTGCCATTCCGCTCGTTCTGGTCGTCGTCGGCGGTGATGTCCATAGCCTCGTCCTCGGTCTTGGTCAGTCCACTGGCCAAGCTGTCTCCCCAGTCGTCCGCTCCACTGCACCAGTTCACCGCCTGCAGGCCACTGGACTTGGACTTTGACTTTTTCTGTGACGGCTTCTTGGGCGACTGCTCGCTGATGACCTCAAATTGGTTCTCCAAATGCTGAGTACGGACGCACACCCAGCCCTTGGGATTCTGTGAGCAGACGGGGCTCACGCACCCGAACACGTACAAGCTGCGATGGAACTGGGATCGGTCCAGCGGCGCATACATCTGCACAATCAGGGGGCGCACGGCCCCGCACAGCGGGCAGGCCGGAACGGTCACCTCGTGTCTGGGCCAATCCTGAGGGTAAAAATCAATTTCAATTATCAGCTGTCCGTTAGGCGCTCGCGTCACAGCATTTCTTACGGGGGTGCCGCCGATTTTGTTGGTGCAGCTGTTCAGGAACTGCTCCTGCTTGGCCGTAACCTCCTCATCATCGTAGCCCAGGTACACCGTCGACTTATTCTTTGCCATTTTTCATGTTTTCCTTTAGTTTTCGGGTGCAGATTCTGATTGGGTTTGTTATAGTGATGTGAGTCCTGCCTCCTATCGAATGTAGCCATGATTAATGTTATCGATAGATCTAATATAAGCGATTGGTAACGGAAATTCAAAATTTAACATTCTTAATTAAACGTAATAAGCTATTCAATGAAAAGGAAACACATGTTATTTATGATAAAATATATATTTATTTAAGTTCACATATTTTCTGTTCTAAATGTAAGTCGAAATCATAGATATTTCGAATGATTTGCGGGTTTTAACTTAATTTTAGCATAATTCTGTGCAGTTCTTAAATAAGGTGCACGTCATCAAATAAATCGTTTAAATTCCTTGAGCATTTTCAAGTCTGTAAATTTCTCTAAATCATTGCGTAATTTTGCTCCAACAGCTACGTCGCTACGTTGCAACCAAAATAGAGCTGGGGAAAACGTCTACTTTTTACTCAGCACTCGCAATATATTTGCAAAGCTGTGCTTTCACTAATACTCAAAATCTGTCGCTTTAATTATCCATTTACAATTGCACACTCGCTGCTTAAAATAAATAAACGCACATACATATACTGTATACAATACACACATATAAAAACATAGACAACTAGATTATGATTACGTTTTGGAATGCTAACATTAAAATACGCATTACGTACAATATAGCAACGGTAGCGCACAACAACACTTAACAGTTATTGTCTAGGAAGACGTCGCAGTCGCACGGATTCAGCGCACTTCCGAGGAATTCAACAAACGTGGACAATAGTGGCTAGTCCTAATACCTTAGTAGGTGGGATTACTGATTGATTACTTATCCAGCGCCTCCTGCTCCCGGTGCTGCCGCTTGAAGCCCCACTCGACGAACACAAAGGCGATGGTGCCAATGGTTCCGGTCACCACCAGTATGCCCAGCTGAACGTACAGCCCGAAGTGCGAGGAGTAGAAGAAGCTGATGGCCGCCGCCACGGACTGGGTGAACTTAAACAGGGCAAAAGCCCCCACTGCGTTGTTCACATACTCGCCGCCCAGCATCGAGTAGATCTGGGTGTTGAAGCAGGCATCGCCCAGGCCCAGCAGGAAGGCACAGACCAGAGCAATGCTGGCGCTGGGCGGATCCAGGTAGGATATATCGTTGGTATCTTTGAACGGTGCGCTGTTCGGCAGATTGATGAACGTCATGAAGAAGGCCGCCATGTGCATCACGTAGCCGGCAATGACGATGGGATCGCGTCCATATCTCGTTGTCTTGTTGCCCAGTATCCCGAAGAGTCCACCTCCAAAGACCTCGCCAGCTCCAATGCAAATGCCAACCAGGCCAACGATCTCTTTCGGTGTCTGCGCTATTTTCGTTGTAAATCCAATGGCGGAGCCAAAGACGCCACTAAAGAACGACAGCTCCAGTCCTGTAAAGGCAATAATAAATTATGGTATTCAAGTCAGGGGAAACACTCAGCGGACCCACCTGTATAGAAGAAGGCCAGGCTGAGGAGTAGCATCTTCTTGGTACAGAAAAGTTGACCGGCCGACTTTAAGGCATACATGGCCTGTCCACATCCCGTATGCTTCTGCTCCAGCTCGTTGTCGTGCTCGGCATTGTCGGCCATGAATCGCAGGGCGGCTAAAAAGACGATGCCCAAAATGGCTATCACCGTTAGCACGCCGATGACCAAATTCCGGGTCTCCTTGTCGATGACGGTTTTGTCCTGGAACTGATAGTACACGAACAGGTTGCCGATGAACATGCTGCACTGCAGCAGAGCCCAAAAGACGCCAGAGTTGCGGGAGATGGTGGTCGTTTCGCTGCAGCGCGCCAGGTAGGTTCCCTGGCCGGTCCAAGTGATCGATGCCCCCAGCCCCAGCACTGCGCTGCCCACGTACAGCAGCACCGTCGATGGGAACATGAACGTAATCATGAAAGCCCTGCCAGGATGGGTCATTAATTAAAGAACTGTAATGCGACAAGCGCGGGGATCTACTCACGTATAGGTCAATGCTCCCACGACCATGGCCACGCGGGGACCCGTAAACGAAATAAAAGAAGGCGCTAGCCAGTTGGAGAGCGAGAAGAACAGGTAGATGATGGCCAGGCTGGTGTAGCCCTCGCCCTTGAAGTTCTCATCCTCCTTGGAGATACTGTCCAGTATGGTTTTCTGTCGAAAAAGAGACGGGATCGAATTGGATTAGCATTTGGGAAACGTGCCAGACACATTTTGATGCCTGCATGCCAATGAACCGGCCATAACGCATTTGTTTATTGTTATTTGTTTTTTATTTTTTCTTAAAATGTTATACGGAAAACGTGTTCTCGGTTCAAGTACGTATTGTACAGGTATTTCCTGTCCGGATACGAATGGGTGGCTACAAGCCAATAGAATAAAATACAAAAATAATAATAAAATACGGAGAGACTTTATTTCAACGTTTATACTTTACTTTATTTGGTTGTTTAAATATGGGTGGCTACAAGCCAATAGAATAAAATAAAAAAAAAATAATAATAAAATACGGAGAGACTTTATTCCAACGTTTATACTTTACTTTATTTGGTTGTTTAAATATTTATGCAGGGTCTAGAGTACTAATTTAAGGAAGCTTTACTTGAAATTTACAGTTACTTGACAAAAGGATACTGTCTAGATAATGAAATAAAAGGATCTTTATCAAGTATCAGCTATAGATTTTTATGTAAATATATGTATATCATAAATACTTTCAATGCACCGCAGCTGTAATATATAGAATTCTCGGAGTCGGCGGCACGGCGCGCCTTGGAATCATGTCTGCAACCAGATTCAAGTGCAACATTGCAATTCTTGAATGCATGAATGGAAAATTACAAGCAAATGCGAAACACGTTTGCGGCCGAGTTCTAAAATTTTCCATTCCAAAGGACGCATCTCAGTAAGCGGCCGGCGAATAGTATCGTTATCTCGACGCTAAATTCTGACTCTTGACACGATTTCGGATTCCATTTGCATCAATTAAATGGCGCTGGGGCAAATCTGGTACGGTCCTCGTGCCCATTTTGAAGTCCAACTCGAGATTTGCATTATCAGTAATTAACGGGTGTCATTCTCTATATAGATTTTTGATCGGAAACTATATATGTACATATGTATATATCGCTCAAGTAATAGGCAAAAAGCGGAACTGTTTGTTTAGCTGTTTTACAAAAAATAAATTCCAAATATGACCTTGTGACTGAATGGGAATACAGGAACTAAAAAAACGGAACTATCTACGGAAATTGGTTGCAAACTCAGCTATGGGGATTAACGCAAATGTTCTCGATTTTATAAAAAATGCCATATACTAGTACTTTTTATGGCCCCTGTATATTCGAGCATAAAAACCAGGACGGTTGTGATAAGAAATCTTTTCAAGTGCAATCATACCTTATCAGCCCAATGAGGCTCATTGAATGATCTTGTTATTATTCGATTGAGGGACGATGGCCTAACCCGGGATGAAATTGGGTCAAGTTTTGTGCAAATAAATGCAGAAAGAAAGCCGATTCTGATCTTCGAATGCAATAAAGAAAGTCGAGTGCGAGTACGCGGAATTGCAGGAGAATGCATCGAACAACTTATTAAATTGATCGCCTGCTTAAGTTGTTTATTTATTACGCAAAAGAAACTGGCACAACAACTCACGAAAAAACTTAAAAAATGCTCAAAACGAGTTTTTATTTTCTTTGTAATAGGGCATGGCGACTTTTGATTTCAGTTTGCATTCAAAAGAATCAAATGCATGTCGTTTTTATGGGGATTTTTTTTCTAGGTTTCTTTTTTGTTGCATCGAAACTATCCTCATCATCCTTTGAAAGTTACTTTAGTCCTGAGCTGCTTACAAATTTTATCCTTGCCCTTTTCAGATATTAACTTTGTATTCAACGCAGTAAATCAAAAGTTATTTATGACTTTTAACATTTATTTTAGTCCGCCTTAAAGGGTGTTAAGCACTTTCGGTGCTTCCAGCCAGACTTGCATTTTCCACTCTTTCCACTAGACGTATCTGCACACGAGCCGAGCTGGTGCAGCAAGTGGGTCCGGTTCGGGGGCAGGAGCAGTTAGCAGTGAGCAGTGAATGGTGGGCTCGTCGGCGCACACCCACTTTTTGTTTTTGGTTTCAGTTTCGTTTTTTGTTAGTCTGTTGTGCAAGCAGAGGCGCCTAGCGGCTGTTTTGTTATACATATGTGTGTACATATATATGTTACTGCGAGCATGCTCGCTATGCTCTCTGGCGTCTTGGCCAAATTGATGTGTGCATACGTACGTACATACATATATATGTTGGTCAACCTGGCCGAGGTGGCCTTGAGTTGGGACGACTGGGGCGGGCCGTGTGTGCGGAGGCGAACTTGCAATTGCAATGACATTGAAAGAGCTGGCGTTGACGCGTTTGCTGAAAAGCATTTGATTTCGATTGCGCAATCAGCCGGAAAGCGTTCTGTGTTCCCTGCCACTTCCAGCGACGGATTGCGCCATATGAGCCAAGGCCCCCGCTTTAAAATTGCTGTCTAATAGGCCAAGACTCGCCGATCGATCGGTCGGTTGCTCGATATTGCCCGGTCTATAAGTTTGGCTAACTACGCTAAAGCACGCCCTGCTTGGAATTCCAAGTTGCTTTTGCCTTTGTTGCTGCGACGGCCGTAGTAAATCGTTTATATGGAGAAACACCAAGTGCACAGAAAGAAAACTAAGATTAATTCGTCAGTCCTTTAGGAAAACATTTTTCAAACCTTTTGGGGAAATATAAAGTAGCGAAAAACAGCAGCGTAAGTCAGTTTAATTTTAGGAACTGTACTTAAGCTATATACATATATATGACTCCACTACTTTAGGATAACCTTTTTAAGAACTTTTCAGAAATATGTACACTTAACATTAACATACGTATACATAATATTTTTAGCGGAATAAAATTTCAGAGGTTCAAATGAATCAACTGTTCTTTGATTCCTTTAATTAATAAACGTATGATTATGAATGAAACAAATTACTTTTATTTTTTATATATATACATATATACTGAAGAGGGCAGAAGCTTGAACAAAAAAAAAAAACAAAAATATTGCGCATGAGTCGCTGGCCAAGCTGAAAGGCCACAATAAAAATGTAAAACAAACAAAAGCAAACCTTTAAAAAGCTTCACTCGATCCGAACAATTTTTTGCCGTATTTATCAGAGAAGGTACCTCATACAGTCCATTGAACCATAACAAAATACTTATAAAAATGTGCTTTTTATGCAAAACAATGACAAATTTTGTGGTGGCCGGTTTGGGTTTCGAGTTTCGCTCATAACAAAAATGCCTCGCATACGTAACCAGGTGAGATAAACATGAAAAGAACTTTTTTTTGCGACTACCAGACAATCCAGTTGCTTAATTAATCCACTCTCACGATCTGTATGCGTATCGGATATACATTGCATATGAACAGGTAGGTTGGTCTGTTTTCTGGTTTTATTTTTGCCTGGCATGGCCTTGATCTTACGGCTTTTATTACTCACAATAACTAATCAACGAAATAATCCGTTATAATGCAACAAGTGAATGGAGTTATCTATGCCTGTATCATAAATCCACAGAGCTGCTTTGTAATTATTTGCAAATATTAATTAGCTAATCGCTGTCACTTGATTATTGGGAAAAGGTTGATAAGTGTTTTCTAATCTGCTTATGAATGGGAACCTCAGTGGGTGGTTCGCAGAACCGAAATATATTTCGGCTTGTTTAACTCGAAACACTATCAGTAGTGTGAATATATTAACTTTTAGAATGTTTCGCAGGAAACATAATAAATAAAATAAACCAAGACCTGTTTATGGTTATTGCCAAGGCCGAATGCAACTTTATCAGAAGAAAACAACATATATTAAAGTTAAAATTAGATATAGCAATATATGTACATATGTACATAACTATCAACTTCTTTTAATTATCGTTTGGGGTTAACTGGAGACCTACCAAAACATTACTTATTAAGGGCTAATTGCATGGAATATCGGAGAGTCCAATTCCCTTTATTAGGGTCAACTTTTGTGGCTCTATGTGGCTTCATCTCATCTATTTGCATAATAATAACGATAAGTGTTCTGTGACAGCTGATACGCTTCTAAGTGCTCGCTATGTCGTTTCTTATCAATCGTGGGCGAACAAATTCTGAATGTGAATCGTGACGAGAGCATTGGATTAAAAAGTAAATAAAATAAAATAAAATAAAATATAGACTTTTAATTGTAACTATTTCAAGGTACTGATTATAAGACAAATACTGTATAGCGTTTTCTAAATTTTAAATTAAATAAATGAGATACTAGGCATAATGGATTTAAAGATAATTCAAACAAAGAAACAAAGAAATTTATTACTTTAATGTCTGAACTAGAAACAGCAAGTAAGGGACACGTTTTTAAAGATATAGGAATAAATAAAAGTGTATATCTCTGCAGCCGCCCCTTGTCGTGACCTTTGAGCAGTACTTTAGATCGGATTTGGAAACTAACAACTCGGGAGCTATTACGAGGGCACAGAAATAACTGCTTGCCTGAGTGGCGGCGGCAACGTCGCCACATCCTGTGACGTGTGAATGGGGTTGGGTGGTTGGGTCGAAGGGCACACTACGATGTCTATTGACAAGGACAAGGACGGGATTCCAATGGCAAGGATGTTCTCAAACGCCCACGCATACATACACACGAAGAGAGCGCACACCCACGCGCCAACGAAACACACACACTCATATCTTACCTCAATGTTACACATGGTCTGGAATGCCGTGAAGACGAACTGAAAGCCGAAGCCCAGGATGAGAATCATCAGGAATTTTATATCCATGCTGATGCTGTGACGTGACTCCTGCCCACTGCGAGATTATTGCAATCAAATCGAATTCAATTAACTTGCCGCGCTCACTGCATTTGCATTCGGCGGGAGCAGCGGTGACGCGGGGACGGCGCGGAGGAAGAGAAGAGGGCGTGAACTCAGCTGGTTCTCTTAATTGACGAACGGAACGCAGCGAACGGTACACAGATAGCGCTGCATCTATTTATCACAGAACACAATAACTCAAACAGATAGATGGGTATAAATAAAAACACGCAAAAACTCAAACGAAAACACAGAGCACGAAAGTTAAATGCAATGTTTACGCGTCGACCGTTGAGAGTTGAATGGAAAATACGTTGGAGCGGCGCACTAATAAAAGTAAGACGAGGTTTGGGAACCCCACACCGAGAGTCGAATATTCTTTTGCTAATAATTAATACTTAAGAAATAGGGGGAAAATTTAGAACATCAGCTGATCCACGACTTGGTCGCGCGGTAAGTAAAACGGCGGCGCGCTGACATATAGAACAGGTTAAAACTGTATCAATTTCTACTGGTTTATTCAAAACAATACCTTTAAATGTGTAAACGAAGCTATAATTCGTTGGACTCTTGTTGTAAGGGTAAAAAAAAGAGAGAGAACACACACAGATTTCAGATAGCTCACGAAAACATACTATCGATATATCGATAGCACTGAAAGTATCCGATTCGTTTTAATCATTTTCAAAAAAAGATCGAAATATAACAAAATTTTGTTTTACAGGCTGAAAGTTACTGTTCTTCGGGCTCTTCTTGATGTTTAGAAACCGCATTTTGTGCTTCGTTTGATTGTTCAGGTTCGTAGCTGGCTTCCCGAAGGAGTGAAGGCTGATAATTTGATTGTAACCAAGATTCATGAAAGCTTTTAGCTGCTCGAATGAAGGAAATATTTAAATCTGGCGAACTTGCTCGTAAACCTAATTCACATTCTGTATGAGTATTATGGATTTTCCTGGAGGAGGAATTTGCTGAAGTCATTAGAGGTAACTCGACGCAAAAAGGGTTCTCAAAGGGTGCTAACGAAGGTGCATTTTCGGTAGTTGGTTCCACTCCAAGGACTCCTTCAGGCGCTCTGAAATTTAACATGGGAACCAAAGAGGAAGAGGAAGTTTGCCCTGGTTCGATGCAAGATTGTCCTTCAAGGTAAATAGATTCCGACATTGGTTCATCCAAAGGCATTTCACATACTTTTATACATGAAATATTTTGCGACTCATCCGAACTTTGTATTTCCTGGGAGAGAGATTCTGAGGTCACCAGAGGAGCAGGAGCATCGAAAGTACGGCCACCAAGTTCTATCGAAGAAGCATTTTCAACACCAGGTGCCCTTTCAAAGACGCCTACAACAGGAAAAAAAGATTTTGAGACTTTGCCAAAGATTGAATAAGAGTCGACGGAATGCAGAGAGTTCACACGATTGAGTCTATAGGATCCAAGTAGCTCTGACAAAACTCCAATATTTCTCAAGTTTGTGAGCGAGTGTTCAATGACTGTTTCTAAGTCCTTTAAAGGATTGAGATTTCTCATGGTCCACTTAACCTCCATTTTAATCTTGTCAAGGGGGACAAACATGTAGTTTTCATGGTCGGTGTAATATTTAACTGCCTTGAAGACATGACGATACACCTTTTTTGGTATGTTAGAATTCCATATACTCATGCTGGACTTTTCGCATTTGATTGGAGTGCTGTTTTCGGGAGGTTTCTTAGATCTGGCAGTTAAATTTCGCACCGAGTTTGTTTTACATATGGCTTTGGCAGTACCTGGTATTACATTCCGCTTTACTTTTATCAAAGGCTTTTGGACGCCGCGAAGCATTTTACGCACTCTGGCTATTTGGTCTGTAGTTAGGGAGTCGCCTCGAGCCTGAAAAGTTAAAAAAGCAACATCTAACAAATACAATTAAACCTATGTTAAAATGTAAGAAAAATCTAGTTCTTTAAGCTTCTAGCAGCGACTGGTTCAGCTATCTACTAACCCCTTTTTTCTTGATTTGTTGGGCACTCCTGTCGGAACGCAAACCCTGGAAGGCGATGGTCATCGCATACATCGATGATCCGGAGCGCGTCACAATACCCAGCTCAGTCTGTTTCCTCAAGGAATCTTGTATCACGTACTCCAAGTTATTTACTGGCTTGGTATACCGCAAGGACCACCTGACTTGTTCCTGTATAGCCTTAATATGAACGAAATCGGTCCTAGACGTTTGCAGGTAATCTATAGCCTTAATTACGTGACGATTTACCTTTTTAGAAACCTGAACAGAATGCATTGTTTCGAAAAATGCAAGAATTAAAAAAATCGTTTCTCGTAACCAGTGCTTTTTAAAATAATTGTATAATTTAACATAATATGATCAAAGCCAAAGACGACTTGAGAGTTTCTGAAAAAATCAATTCAAATTTGTAAAAGGCTTTAAAGCAATAGAGAAGAATTTCGGTATTTATGGTACAGATGTTTCTGAAAAAATATAAATTTTTGATTATTTCAGTTTTTTTAGCCGGAACCGTTCTAGTCTGCTTGAGATTGTGATAAAATATGTTATTGAGGCACTGACAAAGGCTTTCAAGTTGTGGAAAGGCCGACTGGGATCTGTTACCCAGAGGCGATTTCCCATTTTATTTAATAACGTTCAAAGAAATATCATATGTGTATGTGTGATAGTGCCGTGCTGTGTTATAAATTATAACATCGACCGTTAATCGTTTATTTTATAATATATATGTATATATTAGTAGTTTCTTGATTATTCTTTGTTTTTGGCTTACGCTAAATACTAAAATCTTTCATTTGCAGGTATGTATTTTTCTTTGTAACGGAAACTTCCCCTTCATTTTGCTTATATAAGTTTTAATTTTAATAATTTTAACTGAAAATTTCTCATTGATTCCAAAATGTGACATCGAGATAACAGTGAATGAAAAGCTCCAATTTGCGTCTATTGTACATCAATTTACAGGTTTTTAGCAATTATATGCATTTATAAATACAAAGTTAGTTTGCGTCTCGCTTAAAAAGCAATTCCAGAGCGAAATAAAAACATTTCCAGAGCTGGCTTAACACAGACGGTATAAAGTTTTCGAGATACAACACACAGTTATAATCCATTAACGTTTTATCTTAGAATTAATTAAATGGGTTGCTTCACTGCTTTAGAAAATTGGTTTCGCGGACAATGTGCAAAATGGAAAATTATGTTTCATTGTTTTATTTGGATTTGATTGATTTTCTGCTAAACCCACCCATAATTAGGCCCTCAACTCTGCCAGCCTGCGCCTATTCGCTCTTTTTGTGTGTAATAACAGCATCCTCGATCTCCTCCTTTGGCTGATCCACATCACCCCATCCCCAGGTGGCGTGGGTGCCGTCGCCGGTGCGCTTCACACGCTTCTTGATGATATCCGTGGACACGGTCTTCAAGTCATAAGCCCAGCCAATCTTAGCGAAGAAGTCGATGAAGGCGGTGGTGAAATTTAGCGAATATTGGCCAAGCTCAGCGGTCTTGTAGTCCCAAGGGAAGACGTGATGATAGTTATGCCATCCCTCGCCGAAGGCTAGAATAGCCACCGAGATGTTCTCCGATGGGTTGATGAACCTGCAAAGCGTTTTAAATTAAGTTAGTGACCACTCCAAACGTTAAAACCATTTTTTTGTACTCACTTGTCGTAGGGGCGACCGCCGAACTTGTGGGCAGCACTGTTCACCAGCCAGGTTACGTTCAGAATGAAACACCAGCGGAACATAGTGGCCACGAACCAGGCATTGACGAAGGACTCTCCCCAAAAATACATGGGCACGGCGGTCGGCACAATAAAGCAGGCAATGGGCATCAACAGCATGTAGTACTTCTTCTGGAACATCAGGATGGGATCGGCACGAAGATCGGATAGATCGACTCCCTTGCCCTTGGCCTTCACTTCGGGGTGCTTCTTGCACAGCAGCCAGCCGACGTGCGAGAAGAAGAAGCCACGAGTAGCATTATGTGGATCCGCATCCGTCTCGGAGTACTTGTGGTGGACGCGATGATCGCGGGCCCAATGGTAGGCGGCATCCTGGAAGGCGATCGTGTTGAAAATGACCAGCAGCAGGCGCAGTGGCCACTTGGCCTTGTACGAGCGATGGGCCCAGAGTCGATGGGCACCAGCAGTAATGCCCAATCCGGACACCACATATAGGATATAAGCTACAAAATATAAAACAGAAGAAATGTTATAAATCTAAATAACTTCTTACAAAGTACATATAATATATTTAATTCAAGATAACTACAGTAATTAGGCAAAGAAATATTTTATTACTCAGATTGCTTCTACGAAATATAATTTCGCAAAATAATTATTTAATGATCGCGCTTTCTTGGACGGCGGGGTCAGTTTTAAGTGCCATACACTAAGAGGATACACTAACCGAACCGGCACATGCACTTAGTCCAGACTTTCACAACGACAATTGTGCAGAATTGGATTTAATTTAAAACCACCAACCTTTGCTTCGTTACGAGCGTCATTGAACGGGACAAAGACTATTCGGAAAATGTGTACTATAGACGAGTGACGAAGACAACAAGTCCACAGTGCGAAATACATATATTGAACGACTTTTGTCGGTCTATTAGAACTCCCACAATTCCGTCCTACCCAAAAAAGGCGCATCCCTACCAGTGTTTTAAATTCAGGAGTCGACAAATTAGGTTAAAACTATATACGAATTTTAGTATATTGTAAGAATATTAATTCAATGGTCAGTCATGAATGTCTGACACGTCCTGAATATACGACATTATAGTCGCAAGATATTCGAGGTACTGACAATTGGAAATATCAGCACGTAACTGTAATTGCGCCGATCAGTATTCTGGGCAATGTTATGTCTACAAATGGGACTTTGAGAAGGTTATCAGTTATCAATTATTAGATAACCCCAGACCGGCATGCGACAGGAAGATGACAATGGTTGCCAAGGTTTACTTTGTTCAGACCATATGTGCTTAGCTCGTAAATGTATTTATATAGCTAAACTGGGAAGAGGATATTTTCTGAAAGTTCGCTTTTAAAAAGCTCTCTTACTAGTTAACGAATATAAATCATTCAACTGTTAGCACGTCTTTAGTTGTTTCCCAAATGTTTCTTACTTTTTGATTTGTTTACATGAGTCATTCGAAAATTGTGTTCTAGGTAAAAGTTTTTGTAGTTGAGTAATTTAATTTAACGGACTTGACCTTTGAATTACCTTTGGGATATTAGTTTAAAAAATAAATTTAACTAGCTGAGCTCGGGTTAGGCAATTATCTCATAATACAACTACAAATTTTCCTTTTTAAGTATGCCACATTTAAATATTTTTTAAGTCTGCGTTTAAGCGTCCCATTAAAAAGTAAAACCATAAACAAAAAAATATACAATTTATGAAAATGATGGACAGATAGATATATGGCCCCGAAAACCCTTGAACTCACCGAGGGCAATGGTCGGCCATTTGGCGGAGGTAACCATAAGATAGGCGCCGTAAAGTGCCGCCAGATGCAGGTATCCGAACGCGATGATGTTTCGCCAGACGAGCTTCAGGCGGCGCTTCTCCGCCTTCTTCAGCGTGGTAATATCCTTCTCCAGGCCGCCATCGGTGGTCTCCACATCGCACTCGAAGAGCACTCCCGTAGAGTCCGCTTGCAGCTTGTTGGGCGGCGAATCAGCGGCGGCATTAGCCGCAGCAGCGATCAGCGAGTCCGTAATGGACTGGGCACCGGCCTGGGCGTTGGGCGGCATTTTGCATCAACTGCAGGTGAGGGAAGAGAGCAACAAAAACACTTGTTAGTTATTGGCATAAAGAAATAAACAAAATAGCAATTAGTGTGAGCCAACTCGGTGAATTGGGCAATTAGCCAAGCCAGTTGAACTTGACACGCTTTCCGAGGAGGTGACTCTAACTGCTCTTTATGGTTGGGGTGTCGTCTCTTAATGACCAGACACCCTTTAAAGATTCCTGTCTAATTTGCTTTGGTTTTTGGATGGGGAGGAGGGGAGGTTCGCGCTCTCTCTCTCTCTTAGTTATTAGACCTTATATTTGTTACACGTTCAGTTTAAGGACGGTGAACAGTAAAAAGCTTAAGAACCTTCTAGGGCTCAATAAAAATGACGCAAACCGAAATTCAAATTACCCAATTTAAAATGAAATAAATCAAATTAATTGTGACAAGAGCAGTGTACTACTCGGCTGTTGCATTATTTATACGTTAAATCACCGGGTGGCGGTAAAAAATCAATACAACGCCCAGAACGTCCGCGTCCTTGTCATAGGACTCGCGGCATGAATAATGAAAAAGCCGGTGTGGGAAAAAGCGTCAGGTGTGTGTGTATGCAGATATGCAGATGTGTTTCCATACATATATGTATATATATGTATATACATATTCATGCTAGTGGGTCAGTGGGAACCTTGGCTCAAGGTTAAGAGCCAAAGCTGACGCGCTTAATCTTTCAATGGAAAATTTCCTTTTCAATCCATTTTGGCATGCTTTGTTATACACATATTCACAAACACACACACACACACAGATACACGCTTATGGGCATGCACATGGAAATAACCAAGAATTGTAAACTATGCTTTTGATAAAAGCACCTGTCCACGTTTGATAAATTCCAATAGAGGAGACACACACATTTTAATTGCACCTGGTTTGCACCCAAAGAATGTGTTTAATTCGCGTCCGGCAAAGCCGCTTCGGTTAACTTAAGTTTTAAAACTGCTGATGTGTTTGGAAATTTCGCACGAAGAAGAATCGCGGCAGTTGCGAAAAAGCTCATATTTGGCTCTCTATTGCTCTCGCTAGAGCTTTTAATGATTGGAGAGCGGAGAGGTGGGGCTATCGCAGGTGTTCGCTCCAATCGGAGATTAGATTTTGGCCAGTTGGGCGAGATACTACTATGCGAATTCGTCCAATGCTAAGGTCAGGGTTAGGCACCTCGACTAGTCTAGACTAGAGAGACTTTGGCCCAATCTAATCGCCAATCTAAGGGCCCTTAACTCTGTCGCGTGATGGCGGCGTGGCTTTATCTCTCGGCTACCTGAGAACGCGATCCAATCACATGTTAATCACCCGCCAATTGCGGTTTCATCAAACGAACGGCCATTACGCCGGGCAAACAGGCAGGCGGGTACTTCGACCCTAGGATGACAACCTAACGTAACCCATAGGGGGACACGTGAACCTCTGTGGTCAAGCGAGAGCTTAAAAAATCATACGATGCTGAGTGTAATAGTCAGCGAAAATGCGATTAGAAAAGAGAGATGGCGACGGGCAGTAGCGGAAGCAAAAAGATTTCGAAAGGTTTCTGTCAAAGATCAGTGCTTTAAATAAATAATGAGTCAACTAACCATAATATAAATTATACAACGTCATTATTTATCAAAATTAATATAAATTGCTTATCTTTGAAATACATTTTTTTACTATTTTAAAGTCCCCTGCGCTAAATTTTTAGCTTCGCCCCTGATAATGAAGTGTCAAGAACAAGAATCTTGTCTACACACCAACGGCACACTCATGAACACACATTTATATTAATACGTATTTATAAATTTTTAACGCAAGAACAGCAGATCACAAGTAAAAGCTTTTCGACATGGCAAAAACAACAGAACCAGGAAGAGAAAGAGAGCGAAAAGCGCCAAAGCTTAATTGCCGCCATGTCAACCAAACAGCTGATTTTTCTCATCGCAAGGGGAGAGCCAAAATTGAATGTGTCGGATAACCGGCAAAATACACCTGATGGAAACGAAGAGATAAGATGCAAACGGCACAAATTTATCAGAGTGGCGCATTGAACTTGAAATTAGTTGTCGCATGGTCGCCTCTTCGCGGTTGTTGTAGGAACGGATAGCGTGGGAGCTTATATCCGAAAGCAAGAGAAAGCAAGCAGAGACAGAGAGAGAGAGAGAATAAAGGAGGGAGAGTAGTTTAGTTCTCCAATTGTTATTGTTGGGAACCGTTATCACGCTCCTAAAGCGTGATAGTCTCTACTACACTTGGCAAAAATGAGAGAAATTAATCGATGAGGAAATATAGTGCAGTTTTGAAAAAGAAGGTCAGATGTCAATGCGGATCAGGAGTAAATAAACATACTTTATGCCACATTTTTAATGCATTACAATCTGTTATGAAAGTAAATTTAGATAATAATACTAAACAATTAATGGCTATTTGCGGCTAAGTTGACTCCGTGAAAATTGATAATACTTTTGCACTTTTGATAATACTTTTACTTTTGCACTCCCTATCTGTATTTACCTATTCAGGTAAATTAAAGTTAATTCCAGTCTTTCCTCTTTCTTAGGATCTAAAATTTAGTTGTCTACAATCGAAGACTCGCACAGATTCTAATCTGATAAATACACTTCAGTAGTAAATATAGTTGCTCAGCCTGTACCTCAACAGAGACTGATTTTGAAAATTAAAAATTGTAATTTAAACGGCAAATTGCTTATTCGAATTCCATATGTAATTACTGTCAAAGTTTATTCACCGCGGAACAGACAAAATGCACTTGTGTATTGATAAAATGCAGATTAAAAATAAATTAATTCGTATGAAGACAAGTAAAGGAAAGAGAGAGAGAGAACTAGGGGAATTCATTTCCAAAGCTACAAAATGCTAATTTTGGTTTTTGTGTTTCATTTAATTTTAATTTGGAGTGCGACATTAGCGAACGAAGCACATTAAAAATAGGATATTCTGGAGGTCTATCAAACTGAAAATTGCTCATTTATATTACAAGTATTTTGACTGGGAAGCCGTAAGGTCTCTAAGGCACGCGGACTACTGCGTACCTTTATTACCTGGCCAGTGAAATCCAAAGCCCCCTTCACGAGGGTATTCACTTAACCTTCTTATTAATGCGGTGACCGCTCAAGCAAAACCTTGACAACCGAAGAGTGAACGCTACATAAACCGAAGCAGAGAGCTAGTTTTTAAAATGAAATTCCGATTTGCAGAGCAGTCCGCAGGAAAAGCGTTTATGCTGAGGGAAAACTCTTGCAGAATTGCATAAATTGCGTTTTTTGCTTTCACACTCGAGGTTTTACGTAAACACTGGTCATAGCGACAAAATCCTGTTGCCGTGTCTGCTCAACAAGTGGCAAAAAGCGACAGCTTATGTGTAGTCAGTCCAGCTGGGAAACTAACCCACCAACCTGTTTGATTCTCCAAATAAAGACACGCCGCTCCGCTTCTTAGACTTGCACTTTTCTTCGGAATAAACCCGAAATCGTTGTTTGTAACTCTGTTTCTGTGGAGGAGTGCCAAGAGCACACGTCCGTACGCTAGAGGAACTCGATGTGAACTAACAAAACTTTCGCACACTTGCCAAAATGAAAACAAATCGATTAAGACCGACCGGGCCGGCGGCGTCAGAGCTTTTCCGTCGTCGTGTGCATTTTCGTGGCTATTTCTCCCGAGCTGCCCAGATTAGCGGCATGCACGTAGCCCAATCTGCCGCCCCAATCTCTAATGTCAATTGAAAACATCTGCGCAGGCATCATCGCGTAATGACCATCGCCTAATTCCAGATTCAATTACATGTGGGATAAGCCGGTACATTTAGGCGTCTCGTATTTGTAAACATTCTCAGAACGTAAAATTAGGGGGCTAGTCTAGCGAAGTAGATAGCTGGAAAGTTTAGCCTTCGCACTTTGGATCCCAGCTGTGGGTTAGGTCTATTTAACCCAATCTAATCGATGTATTCTGGCTTTCCGGCCTTGCTTCCCCCCTCATAATGGGTAAGCCGCAAATACACCTGGCCTCTTCATATTTCGTTTTTAGCAAAATTTACGGTTCTCGTACTTTGGCCGGTCCAAACCAGTTGGCAAGATCAACGCACACCGCTTTTGACCAATATCTTTACATATTTCATTAAAAACCCGCAAACACAAGACTGATTTGCATAGTTTCAGTGATTTTGAATGGCAGAAGGTGAGGTTGAAGATGGACACACGAATTTTTATAGCGAATTCCATGCTCTTTCAGTCACACGACTTACTTAAGACCCTGCGAAGTACTAGTTACTTATAAATAATAATACTTGAATAAAAGTATTCTTTGCCATAATACACTGTAAAGTTAAATTAGGCCTTGACCGTGGTTTAAAAAATTGAGAAGAAATTACACCATATAAAGTGGTTCCCTTCAGAATCATCTCGTACCAAACAGCGTGTTGTGAATATACATATGTACCTATTAATGTACAAATATATAGTCATATATATGCTCTATAATGCGCAGTTGAAAGATGAGCTTCAATATCTGTTCAGTTGTGTGCATTTACCTCATACGTTCTATTAAATTAATCACCTAAACTGTTCGCAATCTTCCTTACGTGAAATTCCTCTGGACGTCAATTGAAAAAGAGTACAACGTTGCAACCCATTCAAAGAGAATACAGAAAGGTTATCAGTCTCAAGGACCGAGGCTTTGAATACTCTTTGTTAATCGTATTCAAAACTGTGATTAATTATGACCAAACTTGGAGGAGCGTTTAAAACTTGTCTGGTAGTCGAAGAGTAGACCACGATTGTGGCTTCTAGCCATGATTACTTATTGAGATGTTATAAAAATACAAAATAATATTATTCGATTATTAGCCCAAATAAAGTACTCTCCTACAATTATCAATTACTAACTATGTTTCACTTTTCGTAAATTGTTGTTAAATTGAAAGGGTATTAAATGTTCTAATGTGATCTATTAACGCGTGATGCGATGCCGAATGCCATTGAAAGGGTTAAACTTCTGGATCTGCTATTGCGTTGCATTAGGTGTGACGTCACCGAGGCGTGCGCTCCCTAAGGTTACATGTAAACAACTTTCGGTGCATTGCACTGATCTTATGGAATAATAAACTATTTAATAAATTTCCATTGCCTGCTAATCGGCTTTATTCTAATCATTTCCACGCCACAAAACAGCAATAAAAAAAGACGCCGGCTGCATAGACAGGTTCCCGATAACGCTAATGTCACTAATTGCTTTAAAAACTTTAAAGTGTTTGTTGCTATCTCGATTAAACAAATTTTACTGCCAAAGACTTACCTAAATGTTTTGCAAATCCAAAATTAGCACAAAAATTTCCAGATTCAAGAACTTCTTTTATTTATAGAGATGACAAATCAAACAATGGTGAGTAGATAAACATCGAATGCGTGTTTTAAGTCATTTTATCGATACCCTTTTTCTTCATTATATATCGGAGCGGTGAAATTCAAATGTAGTTTCGGTTTAAAACATCAGTTCTTATATAGATTTTACTTTAAACCCAAAATGCAAACTTTTAAACTAAAAGGTAAACACAACTATGGCAAAACAATGTAACAAAAAACTAAACACGACCCATATCAGGATATATAGAGAACCCTCAACACCGGGAAGTAGTCATTGCCTGCACATCTGTCCTGGACCTTTTCCTCGTTCTGCTAGAGGGGCGGGGCGGCAGTCAAAGAAAATCTAATAAAAACCAAAACTTTCCAGCAGACGAACCGATTATTCTTATCAAAACGGACCTGCTCAACCCTCAACCCTGGACGTGATCCAGCTGACTATAATTTAACAATCTAATATTAGTTTTAGTACTCAAGAACTCTGGACTTTATCACAAACTTTTTATAAATTGACACTTAAATTGTAGACGTCTTCAAGTTATCTTTATCCGGTGAGGATTATTACTAAAGAGGACCACTTGTTGGGAATTATGCAGCGGTAATTTCTTATCGCCATGTAACCACTATATCTACACAATTGACGCCTTATTGATAAGGCGTAATTTCGTACTATTTTTAAGTCTCTTAAAAGTTTATATTTATTGAAGCGAAAGAGGAAGGAAGAATGGAAATGCAATGGAAACCTCCATTAACCATAATATTAAATAACACATTATTTAGCATACCATAAATTAAGTGGTTTACGATTCAGATGCCTCCTTATACATCAGTCTCTCTTCTTATCAACAAATAGAACATTCTTGGCATCTTCGGCGGTGAGGTCCTTGTCGCCCCATCCCCACAGCTCATGGGTACCGTCGCCAGTGCGCTGAACCCGCCTCTTTATGATGTCCGGAGAAACGGATTTAAGATCGTAGGCCCAGCCAATCTTGGCGAACAAGTCAATGAATGCTGTGGTTAGGTTCAGGGAGTAGTTTCCCCATTCGGCCGTCTTATAATCCCAGGGGAACACGTGATGATAGTTGTGCCAGCCTTCGCCAAAAGTCATGGCTGCAACGCCAGCATTCTGAACGGGATTCATTGAACTGCGGAAAGGAAATCCATTAAAAAATGGCACTTGTTGTTAGCATGCATTTGCTCTTACCTGTCGTAAGGCTTTCCTCCGTATTTGTGAGCCGCACTGTTTACCAGCCAAGTCATGTTCAGCTGGAAGCACCAACGGAACATGGTGGCCACGAACCAAGAGCACATCAGCGACTCATCCCAGCACATCTTGGGAATTACCGTGGGCAGGATGAAGCAGGCCAGCGGCATCATGACGTAGTAGTGTCTAGTCAATAAAGGTAAATGAAGTTGGAATTTTTTCTATTAAAATAATAAATATAAAAAGACTTTTACACGTACTTGCGTTGAAACATTAAAATGCGATCGGCCCGAAGGTCGGAAAGATCCAGGCCCTTGCCCTTCTCCTTTACATCCGGATGCTTTTTGCACAGCAGCCAGCCCACGTGCGAGAAGAAGAATCCTCGGGTGGCATTATGCGGATCGGCATCCGTCTCAGAGAACTTGTGGTGCACCCGATGATCGCGGGCCCAGTGGTAGGCGGCGTCTTGGAAGGCCACCGTGTTGAATACAATTAGGATCAGGCGCAGTGGCCACTTGGCTTTGTACGAGCGATGGGCCCATAGTCGATGGGCACCTCCGGTGATTCCCAGCATGCCGCAGGTGTATAGGACAGCAGCTGGCGAAAAGGAAGTTATGAAGGATACGCCTTCAATGGGAGCAATTTGAAACTCACAGAATAATGTGGTGGCAAACTTGGCCTGTGTGAATATTAAATACAATCCGTATAGGGCTGCCAGGTGGACATAGGCAAAAAGGATTATGTTGCGCCAGACCCAAGGCAGCTTTCGATCCTCGGCCCGCTTAAATTGTGCGGTATCGATGGCCAGATCTCCATCCATCGTTTCCGCATCGGCCTCAAAAAGGACTCCTGTCTGCTTTGATGATCCGTCATCCATGTTATCCTTGAAATATGGAGGCATGTGTCTGTCCTGTTGAATGCACATTCGCGACTAAATGAATTATTGTCGTAAACGAATTCATATATTTGTAAGATATTCTCAAGTATGGTACCACCTTTCATAGTTGCGTATGTTAAGAGTACTTAATTCCGGCTGCATGCCAATCCAACACTATCTATCGGGTACTTGAATTTTACAATTAAAATTAGTGCACACACGAGTAGTGCCAGAGGTCAGAAAAACTACACAGCATGGCACGAGCCGTAGACGAAGTAGGTTGTGCATTCATAAATAAATATGTAGTATACATTTACATAAACGCTAAATAAAATGCGATTAAAGCTTTGAAAATTTACTTGCAAAGGGTCCAAAACCGGGCGCTGCGCACAATCACAAATGCACCCTGGTTTGCTAGGAATGCAGACATCGCTAACGACCTCAAAATGCTACCAGTGAGGGAGCAGATCAACAGGCACTCAAGTCGGTACAATGAACGGCTTTTGGCCCACACCAACCACCTAGCGGCATCATTGGCCATCCCCATGTCCAGACGAAGACTGAAGAGACGACATCCAGGTGACCTTTGGTTAAGAGGGAGGCAAAGAACCCGAGTCCTACACCAATAACTGAAATGCCTTTGTAAATTATAAATTGTTGTTTACCGTTTACTGTTATGTTTCCATGTTATGTTTGTTGTTAGTGTTAGTCCCTACGTTTTATAATCATTGATTTGGTTGATTAACGTATAATTAAATTTGAACTTATATAAAAAAAAAAAAAAAAAAAAAAAAAAAAAAAGAAAATTTACAATTATTTCCTGAAAGCACGGCTGATCTTGGAACTTTCAACTGAATCAATACGCTTGTACATTTTTAAATCCTTCTCAATAATTAATTTATTTTTACACTTCTTAAATAATTAAATTTTTTGTTTGATTAAGGAAGTTATTATTTTTGAAATCCAATTTTTGGTCAATCAATTTGTCATACAGCAACTTAAGAATTACATGTCTAAAATAATCAAGGCCAACATGTTTTAGCTAAGCCTTTCGAGCATTCAAATATTTTTTGGATCGGATCATAAGAACAGATATCTTATTTGACGGTACCCGAAATCAGGACAAGACTTTGGGAACACACATAATGTTTTTAGCTTTTACATGATTTTTGTCTTTTTAACACAATTTTTCCTTAAATAATAAAATATTATGCTTTTATTATTTTAGATATATTTAGATTAAAAAAATATATATATTAATATTGTCCTTTAGCTTTCTCACAGTAATAAGGACCTTTTTTTTTATTTAAACTCGACCGAGAATATTTAAATGAAATAAATAAACAGTCTTTGATTGTTTTTTTTTTTTTTTTTTGCCTTTAGTTGGAAATGTAACTGTACAACAATAGTCACTCACTTTTTTAACTTAATTAAATATTATCCTGGTGAAGTATTGCGCGATGTTGTCTAATTTTGTTTTGGCGTATGCTCGACTGCCTATCCCAGTTGCTGGAATAGAACTGTTTTAAGGTGAAACAAAGTTTTAATATAAACAAGGAAAACTTAAGCGATTTAAATTTTGTCAGTTTAATCAAGACACAAGTGTCTATTAATGCAACAAAATGCATTCATTAGTGTTAACCCTAGATCGTCTACACTTTTACCTCGAAATGATATATGAAAATAAGCAAGCAAACCAATAATACTATTAGAAATAATTAGAAAAATGCAAATTAAGTTTAGTTATATTTAATTTATTCTATATTTGGTTAGTTTTAAGTCAGAAAAAGACAGAAGGCATTCAATGATGAATATTAATTTAAAAAACCTCCTCATCCCAGCGATTGTAATCTCATAGCATGTGCAAAGTAGAAGTCTAGCTGATGATTTGTTCAATATTACCTATGTATGAATATAAGAAAATATTTGATATGGCTCAAAGTTCGCATGACGTGTTGCGAGCGAGTGTATTTACTTTATGGAACGGCCCAAGTCTAGACATATTAAATGAATCACTTTTATAAATGGAATTATAAGTCACACTGGTCAACTGGGTAAATTTGATAACTAAAATTAATAAGCTCACATAGCTTAAATAAAAACTCAAGCAACTGTTCAACATAAACTTACAGGGGAAGTTTTTTGATTAGCATCAACATAAAGATACATGAATATAATTACACGAGGCAAAACGATTTTATTATTATTCTTTTATTTTCACAATCTTAAAAAATTATATGATAAAAAGTATGTTAATAAATATAATTAATGACCATAAAGAAGCAGATGGTTATTATCCAAATATCAAATGAATTCCATCTAAAATACAAGATACATAATTGTCCAAGTAGCAAATTAAGTTTTGTTGCCCTGTTGTTGATGGTTCGCAATTCAATTGAATCATATCAACTAAAGTGTTTTTGTTTCTAATCATTGATTCTTCGTCATCATCAATAAATTATATATTTATAGCGGTGCAAATAATCACGTCATTGAAAAATTAGCTTCAAAGTTCAACGCAGTACAATACCATGACCTACCGGACTTTCCAAAGTCTGTCCAGAGCAACAACGATAAATAGGTGTTATAAATCGTTATTATATTTTAAACAGACTCGCATTTTAACTTCAGTATTATGATTTACTTTTTAAGCTTTTGCAACAATTTTTATGATTTTACTAAGAAGTCAAGGAGTGCAGTCAAGGAGTACAGTCAAGGAGAAATTTGCGTTGTTTGCATCAACCACAGGAGTCGAAAATAAAACGAATAACGTTTTTGTATATTTTTATATATTTGTAAGATATGGAAGTTGTTTACTTCCTTTTCCATACAATCTTTTAAAGGACCAGGGAAAAACCATACAATAAAAATGTGCGTCAACTTAATATTACGTTGATTTTGCTTCCAATTTAATAACGTTGGCCGAGTGTTATTTTTAAAACTGCAAGGGTATATAAGCTTCGGTGTGCTATATTTACCTTTCTGTGTGTTTTTTTTTTTTTGTATTTTATAGAAAATTGAAGGCTGCTCGACTGCCTTGAAAGCACCTCTTTATTGCATTAACGAATATATGAATAAAATGTGTAAGTAAATTGTTTCCACTTCAAAAGGAAATGCTAAGCACGCTTAGCCATAGGCCAGTCAGTAGGAAAAGACAAACACCATCGTCCTAGTATTTAAATATAGGATATCAAGGAAATATATTAACTCCGATTTGTAGCACAGAATTATAATAATGTATTTGAATAAGTTAACAAGTCGAATGGCTCAGTTTGAAACTGCTAAGTGAGGGTGTTATGTACAAAGTTGAAGTGTATGATTTGGAACAGTTAATTTTGTTTCATTTTTGGGGCGCGACTATTATTCCTTTGGCTTATCTTTTGTTTCTTTACTATCGGCGCTCTCCACGGGCTTTTCCTCGGACTTCTTTGACTTCTTCTGGGCCTTTTCCGCCTGTTTCTGTTTCTCGGCTTCGGCCAATGCAGCCTCCTGCTCTTGCTTTAGTTTCTCCTTCTGGGCAGCGGCCTCGGCCACTTCCTCATCATCCCAATCGGCCATCGAACGATCCCGCTTGAGCCACGAGTGTGTGGTGTCTGGCTTGAAGGCTGCAACAAAAGAAGCATTACAAATGTTACAACAAAATAGATTAGAGCAACTCACTCTGATTGAACCACTTAATGCCATTCTGCATGTCCTCGATGATTTCCCGCGAAGTGTACATCACCTCGTTCTGCACGGCCTGGTGGAAAGTAGACGTCTCGAAGGCGCTCGAATAGACAGAGTTGCGATCGTGGATGAGGGCTCGCTGCGGGAACTTGGCCAGGCATGTGGCCAGCTCGAGGGCATTGCCCAGAGCCGTGCCCGTGGGAACTATGCGGTTCACCAGTCCAATGTCGTGGGCTTCCTGGGAGCCTACCGGTCGTCCAGTGAGTATCAGATCCAGAGCACGGGACAGTCCAATCATGGCCGGCAGGCGAATAGTGCCGCCATCCAGCATCGGTACGCCAAAGCGACGATTGAAGAATCCCAGCACGGCGGACTCCTCCATGACGCGCAGGTCACACATCAGGGCCAGCTCCAGACCGTTCGCAATGCAGTATCCGTTGATGCCGCACACGACCGGCTTTTTGATCTGGCGGCGCGTGGGCCCTACTGAGCCCTCCGGCCGCATCAGAATGTCCACGCTGATCTCCTCCTTCTCGTCGTTGCTCATCTCCAGGATGTCGAAGCCGGAGCAGAAAGACCCGCCCACGCCGTAAAGCACGGCCACCGGCGAAGTATCGTCCGCCTCGAAGTTGGCAAAGGCGTCACAGAGTTGCGACGCGGTAAGGGAATCGATGGCGTTGCGCTGTTGCGGCCGGTTGATGCCAATCAGCGTGATATTCTTGTCCTTCTCCACCAGGATGTTCTTCGGGGGTCCCGACTCCGCCGCTGTCTGGGGCTCGGCATCTGCAAGCGCACAATTCCAAATACTTATTAACATTATGTCACTGGGGTTTGCGTTGAGTTACCTTTACGCAGTGCATTTGTCGCGGAAAATGTGCGGCGGGCTGAAAAACGAGCCTGCTGTCCCACCTGCTGGCCCACCAGTGTGCCGAATCTGCGAAACATGTTCTGTGGCGGCGTCAAAACAATTAAAGTGGTAAAAAAGCGGCAATGTTTACCGGAAAAATTGTTGTTCGTCAAGTTAACTTCGTAAAAACAACCCAATGAGAATGGTGTTCAGGGTTGCAGCCCTCTAATTGGGAGTCATAATTATCAATCTAGCTTTTTTCCGCAAACTTGGGATTATTTAAAAGAATTCAGTTAAAAGCGTTTTAAAAAGTTGTTGGCAATTTATTTGATTTATATTTTTTTATTTATATATTTATAAATATTCATTTCATATTGGCAAAAAAGCTATATTTGGTATTTATTTCAAGTTGTTGTGGATAACAAATAAGGTAATACTAATTTCGATAATTTTTATAAGGCGTTAGTGTTTTGTTTTGGCGTCTCCACGAATTTTTGCGAGATTTTGCTTTGTGCTGATAAAATTAATTAAACCAAGTTTATATATAATATCAGTCATGGGCATGGAAGTGGATACCAAGGAGTCTGTGGTGGAGCTCACCGAGGCGGAAAACGAGCTGTACGACAGGCAGATTCGACTCTGGGGCCTGGAATCGCAGAAGCGGTTAGTAAAGAGCCGGCTTTTTGCAAAGGCTGTGTTAATAATGGCGAAAATGTACTTCATATGGTTTTAGTCTGCGCACATCGAAGATACTCATCGCTGGACTCAGTGGCCTAGGTGCCGAAATAACCAAGAACATCATTCTCTCCGGAGTTAACTCCGTGAAGCTACTGGATGACAAGCCCGTCACCGAGGCAGACTTTTGTTCACAGTTCCTAGCGGCACGTGAATCTCTGGGCAGCAACCGTGCCGAAGCCTCTTTGGCACGTGCACGTGCTCTGAATCCGATGGTCGACATCTCCACCGACACACAGCCGCTGAAGGAGAAGGCCGCCGACTTTTTTGGTCAATTCGATGTGGTGGTGGTAAATGGAGCGTCTAACGAGGAGCTGTTGCGCATCGATACCATTTGCCGGGAGCTGGGTGTTAAGTTCATTGCCACCGATGTCTGGGGCACCTTCGGTTTCTATTTTGCAAGTCTGCAAAAGCACAGCTATGTCGAGTATGTATAATAATATTACAGTTTTTATATATTTAATTTTAAACCAATTAAATTGCCTCCTCATAGGGATGTAGTCAAGTACAAGAAAGTGGAAAATTCTGATAAGAAGACAAAGTTTGAGACCTTCTCGATTCCTACACAGCGGGAAGTGGACTACCCCGGATACTCGGCCTGGCTGGAGTTCGACATCACAGCGCAGAGTTATCAGCGCAAGCTGAAGCGCAACGGACCGGCCATTATCCTGCTGAGTGTACTGCAGAAGTTCCGCACCACCCATCAGCGCGATCCCAACTACAAGAGCCGGACGACTGACTTGGAAATGCTTCGCAAAATACGCGACGCAATTTTGCCAAACTCTGCACTTAGCGACGAAACTCTCGGTGTTATTTTCGCCCAGATATCTCCAGCAGTGGCCGTGGTCGGCGGCGTTGTGGCCCAAGAGGTTATCAAGGTGGTCACAAAAATGGAAGCACCTCACCGCAACCTCTTTCTGTTTGACCCAGTGACCTGCGCAGGATCCGTTGAGACTTTCGAAGCCAAGTAACAGAAGAAATCCAATAATAAATCTAAAGTTACATTCACTCATTTCAAATAACACCACAGTTGAAAATTTTATTTGTTTTTAATGTCCCGTAGTTATCAAAAAAGCTTAGCTTGGGGTTCTCTTAGCGGGGCGCTTAGGGCTTAGGGGATGTTGGCCAAATAGTCCTTGATTGAGGCCGGGTCCAGACGCTGGAAACCGTTCTGATCGCAGATTCCGATTTCAATATTATCGGCAGTCATTTTTCCCTCGAAGCCCTCCTTCAGAGTCAGGATGGCGGTGTGAACAGCATCCTCCAGCTCCAGTTCTTCGCTGTAACTGCACGGCAAACGGAAATTTCAGTATTGACAGTTTACATTCGGTACTCTATGGGTACTCACCGCTTCTCCAGGAAAGTTTTGCCGTTAACAGCATTCTTACCCATGGCAGTGGCCTTCCAGGCGAAGTAGGCGCCCGAGGGATCGGATTGGTACAGATAGGGGCGATCGTTGTCCCACCCACAGATCAGCAGGGATACGCCGAACGGACGAACGCCACTAAAAAAAACGAGGCTGGTTTTAGGAGAAGCACCATATGGGGTATGGCGTGATCTTACCCGGACTGGGTATACTCCTGCATAAGGGTTGCCACGCGCTGCACCAGCTGCGACACCGGAATAGGCTCCTTGTAGGTGAGGTAATATGTCTGGGCGATCTTGCGGGCTTGCTTCACTAGCAGGCGATAGTCCGGACCCATTCCCGAGTAGACCATGCCAATGTGCTTGTTGATCATCTCCACGCGGTGGACACTGTGCTCCTCGTACAGCGGTGACTTGTGCTTGTTCTCGGTGGCAATGACGACGCCGTTTGATGCTACATAAAAATGAGAGTTACTGGGTACGCCTATCAACCGGGTCAGACAGATTCTCACCCATAATGCCCACGGAGGGAGCTCCGCCAGACACCGCCGCCAAGGCATACTCCAGTTGGACGAGCTTGCCCGAAGGACTGCAGAAGTGCAAAAATTATGTTTATTGCCCAGTCATGGTGAAGTACCGGTCGAAAAATCGAACATTCCTCAATGGTTCTTAGGGTCCACTTACCTGAACGTGGTCAGGGAAAAGCTGTAGCGTTCAGTAGCCATCTTTAACGGTCCTGAGCAGCAGTAATGTTATTTGTAGAATAAAAAAGCCGACTTACTTTGCACAGAAACAAAAATGACACAGCAAATGGTTGTCGGAGTGACCAGGTGCGAAGCTGAAAAAGGGCCTTTTTGTCTATAAAAAATACTAAAATATCATTTCGGCTAAAATCTACATTTCCAGCTACTTTTCTATTTTACCGGGTTATTGTGGTCAACTTTAAAAGAATGTTACATATTTTTATTTTATTATTTTTCGAAATTTTTATTAAATCCTTGGTATTATAATTTGTTTATATTTTTATTATGGTGGGAACCCTAATTTTTTGTTAGTATAGCTTTCTAGTATATTTTGACAGATATGATTTTTTGAAAACGACAGTGTTTTTCACCGGTCGTGTTGCGGCCACACTTGTTTTCATCTCCCCAAAAAAAAAACGCTCCGGCGTCGCGAAAAATAAGTTAAAATTCATCCTCACAGAAATATGGTTCGCGGAGCTCTTCGAGGTGGACGCCCCATGCGGGGGGGTATTCGTCCGCCATTCAAGAAGACCTTTGTGCCGCGCCACCCGTTCGATCTCACTCTGGCAGAAGTCTGCTTCCCAAAAGTTCCGCTCGCTGGCGCCGTGGATGATTCTGCTCTGACTGCGGTAAATCAATAAACGTACATGGGCGGAGGAATGGAATTAATTAGCCTTCTTCTCAGGCCCTACTGAAGCGCAACCAGGACCTGAGCCCCAATCCCAGCGAGCAGACGGCCATCGGAAACCTGGTGACCAAGGTGCAGGCTGTACTGGACAATCTAGTGGTGGCCCCTGGAGACCTGACAACTTGTGTAAGAAGTCTGGCATGACAGTGGAAACAAAACTTTTAATTTCCCTAATCAACAGCAACTGGAGGAGGTACGCCAGGTGGGCTCCTTCAAGAAAGGCACCATCCTTACCGGCAACAATGTGGCCGACGTGGTGGTAATCCTCAAGACACTGCCGACCAAGGAGGCGGTCGACGCCTTGGCCAAGAAGGTGGAGACCGACCTCAAAGCTAGCATGAAGACCGAGGTGTTAACCAAGGGAGACCAGCATACTATCCAGACACACGAGCGCGGCTTCGACATCGCTAATGTCCACGCCAAGGTGCGCATCCTGATCGCCACCTTACCACAGAACTTGCGTAAGCTGGAGCCAGAGATTCACATGGACCACAAGCTGATGCAGAGCCATTTGGCCGCCATCCGCCACACGCGATGGTTCGAGGAGAACGCTCACCACTCGTCGATCAAGGTTCTTATTCGAATTCTAAAGGATCTCACTCGGCGCTTCGACGCCTTCGCTCCTCTGTCGGCCTGGATGCTGGATTTGATTGCCCATTTGGCCATTATGAACAACCCATCGCGCCAGGCACTGCCCATCAATCTAGCGTTCCGGCGCGTCTTCCAGTTGCTCTCCGCCGGGCTCTTTCTGCCTGGTTCGGCCGGCATCACCGACCCGACCGAGCCGGGCCACATCCGGGTGCACACGGCCATGACTCTGGAGCAGCAGGATGTGTGCTGCTATACGGCCCAGACGCTGCTCCGCGTACTGGCACATGGTGGGTACAAGCATATCCTGGGTATGGAGGGCAACACCAGCATCGTGCGCGAAATGTCCGTCTGGAACGGCGTGTGCGTCTCACCGCTGACTGCTGTCTACGAGAAGCCCACGGATAAGAAGGATGGTGACATCGAAGAGGACATTGAGATGATTGAGAACGAGAATGAGGACGATGGAGGCAGTGACGAAGGCGCCGAGTAACTCCTTGCCATTTTATTCGTATTCAATCGCACTTTATGTATCACCTACTCATCTACGCATGTATTTTTCATTGACTAAAGAATTAGCATGCTCCCAGTTATGGGTTCATCCTCACAAACAGAGTCCGTTAATTCTTTTCCAAGTATGTCCCAGTATGTTTCGGCTGTGAGGCCCCTTGGCTCGCTGACTTTGATGGCCAAGTCGTTCAGTTGCAGGCGGTGGCCTTTGCTGAGATTGCGGGTTGCCACAATGGATTTGCCCAACTTATTCCTGCAAGGCAACTCGCAGAGCATAATGTCTTTATCATGGACATCCCGCAGAGCTTCTGCCAGTTCATTACCGCCATTTAGGGTTCTTATTATTTCACTGGCAGCGAGTGGTTTCTTCCCTAGTTTGAAGTCGCCGATTGCTCTTGATAAGGTTCGCAGTTCCGTAGGCTCTAGAGAGCAGCGGTGGTCAGAGCCCTTCTGATTCTTGTCCAGCGTGAAATGGCGCTCCACTATGCGGGCGCCCAACAATACTGCTGCCTTGCTAATGGATATCCCCAGCTCGTGTCCTGAGTAACCAATAACCACGCTCGGAAAGCGTTGCCTCAGCAAGGAAATAGTCTGCAACTGGCAATCTTTCGGCAAAGTTGGATAAGACGAGACGCAGTGCATAAGGGCAAAGTTGTGTTTTCCAGCCTCTTCCATTATCTGAACAATCCGTTCAACAGTGGTCATAGTCTGCATTCCCGTAGAGATGACCAGGGGCAAGTCTAAGCCAGCTGCCTTTTTCAGAAGCGGAAAATTGTTTGCATCTCCAGAGCCAATTTTAATAAAGGGCACATTTAACTCCAACAGAAAGTCCAAGGAGCGCTGGTGGAAATTAGTGAAAAATGCAATTAATTTATAAATTATATAAATTAGAAAATAGTAGTAAATCTTTAATGCTTATAATTTTTGAGATTTTCTCTTATAATTAATTAGTGGACAACGGTATTACCTCATCCATTGCGGAAGCTGTAAAGTCCACATTAAGTTCTCGACTGTAAGCTTGCAATTCCAGATACTGATCCTTGGAGAACTCCAGATATTCCTTGTGCTCCCCGTATGTTTTTCCCCACGCGTGATCACTGACATATTTACGTTCCAGAGCGGATCTGGTAAACTTTGCTGGCAAATCGGATTTTTGAAACTTTACGCAGTGGCAGCCAGCTTTCTTGGCCTCAGAAATCATTTGCTTGGCCGTTGCCAGGGATCCCTGGTGGTTCTGCCCAATTTCCGCTATAATATAGACGGCCTCATCTTGGAATCCATTTAAAATTTTGTTTAAAAGCATTTTCAATTAATTTGAATTAATTTAAATGCGCTCAATTTAACAGTCAATTGAAAATGGCGAGGGCGTAGGCGGGAGACAGTGTGACCACATTGAGAGATAGAAAAAAAAAAATACTAAACGAGCCAACAAAAAATAATTAATATAAATATTTTTATGTATTAAGGCTCTTAAATAAATTATTGCCTCTAATTGGTTTTTTATCAGTGAGTTTTGGCAACGCCATTAAAACTTTGAGTATTTTTTCCCCCTCAGCTACCCTTAAATACTGCGCTATCATTCGCGACCATTTGCCTCTCGCTCTCTCTCACTTCTTTATCGATGGTGGAAATCGATGCATCGCCATTTTTAAATCATCGATAGTATCGATTTTCGTTTTTGCAGCTCTGCCATAGTGAGTGGTCGATCCAGGTCTACATAAAAAAATATAAAAACGTAAAATTAACGCTAATAGTTACGTGGGCAGTCATTTTTGAGGAAATAAACTCTCAATAGCAGCGCAGCAGCAAGCCGGAAACATGGGTGACGTCATGAATATAGACAGCATTATATCCCGACTGCTGGAGGTGCGTGGGGCACGGCCAGGCAAGAATGTACAGCTCTCGGAGAACGAGATCCGGGGCCTCTGCCTGAAGTCGCGTGAGATCTTCCTCTCGCAGCCCATCCTCTTGGAACTGGAGGCGCCGCTCAAGATCTGCGGCGACATTCACGGCCAGTACTATGATTTGCTGCGCCTCTTCGAGTACGGCGGCTTTCCCCCGGAGTCAAACTACCTGTTCCTGGGCGATTACGTTGACCGCGGCAAGCAGTCGCTGGAGACCATTTGCCTGCTCCTCGCCTACAAAATCAAATACTCGGAGAACTTCTTCCTACTGCGCGGCAACCACGAATGCGCCAGCATTAACCGCATCTACGGCTTCTACGACGAGTGCAAGCGCCGCTACAGCATCAAGCTATGGAAGACGTTCACCGACTGCTTCAACTGCCTTCCGGTGGCGGCCATTGTTGACGAAAAGATCTTCTGCTGCCATGGCGGCCTAAGCCCCGATCTGACCTCGATGGAGCAGATCCGTCGGATCATGCGGCCCACCGACGTACCCGATCAGGGTCTGCTGTGCGATCTACTCTGGTCCGATCCGGACAAGGACACTATGGGCTGGGGAGAAAACGATCGCGGCGTCAGCTTCACCTTCGGCGCCGAGGTGGTGGCCAAATTCTTGCAGAAGCACGAGTTCGATCTCATCTGCCGCGCCCACCAGGTGGTCGAGGACGGTTACGAGTTTTTCGCGAAGCGCCAATTGGTAACGCTCTTCTCGGCGCCCAACTATTGTGGCGAGTTTGACAACGCCGGCGCTATGATGTCCGTGGACGACACGCTGATGTGCTCGTTCCAGATCTTGAAGCCGGCAGACAAACGTAAAAAGTAATATCACACATAGCCCAACAACAAAAAACAGTCTTTTTTCTATATAACAAAAAAAACAAAACAAAACAAAACCGACACACTCAAGAAACAAATCCGAAACACACTTACAACCAGAAATAAAATGCTTGAAACACATCAGATCATGGATGAAACGTAAGTGGGCAGTTAGCAAAAGAACCGATTGCCAAGTGAATCACTCACCGAAACCTTATCTCTCTTTCTGGTCACTTTTATCGACAGCCGGGGCAAGTGAAAATCTACAATAACCGAATCGGAAACCCAAACCCTATCCCTATACGACACCAACCTGGATAAGATGATGCATGAAGGGAGGGAGACGAGGACCCGCTGCAGATGAATGAAATTTTAACCCATTGAGATTTTATTCGCAATTACAAGATCCCATTAACAAATTCCATGATTAAAAGCAAACATATTTATTTTTAATAACCGCTCCAGTCCCCGCATATCTTCAATATCTATACCGACCAACCCATCCGCACACATTCACCTGAACACACACACACACGCACCTGCACCTGCAGACCTGCTGCTAATATACGTTTTGTCCAAATTTTAAACACTAGGTAAACAGGTCAGCCTAGTTGAATCGGATTAGACGGACCGAACGGACATGGACACGGACACGGACCGCCGCAGTCTCGGTCATAAAGCATATACAAATGGGGGCCCTTTAGCGCTCTTTGGCCTTAGGAAGAGTATATGAAAAAATATAAAACAAAAACCTAAAGAAAAGGGAAAACATTAAACAAAGGAGGAGAAAGAAGGAACGCTTGCCAAGAAGTGAAAAACGTAAACACTGTGTTTTGACCTTGAATTTAAAAGAGAAATCAATCAGTTTTTGTTCGTCCACTTTAGCCCAAAAGAAAAGAAAACCTGAAAATGGTTAGATTGCACCCAAATTTCCATTGCCCCGCCCCCGCTTTTCCGTTCGTCATCCTCTTGTATCATTTATAAGATGTGTTTTTTAAAAATTAACTATTATTAATATGTATTATCAATAATCCTTTGTATTAATAAACAAAAGATATAAAACGTGTATGAATTATGAAGCTGATTTCAATAAATATTTGAAAGATCCATAATAAATAAAAAAAAAAAAAGAAATGCCAAGTCGCAGGCTTTCATATCGCGTATTCTGCTTTATTTATGTACATTTACATTAGGAAAATACTTGTAACTTGTTCTAGATGAATGCTTTCTAATGGTATGTTTTTGGTGTGAGCGTGCTCTCGAGATCTACTCGGCGGGGCTGCTAGCCTCAGCTTGGACGGATGGGCTTGTGGGGTGAGCAGTTGCACTCTCGTTCGCAGTGGCCACAGGTTTCTCCTCAATGTGGCTGGCCTCGACGGCGGCGGTAAGGTCCGCAATGTCTGCAGCACTTTCTCCAGCCACCTGATTGGCCTCTCCCTCTTCTTGCTGCTGCTGCTGCGGGAGCACCTCCTCCCCCTCCATTGGAGCCGGGTCTGCGATGGCTTCGGAAATGTCCGAGGAGGCCTCGCACGCCACGACAGGCTGATGGCCTTGGAGCACATCGGGATTGATGTCGTTGATGATGGCACGCAGACGTTGAATCTCCTCGTTGGCCAGCTGCAGGTCCTGCTGCAGGCGCTCGTACTTGTCATGCTGGTGGCGCACCACGCCGATATTATTCCTGATGTACTCCATTGGATTCTCTGGGCGCACTTTGATCACGCGTATGAAGATCTTGGTGAGCGAGTCCAGGACGCTGCCGCGCTCCAGGTAGCGACGGATCTCGTCGCGCTTCGGATCGATAGGCTGCGTCATCGGAGGCGATTGCAATTAGGTCGTTTCACTCGGATTTATTGGCAAAGCTCACCTTAAAGGACATCTTGGAAAATGGAGACAGGTGGTGTGACCAAACAGCAACTTTAAAAAATACACAATTCAAGTCCCATTAGTAGTGTGACCGTTTGGGGAAAACTTAAAAAGCACAAATTTAATACTTGGGCGGTGAAAAAGTGTGGGAATACTGAAAATTGATCACTGATCAATGATCACTAATCGATTACGTATTAGTGAAGGCAGCAAATTTCAATTTTAATTTCAGCCTACCTTAAAATATTCAAATTTTAATCATATTACAAATTTTATAAATGTTATTTAATATATTACATTTATAATTTTAATATAATAATTATACCACATTACATTTTTAAATTTAATCATTGTATTTGTTTTATTGTTATTTATTAAGGACGAAATCCAAGTAAGTTATATGTCCTATGTATATATATGCTTATATTTATACCCTTGCAGGGTATTATAATTTCAGTCAGAAGTTTGCAACGCAGTGAGGAGACGTTTCCGACCCTATAAAGTATATATATTCTTGATCAGCATCAACAGGGGAAACTTTCTAGATATGCCAGGAAGAAATCGATTTTTTGGCCATTTTTGCAAAATTTTATAAGGGGTTACATCATTAAAATTTTTGATTTTGATAAAAAATTGAATTTTCAAAATATTTAAATAAAGTATGCAGATTTATTAACTGTAGAAAATCTTGCACAGAACAGTTTTCCGATTTAAAATTAATGCTCTTTTGGCCGAGTTATAATATTTTTAATTTTAAAAAAATCAAGAAGCTTTTAAATATAAAAAATACGATTTTATAATACAAAATACTATTTTTCTAAGTCAAGGAATCATTTCCGACCCCATAAACCATATATATTCTTGATCAGCATCAACAGGGGAATATTTCTAGACATGTCCGGAAGAAATCGATTTTTTGGCCATTTTTGCGAAATTTCATAAGGGGTTACATCATTAAAATTAGCAAAAATGGCCAATAATTTTGATTTCTTAAAATTTTAAATTTGGTATGCAGTTTTTTTAAATTAATGAAAACTAACACAAAACTGCTTTCCGAATCGAAATTAATGCATTTTTGGCTTAGTTATGATATATTTTAATTGTTACCTGCAAGGGTATACAAACTTTGGCTGGCCAAAGTTAGCTTTCTTTCTTGTTTTAGATTTATGTACTTAAAAAATATAACGAAATTATTTTGATTAAATATATTTATTGATATTTTGATGAATTTAATGAAAACTTTCGAAATCGGCGGCATAATATCTGTGCGCATGTCAGAAAACTCGGTACTCTATTTTTATTACCACGAGATACAGAAATTGTGCAAACGGCTTTTTAGGAGGAGCACACTCACAGCGTAGAATATTCGAACTGACAATGAATACGTTTGAAAACACCTTTATCCGGGGTCCTTCCCCGTCCTATTCCGACGATGCCAACTCGGAGAATGCCTTGTCTGTGACCCTGCCCATAGGGGCAACCGTTCCGGAATTGGACTTCTGTCGCGACGACTCCAAAACGGACACCGCCGACTACTTTGATGAGAAGTACAACAGCGACAGTTGCTCACGCCTGCATCCCGGCTACCAGGGACGAAACACCTTTGCCTTTTGGACGATTGTGGTGATCCTTCTGGCCCTGACCGTGGGCAATCTGATTCTGACACTCACCATTGTGGGCGTCCTGCGTCTGGGAAAAGGTATCCAGGGCATGGAAGTAATTCCCGAGGTCGATGTGGTCAAGTTCTACGGCTCAACGGAATTGGAGCGCGTGCAGACCAGTTCGATTGGCCAGATACACGGATTCACGGATGTCCCGGTGAGCATTAGCAGTGACGCTGCCGCAGACGGAGAGGACGGAGGCGTCATTGTGCGGGTGTTCCGCAATGCCAACGGTGCCAGCAGCGAACGCGATCGGATTGTCTTGAACAAGGAGGGCATCCTTATTCAGGCCACGAATCTGTTTGAGGTGAAGGACCCGGTTAATCGCCTGCCGCTGTTCAGCACTCACCGTCCCCAGTATAACATTCCGGGCGGTGTGGGCGCCCTGCAGGCCAAGGTGGTGAGTGCCAGCGGCATTGCCAGTCCCATTGACGAATCCTTGGTGATGGAGAGCGACGGTCGCATGGCCATTAGGGGCTCGGAGGGTGTTTTCTTTGACGCCGCCGGCGTGGACATGCAGGCCGAACATCACGTATCCATCAACTCCACCCAGGGTGCCACTATTCTGGAAGCGGGCACTGGCATCTTTCTGGACATGGAGCGCATTCCCATTGTCAGCTCCGAAATGGGGCTGCGCACGGGCAGCGTTCAGTACAAGATCTGCGTATGCATGCCGCACGGAACACTCTTCAGAATTGCCATTCCACGGGTGCACAACGGTCCCAAGATATCGTGCGCCCACTTCAGCGGCAAGGACGATCCCTGCGAGGTCAACTAAGTTTGAAAATAAAGAAACGTTATGCTAGACGTATCCCTAAAACAAATGTTACGTAGCACTTTTTTTATTTTCGAGGAAATGTACACGATTTAAGTTGTAAATTGAAAACAGATTCCAAACTTGCATTGCAAGGCGAACGAAATATGATTTAAAGGGGGCGGTGTGGTGGGGGCATGGGGCTAAAGACTTAATTGTTCCGATTGCCAGATATAATACAGAGCGGCATCGGATTCCCTGGATGAGAATATACATAATGTGGGGCCGGCGAGAAACGTTTTCAAATAAAGAGGCGTCGCGTGAATTTAATTCCAAAACTAATAACTAGTAAAGAGTTGGCGCGCGGGTTAGTTAAGAGTCTAATTTCAGGTGGCACCCGGAGAAGGGGGCGGTGGCGGCACCGGGTGACGGAGCTTCGATGTGCTGGGCATCACGCCTGCCAGATTGTCCGGCACCATGCTAAGAAGCTCAGCTTCACTTAGTTGCGCCAAACGGCCTTTGCTTTTCGGCTTCGCTGCTGCTGCTGCTGCTGCAATGGGAACCTGCTATAAATCCCCATTTTTCGGACCTCTAGCTGAAGGACTCACCGAATGAACTGCTCGAGGTTAAAGTGTCCTCGGGATTGTATTCATCATTCCCGTCGAGAACCCCAGCCGATGTGTCCCTCTTGTCTTTGATGCTGGCCAGGATCTTGGAGAGATTGGCTGGTATGGATATGCCGGCCAACACTGCATTCGATGAGGAGGCTGAACCCTGCAGGAAAAGAAAATAGAAAGAATAGAATTGAAACAAATAGTGGAGAGATCTCCTGAAGTTTATCACTCACAGTAGGCTGCAGCAGTCCGGCAATTTCCATTTGTTGCGCGGCGATTTGTTTATTGATTTCGTCCACCTGCCGTTCCAGATCATTGGAGATTCTTGGAGGAGCAGCAGCCGGCGTAAATTCGTCGTCGTCGGAGCCGCCGGGCGAGTAGGGCTCATTGGAATCATCTTTTACTGGTGGCGGGGCCACAGCAGCTTTTGTGGCATCTTGAATTTGCAGAAAATGATATTAGGTTTGCACTTCAAATGTTGCCCACAAAACGCTTACTCCGCTGAAGTTTCGCTATTGGCGCCTTGATAATGGCATCGATATCGAACTCATCATCCTTCGAGCTGGTGGAGTGGGTGCTTGGCTTCCGTTTGGGGCTGCTTGGAGGCGTAAACGTAACGGGACTGCGAGACTTCTGCCAGAAATATAATTATCATTATCACAAGTCTCCTTAAAAAGATTGAAACTTGGCTTACCTTCGACAACTTGCTGCTGGTGCTGCTTTTGGGCGTGGACACCGGCGGAGGCAATGGCAGAGCCGGGGCAGGACGCTTGCTTAGGCACCGCACAATAATCCCCAGAAGCGTGTTTGGTCTCTGAGCATCCTCGTAAAAGGGAACACGCTCGGTGGGCGCCAAAGCTGACGGCAACTCATCGCTAGAGCCCAAGGGAAAGATATAAAAATCCCGAATCTGATCTGAATCAACCCCGAGAACGCCCAGCCGCTGACGCGAATCAAGGTACTCAAAGAACAGATCAAACTTGGAAGTTTCGCTCGGCGAAGAGGGGAATATGTTTACTATGACCACCTCCTTGGTGGGACTCTTCTTTAGCTTCTTGATATAATCCCAGACATTGATGCGGGTAATCCGTCCAATCACGTCCAGTTGGATGGGAAGCAGGTTGCTCAAGAGCTGGCTGTCGCCTAGAACGGGGTGCATCACCACTTCGAAGTCGGTCACATCAATCATCTTCAGATTTCCCTCCCATAACGAGCTGGTAGTCAGGCCCTGGACATAGCGAGAGTACCGGTCCATGGGTTCGGCGACTTTCGAGGAGGTTGGGAGCGTGGCAATTGGCTTGATTAAAGGCTTGGCGGGTTGTCCCAAATTTGCCGCCTGCTCAACTGTTTTTTCAGATTCCAGAATCTGATCTATCAGGTTGTAAGCACTGGCGTCCAACTTCTTTTCAGGAATCTTCTTTGGCGCTGAGGCTTGATCCGCATCGTCCTTCTTTCTGGGCAAGTTCGAGGCAATCAACTCCTTTTCCTTGATGTTTTTATCCTGCGACCGATGCTCCCGATGCTCTCCTCCGCCTGCCTCACCTTCATTGTGGTGCCTGCGGTGACGCTTTTCGGTGCTTCGACCCCGGCTACTGGATCGACTGCGACTTCTTTTGCGGTGATGATGGTGCTTGTGGCTCTTGTGGCGCTTCTCCTTGGCTGACCCAGACTTCTCCCGGGAACTGGAGCGCTCCAGGATGGAGATATCCGATTCGCTTATCTGTGACGTGAGCTTTTTGTCCATCTGTTTGGGTTCGCTGACCTCCTCTTCGGGCAGCGACACATCCATCTTAATGGCAATCACCTCCTCCTCACCCTTGTGGGTCTTCACCACATAGTTTTGGGCACATGACAGCATATCCAGTTCGGATTTCTTAATCATGTCCAGCTGGTGGCGATTCTCCTCCTCCCGCCACTTGGCCAGCTCTTGGCTGGCCAACTGCTCGGGCGTCATCCGGACCAGTTGTTTGGGCTCCACCTGCTTGGCACAGATCTTCTCGAACAGGGTCCGATTCTTGCGGTCCGTGATGTTAAATTTTAGCGACCGGTACTTGGCCTTGTACTTGGCACCCACGTCGCGTCCAAACGAGTTGAACATCTCCGACTCTACATTCTGCACGAACTGATCCACCTCGGCTTCCGTCAGCCACGTTGTTGTTGGGAGTTGACTTGAGGCCAGTTCTGCAGTCTGGGCCTCCTTGATCCGCGCCAGAAGCTGTTCCTTGAGGGACCGCCGAATGCCGGTACGAACGGGTTCGGGTTTACCGATGGATCGACTTGGGGTGTTGGGTGGCTTCTCCTTCTCTTTGTCTTTCCTGGCCACCACCTGCGGACCACGCCCCGTCGGAGTGCCGCCTATCGTCGTTAGAGGAGATTTGTTGGTGGCAGCATCGACGGGTCTTTTTGTGACTGCCACGGCTGTTGGCTCGACGGCAGGAGTATATGGATCCGGAACTCGCTTTACTTGGAGCCTCTGCAAATACATTTTGGTGAATTATCTGCTATATAAGGCGTGCGTCATGACCTACCTCTGGATCAGCGGATTGTGTAGCTCCCGAGGGAAGCACCTCGAACGTGGGATTCTCCTGCAGCCACTTGCGGAACTGAAGTGCTGTGGGGGCCAAGTGGCCGGTGAGCACACGTCCAGTTTTACGCTCAAACACATTGATCTGATGGAATATAATTTATATTTATGTTTATACTTATATTTCACATGTGGAATGCATGATGATCCCACAGATCTTACATACCCGTTCCACTTTTGACACGGAGTCCGCCTGCCGGAGCATGTCCTCAAAGAGATCCTTCTTCTTATTCTTCTTTGCATCCAAGGCCTGGTGCAAGGGCGATTGAACGCTGGTCATTGGGGAGTCGGGGCGACCCTTGACCGTGCTGCTGTTTGCATGAATTGCATTTTGGGCATACTTTCGTATACAATCTTCGCCGCAGTAAACCGAATTAGAAGCCGCCGGCCGCTTGCAAAGCACACAGTTTGTGTCTCCAGCAGGCGACAGTTTGATGAAGTTTAGCTGCTGCTGCTGCTGCGGGGGTGGATTCGTGCTTATAGGGAATTTCTTGACTGGCTTCATCATGGGACTGCGCAGGGGAGAACTAGTCACAGTTACACCCAACGGCAGTAATCTTCTGGGATTCGCAGGAGACTCGCCGGGGACTTTGGTATCATTGAACTTTTGCTCAGTTTGAACGGTTGGCCTGGCGACCACCAGCATGTCCGTAATGCGGGGTTGACTCTGGAATACATGCAAAGGGGTAGCAACATAAGGGGTCCGCTCGACATCTATCCGCGTGAGAGCTAAGAAATATAATAAACCAAATAAACTTACCTTCTCTTCTTGCTTTTTAACGCACTTCGGACACTTCCAGTCGACGCCCTTGTGCTCCATCTCGGTGCCCATGGCCTTGGTCACCCCAACACAGGTGCCATGGAACCAATCCTCGCACAAATCGCAGCATATCATGAAGCGATTGTTGTGCGGCTGCCGACAAACACACCAAAGCCTGTAATTAAATGATTTTCAATTAGCAAATAGTTTAAGTTAAATCAAAGCCCTTACTTGTTGGGATCATCATCATCCTCCTGAGATTCTGAAGCCTCCGGATCGTGACTCTGGCTTGTGTTCAGCTTCTTCGATCTCCTGGGCACCGTTGAGCGCCTGGCCATTGATGGCTCCCGTGGGTTTGGCCTTTTCGGCCCAATTCCACTCTGGCTCTCGTTGCTCTGGCTGCTGGTGTCCAGGTTCGTAGGTTCGCTGAAGGACAAGTTGCTCAGATCCCCGGTGCTCGTTGTGGGCGACGCTGAGGGAATCTGAGCTCGTCGCTTGGCACGCGTGGTTGGCGCTTCCATGGGGGGCAGGTAAATGATGCGTCCATTTCCGCGGACAACTTTTGCAGAGGCGGTGGCCAAGTTTCTTGAGGGTGTGCTGCAGGCCATCGGGAGGGATGGCAACGGATGTTCAGCAGGTGGCTAAAAATGTAAGAAAATTATGACAAATATAACAACTAGAGGGGAAGAACCTCCTACTCTTACCGGTACTAAAGGGGCTGGCGTCAGGGAGACAGGCTCTACTGGTGTGGGCATCGACACCATTGCATCCAGCGTACCTGGCTCGGCACTAGCCAAAACCTGTCTCACCACCTCGGCCTCAAACTGTTTGTCTTCCTCGATAAGGCCAACCACATGCTGCAGAAAATCAGCGGTAATCTCATCTTCGTCTGGCGCATCCATTATGTCAATTTGGTTCGCCGAACTCTGCATCTCTGCAGCGGCAAAGTTCTGCTGTGGCACCGAATCCAGGGCAGCCGCTGTACTCTCCAACATTTTCACCAGTTTCGGTATGTCCTCGACAGCGTTAACCGGTGGCGGCGGCGCCTGCCTTGTCTTCAGCATTTCGTACTGAACAATGGAGTTGATAAGATCCTGCGCCTTGTTGTCCGGTGGTGGCGGCGGCGGCGGCGGCTGCCTTGTCTTTAGCATTTCGTGCTGAACAATGGAGTCGATAAGATCCTGCGTCTTGTCGTTCGGTGGCGGCGGCTGCCTTGACTTTAGCAAATCGTGCTGAACAATGGAGTTGATAAGCTCCTGCGCCTTGTTGTCCGGTGGCGGCGGCTTCTGCTCCACCAGCGTTGTCTTCAGCAGTTCGTCCTGAACAATGGAGTTGATAAGATCCAACTGCTTGTCGTTCTCCGCCGCCAGTTCCGAGGAGCTTTGGTGCGTCTCAATCACAATTTGTGCGGGCAACTTGTGGGACTGGGCTGTGTCCACGCCTATGGGCATAAAACCCTTGGATGGTGTGGGAACTTGCATGGTATTGGATATGGGTGAAGCCATAACAGCCGTTGACTGTGTTGGCTGCCTGCTGAAAGTCGTCTTCGGAGTGCTGGGCGATGTAACGGCGGCACGATGACGGGGCGGATCGGGCGAGGCTTTGCTGGAAGTATGGTTTTCGCCCAGCAGACTGTTGAGATTTGTAAACACTCCCTTTGGGCTGGCCATATTCTTATTGATGATAATCTCTTTGACCTCCTGCGGCTGGTTACTGAACACCCCGGGATTGGCTATGACACGTCCCATTCGCACAACAGGTGGCGGCAAGCTGCGGTCCTTCACAGGAACAGTCACTGCTGGCAGCCGAGGCTTTCGCACGGGCAGCGCCTGATGGGTGGATCTCAATTTGAGGAACGAGGTGCTGGCAAGACCTCTGCCCAAGGCAATAACTGAAGTTGGAGCTTTCGGCGGCAGATTTATGATCTGTCCAATCTGCGGAGCCTTTTGTTCCACGATCTCCTTCGTCCGTCGCTTCACCTCGGGAAAGTGCTTGGGTGTGGAGGAAGGCGGGGTCTGAAGTTTGGCTGTCTTGGCTGGGGCTGCCGGTCTGCCCGATTTTCTGCCCCGCTTCTTCTTGCTGGGGTTACGGCCACCGCTGCGCCTCATCTGGAAGTCCATGTCGCTATCCCTGTCGTTGTCCGAGTCCTGGCCATCGTCACTATCCTCGCTCATCTCCTCAGTGTCATAGGACTTGTCGGCATTCTCCTCATCGGCGGGATCCGAGCTCTGAGCATCGTCATCATCCTCAACATAGTCCTGCACAGGAGCAATCACCTTGACGGGGAAGCGGGTCGGCCTTGGCCTTACACTAACTATGCTGTTGGCGGCAATCTCTGGCTTCGGTCTTGGCAGTGGCTGCTGGATGGGCTTTCGTATCACGTGCACCTTTGGCTGCAACTGTTGCGGAGGCGGGGCCTGCGCCGGATTGGTGGGTAGTCTCTGGACCTTCACCTGCAGGGGAGTGAAGGGCGTAGCCTGAACTCGCTTCTTGGCATTGATCAGCTTTAAGCTTCCCGGCGCCTGCATGATTATCTTGCGGCTCTGGGCCTGCATATCTATGGACATCTTCTCGGTGCGCTTGTGGTTCTTTAGCTGCTCCGGCGAGGTAAATGGAGTGTAGTTGTGATCGTTTCGGATAACTTCCAGCAGGGCGTCCGTTTCCGCAGTCCGCTTGTAAATGGAAACGCCGGCGAGCTCTGTAAAAGACAACCAGAAATCAGTTGAGGAAATACGAGTGCTCCTCATGTGTGATCTTTTTCTAAGAAACATAGAATTTGACTTCTCCATGACCACAACTATAATATTCGATATATTTACTTAATGCGTTCTTCACAACCATATCGGCTGTACCGTCCGCGTAGAATTGCTCGACCCGAAGGCCCACAATTTGGGGCCGTTCCTTTGGCTTGCGTCGTTTCCGCTTTTTAATGACTTTCGGCTTGCGCCCAGGACGTCGTCGGGTGCGGGGAGCATCGGCCTCGGTTTCCGTAGAATCAGTATTGTTCTCATCGCCGGTGTTTTGATTCTCCTCGTCTGGCATATCCTCGTCGCTCTCGTCATCCTCGCCATCACTCTGACTGCCATTGTCGCTGTCGAGCTCCGAGTCCGTGGCCGTCTCCATGAATCGCTCCAGCTCCTCTAACCGCTCGGCCTCCTCCTGGTCCATCATGCTAGGTGTCGGCGAGGTGAGGCGTACCACGCTGATGGTGGAAATCGATTTTTCCTCTGGAGATAAGCAATGTCGATTAGGGGTTTGATAGAGATTTTTGCACCGTAAGTATACCCATGAGGTTCCCGATGGCGCGCTCGTCAAAGGAGATGCCATTCTTACTGTACACCACAACCAGATTGGAGTCGCCATCAATGGCCGCCGGCCGGGCGCTGGGCGCCTCCGTAAACACCGAACTGGACATGGTGCCGACTTCTAGTGGCAAGCGTTAGCGGCGCATCGGAGGAGTCCAGAGCCCGCAAAGCGTTCACTTTACTAGCTGGCCGCAATCAGAACGATATAACTCATTTGTTGTTGCTGCTGCCGCCGCGTTGTGACGCCGACATTGGATCGAATCGAAGCAGATCACTGGAGGAGCAGCGGTGGCGATAAGCAATACTATAGTTGCATCTGAAGCACGGACAGACGTTGATGGTTGGGCGGTGGCTATTCGGTCACACAAACTACTACTATTTCTTGATTTCAATTGCAAATTCTTCAGAATTATGGAAATAAAATTCGCAAAAAAACCGTTGAAGTGTGGCCAGATTTTGGATGCAGTTAATACCGTAAGTTATCGATAAGTCGGTCGATAGTTGCAGCCACAAAAAAAACAACAGTTCGATTTCTCTGTGGTTGACGGTCATACTGATTGCAAAGTAAAAACAAAAAACAAAAACAAAAAACGAACAGCAAAATGACGTAACGAGTTGCCACTGCGTTGCAAAAAAAAGAGTAACAATCGGCAAAACTGAAGAACTGAAGACTAGGCCTTTGCCAAATAATTCTTCTTCTTCTCCTACCCCATATACCTCTTTGCCATTTCCAGGGTATCTCTAGTATCGATATTCCGCTGACAAGTCGCTCTAATGGAATTGGAGTGACACACTTAATTTACTGCTGTTGTTTGCTTCATTCGTAGATATCGGTCAGCTAATCTCATCGTTTGAGTTCACATTTCTGCCCAGTTGCTTTGTGCAGTCAGTTAGTCAGTAGACTTCGCCTTCCCTGGACTCACGATGGCCACTTACCAGATGGGATCGGGACATGCTGTGCCCATGACCTTATTTCGGGACAATAGAGATCGCGCCGTTAAGGCGATCCTGGAGAAGCTCCTGTCGGGCTTAAAGTTCTCCACAGGCAACCTAGTGGTGCTTCTCGAAGGCGGCAAGGACAAGAGCCTGTACAACACCGACGTGGACTACGTGTTCCGACAGGAGTCCTATTTCCAGTACCTATTTGGGGTCAAGGAACCGGGCTGCTACGGCATCATCGCCATCGATGTGAAGACGGGCGAAAAGAAGACCGTTCTCTTTGTGCCCCGATTCCCCGAGGACTACGGCACCTGGATGGGAGAGCTGCTCAGTCCAGCAGACTTCAGGGCCATGTACGAGGTGGACGAGGTCTTCTATGTTGACGAACTCAACGTCTATCTGGAGAGGGTGGAGCCCAAGCTGATACTTACGCTGAGCGGCACCAATAGCGATAGTGGCCTCACCCTTCAGCCGCCAGAGTTCGACGGAAAGGAGAAGTACGTCACCGACTGCGATCTCCTGTATCCCATTCTATCCGAGTGCCGTGTGATCAAGTCGCCCGCGGAAATCGAGGTGCTGCGCTACGTGGCCAAGGTCTCGTCGGACGCCCACATTAAGGTGATGAAGTTCATGCGTCCTGGTCGCATGGAGTTCGAGGGCGAGTCGCTGTTCCTGCACCATTCCTACTCGGTGGGCGGCTGTCGGCACGCCTCCTACACCTGCATCTGCGGTAGTGGTATGAACTCCTCGATCCTGCACTACGGACATGCCGGCGCCCCCAACAACCGTCCTGTGCAGGACGGCGATCTCTGTCTGTTCGACATGGGTGCCAACTACTGTGGCTACGCGGCGGACATCACCTGCACGTTTCCAGCGAACGGCAAGTTTACTGCGGACCAGAAGTTCATCTACAATGCTGTTCTGGATGCTCGCAATGCGGTCATGAGCACGGCCCGCGACGGAGTGTCCTGGGTGGATATGCACAAGCTGGCGGGTCGCGTGCTGTTGCAGCGGCTGGCCGAGGGTGGCGTGCTGAAGGGCGATGTTGAAGAAATGCTCGAGGCTGGCGTCTCAGGTATATTCCAACCCCATGGCTTGGGTCATTTAATTGGTCTAGACGTGCACGATGTGGGCGGCTACTTGCCCACGGAGCCGAAGCGTCCCAGCGAGCCGTGGCTGAGCAAGCTGCGCTTCGCCCGCATCCTGAGAGCGGGCATGTATGTGACCATCGAGCCGGGCTGCTACTTCATCGACTGGGTGATGGACCGCGCCCTGGCAGATCCGAACATTGCTAAGTACATCAATGTAGAGAAGTTCAATAGCTTCCGTGGATTTGGGGGCGTGCGCATCGAGGACGATGTGCTGATCACCCAAACGGGCACCGAGAATTTCGCTCTTGTGCCCCGCACAGTTGATGAAATCGAGGCGACCATGAGCTCGGCATAAACATGACTTTCAGACCCAGATAAGATCATGCTGTATACATATGCATATGTAATATACTTTCAATATACACTGTATCATAATCAAATTATGGATAAACCAATAAACATATTATTTACGAGGTATGATCGATACAATCAAAATTTTAAAATAGATCTGAGTTCTATGCCTTCGCAGCTGAAAGGATAGCTACCTGTGAAGTACTAAGCTAACCAATATTTTTGTGCTGTAATAAATTCTGATAAGACTTCAGATAACACAGACCTCTCGCTGATTCGAAATCCATTCGCAACAACAAACTAATGTAGATTTTCGCGATGGTTTATTGGTCGACAGTGTTAACAGAGTAATTGAGACGGCGGCCTGGCCAAGCGTGAGAGAGAGACGAGCGTCCAAGCGGATTCTAATTCTATTTACAAGCCGTTATCGCCATGGTTCCGCCCTGCCCCATCCGGCTACATGTACTTCTTGGCATGTCCATTCTTTTGCTGCTGCTTGAGATGGATATGAGCGTTGCCATTCTGCGTCGTAGGCACCTCACTAGAGGCGTCGCCGCCATCACCGACGCCATCCTCTGGCACCTCAATGAGCTCGACGGCACTGCGACGTGGGAACCAGCCGCGGAGCTGACCTTTGCGCTGACGCTTCTTGTCGCCCAGTTCCTGCTCTGAGAGTACACGCTCCCCAAACAGCCAGTGGTTGCGGAAGCGAGTTACTTTTATGACGTCGTCCGGTCTTAGACGGATACGCGGCTCATCGGAGCAGGGAGCGGCCAGGCATACCCGCCAGCCCTGCGAAAAGAGCGGTAGCCAGCGTCCCGTGACGGGACTAATGCATCTGTAGGTGCGTGTTCTGGCCCGCTTCTCCTCCTTCTGGGCCAGTTGCTCACGCTGAAAAAGTGTTAAAAGTCATTGGTATCCTATCCAAGTGTCACTTATCTGCCTCACCGTCAATGTGTATTGATCGCAGCCTTCCACCACCGGCCATTCAATGCCGTCGCCCCACTTTTGGCACTCGTCATTGAAGACCAGTCGAAGATTCTGGCGCCATTTCAAATCGTAGGGATAGAGGAACTCATCGTCACTGTCGGCATTCCTATATCGGCGATAGATCGCCTTCTCCACGATCCAGATCTCGATGCCCGTCTGGTTGGTTACAATCGTCTTCATCTGGATGAACAGCAGCATGCTCAGGCCAATGACAACGCCGATGGCCAGGCCCATGCCCAAAATGCACATGATAATGCTGGCCAGTGTAAACTGGACGCTGGCCAGGTGCGTCAGGCCGTGGGTGAGATAGTAGTAGCGGTAGACCCCGCGCCAGAAGGAGCAGCACAGCACCACGGTGCCCTGCATGCTGCCCAGGATGGAGAATAGCAGGAAGTACGTGAAGTATGCGTGATTGGCCCAGCCAACGCAGTGATTTATCCACGGGCAGTGGTGATCCATCTTCTTGACGCAGCGATCGCCTAAGGGATAGAGGAGATGGGCAAAAGTTTATGTTAGAAATATTTAAAACAAGAAGGAAAGTTTTCTCCTTGCAGATTGCAATTGGATCATTAAGAATATATATATTATATTTATTTTAATTTAGAATTCATTATTTCTGGAATTATAATTAATTTTTCTAGAAACGAACAGACAGCCATACCCTGCAAGGGTTTAAACATATTCCAAAAGGAACATGTTTTCATGGTTTAATTATTTTCCTAATTAATTTTAATGGTATTCTTTGAATATGTAAAGCTTACTCACACTTGCGACAGTGATGGGAGCGGGGGGCCTTGTAGCCCTCACACTTCTTGCAATACTGCAAAAACTGCGTGTCCCTGGGATCCTGAAAAGATGTTAAAATTAAAATTCATTAAAATGTAATCGGATGTATTTAAAAACAATATTCATGAAAATAGGTAAATATAATGGGAATATTCTGCGTGATTTATGCGCATTCAACGAAACAGCAAGGTACAACAAAACCTAACGACGCACAGCTCATTAAGTGACCACCATCGGCCATCCATTTAAACCGCCCCTCCTGCGTCCGGGCTCGCCTACAAAACACTTATGCAAATTCGGGTAATTGCATTACGGACTTTGGGCTCCGTAGAATGCGCTCGCGTGCAAGCCACGGTCCGGTGTGGTAGTAATACGAGGAGTCGCCGCTAATAAATTATATTTGGGTCGCGCCACGGCCGGACAAAATGAATGGGAACCGAAAAACGTTGCCACCGGTGTCGCCCTGGTCACGACATCTTCAGTTTCGGATTCGGTACGGATTCTTTAAAATAAATTGCAGCGTTTAATTGGCGCGGATTATGCGATAAGCAGTTACACACGCCAATGGGCCGGCGCTTGGCCCATTTGTCTGGCCCAGAGGCCCTTCGCAGCCAAGTTCTCTCCGACACCTCTCCCTTTTGTGGACTAAACAATGGCTTCCGCCCTGGACTGACGCTGCACAGTGGGACGGAAACCCACCCCTAGACGAAAGTACCTTTGCAGTTCGTGACGGGTCAACAGTTTTTGGGGCCAACAGAGGACAGGGAAATAGCCCTATCAATGGTAACAGGTGTTGCCAACACACCCACCCTTGGCTGGAGGCGGACAGGTGAAAAAAAGGTTCTGCATTCCTTCATTCTCCATTTACCTTGGGTCGCCAATGTTTTGGCAACAGGCCGGGACCTGTCAACGTGGCCATGACGTAATTGAAAGTGGCCAGCGTGGAGAGCAGCAGGAAGAGGGCCTGGTGGGCGAAGGCGGCGAATGATTCATTCGGTGGCCACCACATCGAGTTCATGTAGAGCGTCGTCAGCGTTATGCACTTGATAATGCCTGAAAACGAGAGGTAGATAAACATTGGAGTGATTCATGTGGGGGTCGGCTAGTAAACATTAGCATTAAATTTGAAGCAGTCAGGGGTTATGCTTCGCCTGGCAATTGCGTGCAAAGGAAATGAAGTTCATTTATTTAGTTTATTGTCGCTTTTCGAGTTGATTAGCCGGCACTACGGTCCAGTAATGAGTGCTTTCCCTCCGTATTCCTTTCAGCAGCACCAGCAACAAGCGACCGGCGTCTAATACAGTAATTATGGGCTGGAACAATTGGATATCAGTTCCTAAAGCGGAAGTCCTGCGGCGTCTGCGGCCAAACGGACTATTTGCACGCCAACCCCGGGCGGCCGCCGTGAAATTCCCGATAGGCCTCTGTGCCCATGGCGGTGGCAATAAACCAGGCAAACGACTCACAACTAAAACGCAATTAGCGCGCCACATTACGCGAATTAAAAGTCCGACCGCCGTGGCAGGTTGTCAACCGATTTGCGACTCCGTGCGGCGGATGTGGCGTGTGCGGCGGAATATGAAATACGATATGGCGCCGTTGCCGTTGCTGCAGACAGACGGATGGATGGGTGGGCGTGGCACCATCCACGACTAATAAGCCACAATTTGCCGCTTTTCCATCGTTTGACCAGTTCGGCTCACTCCACTTTTGCCCATTTTCAAATTGGACTCCCTCGTCGCCCATCCCATCGAGACTGATAGCGACGACGCAGTGGGCGCCACTCCTCGGAAAGCTCTTATTAGTAGCCCGGCCAGCACTTACTCAAGGCTGTGATCGGACCCCAGTGTAGGAATCGGCGAAAGCCGGATATTTCAGCACTCATTGTATTGTGTTAACTCGCCCGCGTTCAATGTAAATGAGCAAAAAAAGTAAACAACAAAGAGCAGTGTGGCCGTGGCGAGGACGTGGAAATAATCGCGGCTCGTGATAGTATCGATAATTGGCAATAAAATATCGATATATGAAACTTAACCGTAGGTTATCCACATTAAATTTGGGATTTGTTGAATTTAGATTTTTACAAATTTGTGCTCGGATTTAAGTAACTTATTTAAAACAGCAAGTAGTATCCTTTATTGTATGGCGCTTCCTTTACAAATTTAATTTCATTTACTTATTGGCAACAATCTCGAACTTGATGCCGTGCTCGTACTTCTCCAGCTCGCTGATGAGACTGGTTGCGCGGAAGGCAGCCCCAGGGGGCAAAACTCCACCCGTGCTCGGCATCTTGTCGCTTTCGTTAAGGATGGTCTTTGCCGTGGAAAGCAGAGCCACGCAGGTGGATCCGTAGCCGGGATTGGGACCTGTAACCCTGACGGTTAGCGTCTTGGTGGGCGGGCTGCTATACTGATCCGTGGTCTCGGCTAGCTGCTCAGACTTGGGCCATCCAGTGGCCTTCATGGTCATCCGGAAGAACGAACGCTCCATCCGCGCCTCGCTCGGACCCTCTCGGGAGGCCATGCCGCCGGAGAAGATGCCGGGATACTTGAGGAGTAGTTCGCGGCCAAAGGAGAACTTAGCCATTATCCCAATGACGGCGGCAAAGAGCACTACAACGCTGGCAGCGAACCAGGATGGATATGTCATGTACGCTTGCATCTGGACAGGGCGCTTCTTGTCCTGCTCATATAGGAACCGTTGTGAGCGCATTACCACCGATCGATCCGTCTCCGGGAAGGGCAGGATCACCTTGTTGTCTACCTCCGCGGCACGGGACAGCGGAGAACGGGCCTTCAGGGCTGGCTGGAACTTGGGCAGGCGCTCGGGGAAGAGTTTCCGCCGGATGTCTACGGACTCACTCCGGTTGGCGATGGCGTAAATGGCGCTCTCCCAGGTGCCCGTGTTCAGGGCTGCACTTCCCGTGCCCTTGGTGCCGCCCTTGACGCCCATGTGAACAAAGTTCTCCACCGAGTTGACGACGCCGTCAAAGTTCTTCTCGATGAAGGTGACGCCCATGTCGGCGGGAATGGAATCGAAGCCGCAGGCGCTGATCACGTATACGCCACGCTCCCTGGCGAGATCGTTGTAGCGCAGCTGCATCGTCTCCATGTACTGCGGCTCCCCGCTAACATCCACGTGGTGGGTGCCTGCATCTATGCAGGCCTTGACCACCTTCTCGCCAAAGAAACGGTACGGTCCCGCGGTGTTGACCACGATCCGGCAGCGCTTGGCCATCTCCAGCAGCGACGCCTCGTTGTTCACATCCGCGATGACGATGGGCGTTTGGGAGAGGTCCGTCTTGGACTTTGCCCCCATCTCGCGGAGCACCGCCTGCAGCTTATCCTGGTTGCGACCGGCGATGCCCCAGCTCAGGCCCTTCAGCACACTGACTGCCTCCAGTACCGTGTACTTGCCGGTGAAGCCGGTGGCCCCAAAAATGATGGCATCTAGTTTCTTAGCAGCCATTCCAGAGGTCACAAATACGCTCGAATGATGATTTGACCAGAACTGCGTTATCAGTGGGGAGAGCTGAAGAAATTCGTCTGCTCCGGTCGACTGAAAAATGTTAATAGTTCTAATCGGACTGCATAACAGCTGTATTTATTGCAGATAGCGGCGCGGTGACTCCACAAAACTGAGTCGCACAGGTGATTACTTTGGTCGCTGTTAGATGACTGGCTGTCGATAGCAACAAGTGGCTTGTTTACACGGCAGGTAAGATATTGCGAATTATGAAAATAAAAAGTAGTTTTAATGCAATAGTACCCATCGATAACACACTACTTCTTATCGATGTTGCATCATTACATCGTTATTTTTTGAAAACTTAAACTTAATTTTTTGTTGTTATATTTTTGTAATATTTATTTCAATTGATAGAATTTTGGCACCATGTCTGTTATTACTTAAAAGAGTGTTGCAAAAACAAAATAAACAAAAGAAACTGGTACAACTCCTTAATCGCTCGTGTTGGCGCGGAGGAAATAAAGCTCTGCGTGGAGGCATTATCCCGCAGAGAAATAATGGAGTTATTCATGGGGATGGTTTCAAAGGTGTACAAAGCGCGAAATCCTATGGCTACAAAGCGATCATTTGAGTGCAAGGTGACACGGAAGAAACGCCCATATGACCGCATTTCAAAGTCCTGAAGCTTTCCACAGTATCTGCTGTACTTTCGATCCGTGGTCATAAAATTGGAGAACTCCACATAGTCGCTGGCTGTCTGCTGGTCACAACTGATAAGAAAATGTTAAATTAAACTCTTAAAATATAAGATATGCTCTTACGTTTCAATGCCCTCCACGTCAAAGTAGGTAAAATGCAGGACCACCTGTTCATCACTGGCACCGTAAAAGTAGTAATTGCATACAACATTTTCCAGATAGTATCCCGGAAAATTGGGCGAGTGGAATAGGCCACTTATGCGCTCGCTGCTGTTGTACACGAAAGCACACTCCTGGCCCTGTTGAACGCCCGACATGATGCCAAAATCTGGAAATGTTTCATTTTTCATAAAGTTTCACTGTTCTTGGAGGCACTTACTAGTCAGAAACCGGTATTCAGCACGAAATCCGTAGTACTGCACCTTATTGGTCATCTCAGGCGGATACTTGCCCATAAACTGGAGATGCAACTGCGTACCGCTGGACATTAGGGGCTTGGGCAAAAAGGCTCCGCAGAGCAGCTCCTGTGTCTCTCCCCGCATCTCGGTCACCACATGAAGGGCATCTGCCGGTTGGCAGCCAGTGGAGTTCTCGTGCTCCGTGGGAATGTTAAAATCGTGAAACCGAATCTGCACGCGCTCTGGCGGTGTTCCGTGGAATTCGTAGCGGCATTGCAGGACCCTCGAACCGCCGATTACAGAGCCGCCGACGGCGTGCTTGGCCAAGAAAAGCTGGCTGGAGTCAAAGGTTCCAGATTTGTTAACGCGTGTGTCGAATATTTGTTTGCATGGCTCTGTGGAGTATTCAATGATTTCGTTAAAACCCCGTTTTATATTTCGCGCCTTGGTGCAATATTATCGATAAGTGATAAACTTAAGCTAAATTTGTTTGGAACTGCCAAATTTGAATCTGGCTACAAGCTACTTATTCGCGTCAGCTGTTCTTTCTGACTAAGTTGGCAGCACTGCCCTCGAATTGTTTACGTTTCGGTTTTTTGTGCAATAATTTCATTTTCTTGCGTTTACTCTGTAATCGTATGCTACGAGCTTTGAAGACAACAGTTCCTGGTCCCGGATTTTTAGCTCGATTCTGTAGCGGTGCAATGGCCAACAAGCGGATCCACAACGAAGACAACAAGTTGGACACCTTCCGGCGGATATGTGATGAAATAGCCGGCGAGGCGAGCTACCTGAAGAAGGCGGAGAAACTGCAGAGATTCTTCGAGCGCGGCACCAGTGGTAAAGGTTTTGAGGGCGACACGCTGCTCTGGGTACAATTCCTAATCCCGGCGGCCAATCAGCGCGTCTACAACCTCCAGAACAAGGCACTGATCAAGCTCTTCTCGCGCATTTTCAACGCTAGCCAGCAGCAAATGCACTTGGATCTCGAACAGGGTGAGCTAGACTTACGGCAATACAAAATTGGCAATTAATGATTGATTTCCCGTAGATGGTGATGTTTCCGAAACCCTGCGCAGGCATTTCGCCGCCTCCAGTAAGCTGAAGCCTCAGACGCAAAGCCGACTGTACCTGCAGGAGGTGGAGAAGATGCTCCTGCAACTGGTGGACCGCACCAAGGAAGATGAGCAGACGGAACTGCTGCAGGAGGTGTGCAAGAAGGCCACCGACTTGGATTTGCGCACGTTCATTCGACTGGTGAAGCAGGATTTGCGGATCAATGCACGAGCCAGGCACATCCTGGACGCCTTTGGCCCCGACGCCTATCCCGCTTACCAATCCTCCCGGGACTTGGCGGCAATTGTGGACCAGTTTGCCAGGCAGGAAAAGAAACTCATTGTGGCTAACGACGCGGTCAAGGCGAAGGGGAAGACGAAAAAACCGAATACGAGTGGCATTCAGGTGATGACGCCCATATCGCCAATGCTGGCCAGTGCCTGCAAGTCAGTGGAGGATGCCTTCAAGAAGAGCCCCGCCGGACTGTACAGTGAAATCAAATACGATGGCGAACGGGTGCAGATCCATAAGCAAGGCAGCGAATTCAAGTTCTTTAGCCGCAATCTGAAGCCCGTTATGGATCACAAGATAAAGGCACTGAAAGAGCACATACCGCTGGCCTTCCCAGGTGCCGGGGAGTTGATTTTGGACTCGGAGATCATTCTCGTGGACACTGAGACCGGTGCGCTGCTGCCCTTTGGCTCGTTGGGAGCTCACAAGAAACAAACTTTTGCTAACGCTGCCGTATGCCTGTTCGTTTTCGATTGTATATTGTACGATGGCGAAGATTTGACGCAAATGTAAGTGGAAAGCTTTCCCTTTTCCAACTATAAATACATTTTCCATCTAACAGGACCTTTCGCCAGCGACGTGAGATCCTCGAGCAGAATATAAAGCCCATTAAATCCCATGTACAGCTATCGGAGTCGGAATTCCTGAAGACCAAGAGCGAACTGGCCATGATGACGGCCAAGGTGCTGCATGCCAATCTGGAGGGAGTAGTCCTGAAGAGTCCCAGCAGCACCTATCAACCAGGAAAACGCAATTGGTTGAAGGTCAAGAAAGATTACCTTTTTAATGGAAAGATGGCAGATACCGCTGATTTGGTTGTCCTGGGCGCTTGGTATGGATCGGGGAAAAAGGGTGGAGTGCTCAGCATTTTCCTCATGGGCTGCTACGATGCAAGGGATGGCCTATGGAAGACGGTGACCAAAGTGCACTCTGGCCTGGACGATAGCACCAATGAAGAGGTCCACGATGCACTGATAAAGCTAACCGATCGAGCAGATGCCAGTCGGACGCCCAGTTGGCTGCTGTGCAAGAAGTCCCTGGTGCCGGATGTCCTGGCCAAGGATCCGCAACAAATGCCCGTATGGGAAATAACAGGAGCGGAATTTACCAAGGCCGAGGCACACACAGCTTCCGGCATCTCTATAAGATTTCCCCGAATTACTCGCCGGCGTAGCGATAAATCCGCCAAAGAGGCAAATGATCTTGCCCACTTGGAAGATCTGTTTGATGCCTCGAAGAAAAATGTGAACGTGGATCTGCTTCTTGCTGACGCCACAAAGGGTGAGGAGCAACCGGGCAGCAGTAGGTCTAGTAGCGCCAAGAAATCCAAGAGGTCCAGTACAGGCTCGGGGGATGAAGGGGCAGCGCCAACACCCACTAAGCGCAAGGCGTCAAAAGTGGAGCAGAGTTTGCCTTCCTCGCAAAGGGAAATGAAAGATTTTTTCAAGCCCATCAAAGAGTCAAAAACCGAAGTTAAACATGATATTAAAGTTAAAATAGAGCCAAAAAACGAATTTGAAACCGAAGTCAAAATTGAACCGAAACTGGAGGAAAAGGAAGAAACCAAATCCAAAGATGAAAAACAATTCAAGCTAGAGAAGAAAACTCCCGAGTCAAAAAGTGCGAAAAGCACTTTATTCTCAGGCCTGGTTGCGCACTTTGCAATGGAGCAGGACTCGAAGAAGCTGCGGGAACAATTTGAGCGGCACGGCGGCTCCTGTACCACTAATGCCCGGAAAGCTAACTTGGTCTTCTACAACAGAAATGAGATAATGGACCTTGGGAAACTGAGGTAATGTCATCTAATTTGACAAAAAACCTAAAAATAAGATTTAATTTAATTTTTTTTTATTGTTTTGCAGGCCCCTCTACCGACACAGCTGTCGACATCTGAATGTGAGCTGGCTTCAAACATCGTTAGAGAACCAGAGTCGACAGCCTTACCCGCTACACGCTGTGATGCTGAAAAGCCGAGTGCTTTGATGAAATTGTTTTTACTCATAAATACATGCTTGATTAAACCGAATATATATTATACAGACAAGTATTTTTTATCAAAGGCGGCAAAGCTTTAAGCGAAAGCTTTGTCCAGCGAAAACAAAATGCTCCCAGTAATTGGTGGCGTCGTTAGTTATCTTCCGGACGCTTAGAACACGGAACGCGCACTGTTCCCGACTGAGCTCATCCAATATGCTGTGGGAATTTCTTGCTCTCTTTGCGATCGCCTTTGCGTTGTTCTATCGCTGGGCGACCGCCAACAATGATTTCTTCAAGGATCGGGGTCTGCCCTTTGCAAAGCCCACGCTTTACTTTGGTAACATGGCCAGTATGTTCCTCCGGAAGAAGGCCATGTTCGACATCGTCTGCGATCTATACAACAAGGGTGGCAGTGCCAAGTGAGTTTATCCCTTTAAATTAAGTTTAATAACTGGTTTATTAGTTGTAATATAAGTAACACGCACTTTGAACCCGTTCCGCATCTAATGTGTATCTATGTATGTGCGCCATTGCCATGACAATTGTAGACTACCAAGGTCACGATCGTCGATTCTATATACACAAATATATATGTACATGGTGGGTGCGGTCTGCGTTTGTGTAATTATTGAATATAAAACTGTGAAACGCTAATAAACAAAGGACCCAGGCGTGTAGAGAATTTATTATCAAACACACATAAAATTAAGATAGCCGCTACTATACATTTCGCAAACTGCTTTGTTATGTTTATCAGTTTAATTTATTTTAATCTTATCAATAATACGACAGCGTTAAATGTTGTTTGTTACGGACTGCACTCACGGTGTTTATACTTAGATAGGAAAAACGATTTAGAAATCTACTCGTCTAAGTACTTTTTGATAACATTGTTGAAATCAGAATCAGAAATATAGATAGGATTACAAAATCTATCCGCTTTGTGCACCTAAAAACTATATTAAAGCTAAACTACCGGAAAATATTTACAAACGGAGGTAGAAAAGAGCTTTTAGTAAACGTTTTGTTTACTATAGAGCTTAGTATGTATATTTAACCCTTTTATGTCCAGTTTTCGATAATTATATAGTTTACTATAGGTATAACTATAAAACTCGAAAAATAGTTAATAGGATCAAATATTTCTTCTTCACCCAAATCCTTGCCAAATTCTGACTAAAATCATTAAACCCTGTACAAGTGTATATATAATGTATACAATTTTCTATAATTTTTCAAGAAAGAAAACTCGATTTAAAAAAAACCAAAAGTTTATGTAGATACATAAATACAATGTGATATCACCAAAATAGCTTTTCTGTCTTGCCCATATTGTGTGTGGCGGTGTGCGAAAGACATACATTAACATACATACATAAACCTAGTTTCAAAAGTTCTAAAGAAGCTTAATTAATTAATTAATCAAACAAATTAATAATACACCAACTGGGTTAAGTCAAACAATAATTGGATAGGTTATGATTAAACTGCGCTAACAAAATGTTTAATCGGGAACTTCATATGTATGTATTTATATATACATATATCTAAGCAAATGCCTTTGTGGCGTATCATTAGTGAGTCACAAAATGCTTATCGGACATTGATTTTGTTTTTTTTAATTTTTTAGATTTTTCGGTATCTTTGAACAGCGACAACCACTCATAATGGTACGCGATCCAGATCTTATAAAGCAGATTACCATCAAGGACTTTGACCATTTTATTAATCACCGCAACGTATTCGCCACGAGCAGCGACGATGATCCCCATGATATGAGTAACCTCTTTGGGAGCTCGCTGTTCTCCATGCGAGATGCCCGCTGGAAGGACATGCGGAGTACTTTGAGTCCGGCTTTTACCGGCAGCAAGATGCGGCAGATGTTCCAATTGATGAATCAGGTAGCCAAGGAGGCCGTCGACTGTCTGAAGAAAGATCAGCCATCTCTGCAGGAGATGGATCTGGATATGAAGGACTACTGCACTCGTTTTACGAACGATGTTATCGCTTCAACGGCCTTCGGCCTGCAGGTTAATTCCTTCAAGGAGCGTGAAAACACTTTCTATATGATGGGTAAAAAGTTGACCACATTTACTTTCCTGCAGAACATAAAGTTCTTATTATTCTTTAGTCTGAAGAAGCTGAACAAGGTATGTGTATAAATTTAAACTAAAGCTTATGAGTTTATGGTTAATCCCTCAATTATTCTAAAATCATCTTGCAGATTCTTAAAATGGAGCTTTTCGATAGAAAGAGTACCCAGTACTTTGTGCGCCTAGTACTAGATGCCATGAAATACCGCCAGGAACACAAAATAATCCGTCCGGATATGATCAACATGCTGATGGAGGCGCGCGGTCTGCTCCAGTCGGACAAGGCCAAGAGTGCACCAACTCGGGAGTGGAGCGATCGCGACATAGTGGCTCAGTGCTTTGTATTCTTCTTTGCCGGCTTTGAGACCTCGGCGGTGCTTATGTGCTTCACCGCCCAAGAGTTGATGGAGAACGAAGATGTTCAGCAGAAGCTGTACGAGGAGGTGCAGCAGGTTGACCAGGAGCTTGATGGCAAGGAAATAACCTATGAGGCGATTATGGGCATGAAGTACTTGGATCAGGTGGTTTCGGAGGTGCTTCGCAAGTGGCCGGCAGCGATTGCCGTTGACCGGGAGTGCAACAAGGATATCACCTATGACGTAGACGGCCAGAGCGTGGAAATTAAAAAAGGCGATGTCATCTGGCTGCCGACCTGTGGCTTCCATCGTGACCCCAGATACTTTGAAAATCCCTCAAAGTTCGATCCGGAACGTTTCAGCGATGAGAACAAAGCAGATATACAGCCATTCACATATTATCCTTTCGGATTGGGTCAAAGGAACTGCATTGGTAAGCTGCTCAAAGTTGTTCGAACATTCTGTGAATCTTTATTGATCATTTGTATCTCTATTCAGGTTCTCGATTCGCTCTACTCGAGGCGAAGGCCGTCATCTACTATCTCCTGAAGGAGTACCGATTTGTTCCCGCCAAAAAATCCTGCATTCCACTGGAGCTAGCTAGCAACGGCTTTCAATTGACACCCAAAACTGGATTTTGGGTCAAACTCGTCCAGCGCAATTAATATAATTAAATGTTTTGTTATCTGATGTAAATTAAAGATAAAAACATTCTTGTTAACCTTTAATTGTCCTTTAATTCTTGTTGACCTTTAATAGCAGGGGTATTATTTAGCACTTTTAACTATCATCTTCAATCGTTTTCAAATTTTTGTTTCCAAAAAATATAAATAGTAGTTTAAGGTAGGCGGTCTCTGATGGGATATATGGTTTATGGTAATATTTGCAAGCTCTTATGGCTCTTCAATGAATACGCAAGCTTTGTTGCATAATTCAAAAGTGCATTCGTTAAAATCGAAAAATCTTGTAATTAGGTTAAGTGGTTTTAAAATGCTTCGAATATCGTAACGATCTAATTGAATTTTGATAGCTGCGTACATTTCCACTAGTATAAATGGAAATATTGCAAGAACCTGCGTATTTGAGCAAGTGAATTGAGTGAGTGAAGATCAAAACGGAAAGATGCAGTCGGAAATTGTGCCCTTCTACCAGAACAAAACTGTCCTTGTAACCGGAGCCACAGGATTTTTAGGCAAAGGTACACTAGCTAGGATATTGCAGGAATAAAATAGATAATATACAATATTTTGTGAAACTAATTAATTCTACTGAAATACTTCTGTAGTGATCACAGAAAAGTTACTGCGTTCCACGGATGTGAAACGCATATATTGCCTGATGAGACCAAAACGAGGTGAGAACATTGAAGGACGATTCACCGCTTGGAAAAATAATAAGGTGAGGCCCACCAAGCAAAGGACATTTGAGAAACTAAATCAAAACGTATTTCTTTCAAAACCTTTAATATTTAAGAATAGTTGTAGAAAATGTGAACGATCCAGACTTTTTACGGTTTAGTTCTTAGTTGTAATTGTTACCTAATTTTTTCCCTATTCAGATCTTTGAAGTTTTGCTCAAGTGCAAGCCCAGGGCCCTGGAAATCGTAAAGCCAATAGCTGGGGACTGCTGTGCACCGGGCCTGGGCCTCGCCGAAGCGGACCGAAGGACCTTGCTCACAGAAGTGCAGGTAGTCTTCCATGGAGCCGCTTCCATTAGCTTCGTGGAACCGCTGCACAAGGCGTTGATTATCAACACGCGGGCCGTACGTCTTATGGTGCAACTGGCCAGGGAGATGCGATGCCTTGAATCCTTTGTACATATCTCCACGACGTACTCCAACTGCGTGGTGGACACCATCTACGAGCGCTTCTACCCCGAGCACCTGTCCTGTCCTGCGGATAAGTTGCTCGAGCTAAATGAAACTCTAAGCGCTGGACTAATTGATAAGATGAGCAACGTGTTTCTGGGGAAATACCCAAACACCTACACCTTCACCAAGGCTCTGGGGGAGCAAGTGATTCAGGAGGAGGCAAGTGACCTGCCCATCGGCATTTTTCGGCCAGCCATTAGTGGGTATTGCCTCCAGATTATTTCTGATAAGCTTTTTTTCAGTGCAGTTAACCCACTGAGACTCATTGCTGTTTTTTCTTTTTATAAAAATGCATGTTATTTTCCAGTTATGAACAGCTACAAGGAGCCGTCGCCAGGTTGGATTGAAGGCATGCAAGGTTACATCGGAGTCATGTATGGCATAGCCTACGGCATTTTGCGCCTGATGAGAGCAAATATGAAAACAGTTTTTCCAGGGGTTCCGGTCGACTATTGCGCCAACGTAGCTCTGGCTACTGGATGGCAGCTGGCCAAGAAGGAACACACCGACCAAGCCCAGAGCAAAGTGCCGCCCATTTATGCCTTGTCTGTCAGTCAGTCGAATTCGATTCCGGTGGCTGAAGCCATCGCCACATCGTTTAACCGCCACACAGAAACGCCAAATACCAAAATGATATGGTACCCTTTATTCCATTGTACCACTTGCCCCTGGCTCTATAGCGTTGGGATATACTTATATCACCTGATACCAGCCTTCTTTATGGATCTCGCCCTGCGGCTGAGGGGTGAAAAACCGATCATGCTAAATATCTATAAAAAGAGCCATGAAAATCTTTCTATATTTACGCCATTCACCAGTAAAAATTTCAACTTTGATTCCACTAATACACAGCAGTTGTGGCGGTTCATGACAAGCGAGGATAAGCAAATCTTTGCCTTTGACATGGAGAACTTGAACTGGCAGGAGTTTTTTAAGGTAATCATGGATGGAATACGACTGCATATGTTCAAGATTCCCTTGACGGAGGAATCCATAGCGACCGGCAAGCGGATGCTTTCTAGGTGAGTGGGAAACCTCTTTAAGTAATGACTTTATATATATAATGTGTTTTGGGTTATTGCAGGTACTACGTAATGCATTTATTCCTTACATTTGGAATAGTTTTGGTCTTAGGGACCCTGTCTTGGTTTCTGATTAAAATTTTTTAATACATATATATTGTTGCATCAAAGTTTATTGATAGTTTTGGAATGATATGAAACTTTTATTAATACAATAAAGATCTATGAATTCATTGAGTTATATTCGTTTTTTTTTTTACAGATACTTAAAAACTGGTATAATAAAAACCAAATAAAAAATGATTTATTACTAAACAAACACCTAACAATGTAGATGCGTTTTATTACCCCTGAGCTTTCAGTAAAATAATAAAGAAGGCAAATATTTAAGCACGCGGTGTGATAACACATTGTGAATTGTCTAAAAATTGAAATCCTAGCTTTCATAGAGTGAGATTATAATTAGTTTTTAGTGTAATATTTATAGTTAGATCCCATTTAAATTTTCCATTTCATTTAAATACTTTTATTTATTATCATTTTGCACGCGGAACACTCGACATAGGCATGACTTCGTGCCGGCCCTCGAACTTAATTAAGTATTCTATTGAACTACCGGGATTCGCTCTGCTTCCCCTGGCGTTGCACTTTACCTGGGCCTAAGTAACACCATTTTCCAATTAGCCAAATGGCAACGAGAGGGTTCAGAGAGCGCCACGCCACTTGGCACGAGCAGCAAAAAAAATTGAGTTTCCTAAGCAGAAACAAAAAGAAAATTTAAAATAAAGAGTGTGGCTAATTGTTTATTAAAGAAAGGCAAATCAAATGGCTTATTATCGGTGCTCAGCTTCGTTCTTACAATAACTACGTATACGTAATATGCTGCTTGCCCGACTGGCATCCTCTCCAGCATCAGCGGGTGAGTAAATGTTTATGACGCGACACTTTACGATCTCGTCTTCCTACGGATATTTGAATACCTGTGTGCAACAGCCATCACAATCGATTTTTTGCGACTCGTGCTCGGGTATAAATAACGGCTAAGATCACTGAACACCTCTCATTCAGGCATCAGTCGCGACTGCGCCGTTCTCCGGAATAAGCGGGCCATTGGATTACGGATACTTAATTTTTTCGTTGTATATGTGCGCGATTAGGACCCGCGACTAAGCCCACCTATAATGGCGACGGATGTGCAAACATTTTATAAAGACAAAGTCGTCTTCCTTACAGGTGGCAGTGGTTTCCTGGGAAAAGGTATTCCGAATTTTGTTTGATATTTGCCAGCCGTTTCGGATCAGAGTCGATCAGTCCGATAACAACCAGTTAAAGTGTGAACACAATTCATTAAAGAATTTGTCTAAAGGTTAAAGACCGGTGATTTCAATTTGATTGAGATGATGCCTTGCCAATTATCGCATTTATATACATGTGTTCTCATGACAAGCATGCAACGCCCCAGCCGGTTAACACAAAAAACTGATGCCCAAAACAATAACTGATGCGCAGAACCGGCTGGCACGGTCATCCAACGAGACCAGTTCAAGTTCAAGATCAAGTCTCTTGCTCTTTTCAGTGCTCATTGAGAAGCTGCTTCGCACCACGAAGGTGAAACGTATCTATGTGCTGCTCCGCACCAAGAATGGCCAGGACGTGCAGGATCGTTTTGCCACCTGGGAGACTGACCCGGTGAGTAAGTCCTCAGAATTGGTAGGACATCTAACCGATTAACCTGAATAATTTCATGGAATTCCACGGATTTACTTGAAATTTAAAGTTCCAAAAATGACTCTTAGGTTTTAATCTTGTTTTTCGAAGCCTGAAACTTTGATTTATATGTGAATTCCTTAAAAATTCTTTGGACATTTCATTGAATTGCTCAATAATTAAATGTGTCACGCCTTTATTAGATTGATTGCAATTAAAAATGGATGATAGTGGAAGACAACTATGGATGTGGCCGTAATTATCTTGAGACTACAATCTGCAAGTGATATATGTTATGAATAAATTAAAAAATTTCGAAGTGTTGAACTGGTATGCATCGGCGGATTAAAAAGGGAAGAAAACACAATTCTGCATAGTTTTCTAAGTTAATTATGCAGGTCTGATTAGAATTACAATTTTGCTGATTTTGATAGATTATTATCGCGTTATAAACACGAATTTACATACAAATAATGGCTACCGTGACTGTCTATAGTTGTCACCATCGAAGCTCATTTGCATTGTTTGCAAAGTCAAATAAATAAATAGTAAATCAGGATAGTGTTAAGTTCATAAGGAATCGACCCTAGATCAAGATTTTGTTTTGTTCTATAGGTTTTCTTATTGCTTTTGCAATCGGATCCCGACGTGCTGAAGCGAGTGGCGCCCCTTGCTGGGGACTGCCAGGCCCCGGATCTTGGCCTGAGTCCCTCCGACCGCCAGCTCCTTCTGGACGAGGTCCAAGTGGTGTTCCACGGTGCCGCTACCGTGCGCTTTATGGAGCCACTGCACATTGCCCTGGCCATTAATACGCGGGCTGCGCTGCTCATGATGGAGCTGGCCAAGGAAATGCAGCACCTGGTGGCCTTCGTGCACGTGTCGACCGCCTTTTCGAACTGCGTGGAGAAGCACATCGAGGAACGTTACTACCCCGAGAACCTGAACCGTCCCGTCCGAAAGGTCCTACAGCTGTACGAGACTTTGGACGACGAGCTGGTGGACAATATGACGCCGGTCCTGCTGGGCAAATTCCCGAATACCTACACCTACACCAAGGCCCTGGCAGAGCAGCTGCTCCAGAACGAGGCCGGCGATCTCCCGTTTTGCATCTTTCGTCCTGGCGCCAGTAGGTGATGTAGTCAGCGGCTGAGGCTATGCCCCACTAACCCGAAGTATTCTCCTTCAGTTATTGCCACCTACAAGGAGCCGATGTCGGGCTGGATTGACAACTTATATGGACCCATAGCTGTGCTCTATGGCGCTGCCCGCGGATTCATTCGCATCACGCTTCTCAATGTGCATGCCCAGGCTGGTATTGTGCCGGTGGATTACTGTGTCAACACGATGATAGTCCTCGCCTGGGACACGGCCAGGAATGCCCTCAAAGCGCATCACCCGGACCCGCCCATCTATAACTTCACGCCCAGCGAGAGGCGGCCGATTACGTGGGGAGGATTCCGGGACAAAGCGGGAAAGCTAAAGAACACATTTCCGCTGAATCGGATGTTGTGGAAGCCATTCTTGCATTGCACAAGATCCATGTGGCTGTTTAAGTTCCTGGTCTACTTCTACCACCTCCTTCCGGGCTACGCTATCGATATGGTGCTGCGTCTGCGTGGTCGCAAACCGCGTCTGATTAAGCTCTATGATAAAATACACAAAAATATTGAGGTCCTGTCTCCCTTTGTGGACACCTCGTGGAAATTCGACACCAATAATACGCAACACCTGTGGAAGCAATTGTCGCCGGACGACCAGTTGCTATACGAGTTTGACATGAGCCGTCTCGACTGGGATGACTATTTCAAGCGGGCCCTCGCAGGACTTCGCATTTATTTGGGCAAGGAGGATCCAGGCGAAGATTCATTGAAGAGGGGCAGAGTATTACTCAGGAGGTGAGTGAAAACTAGTATTAGTAATATTAGGTCTTTAGCGATGAGTATATTATTCTATCTTGAAATTTAAACCTTTTTCTTTAAATGCCTAATTCCATATATTATTTCAGGTTTACGATCCTTCATTCAATCTTGCAGTTTGTTTTATTCAGTGGAGCTTTCGCCCTTTTGTGGTCCATATTAAAGCCATTATTTAGCTTATAAGTTAATGCACACAAGGACACACGCACACACACAGGAAGTAGGTTCATTGTTTCTTAGTTAAATAAATGTTTTGGCCAAAGTGTTAATTAAGGGACTCACTGGCTGGCAAAGAGGTACACAGTGCCTTCGATTGGTGAACGAAGACGAAAACCCAAGGGAAAATGTCGAGTAGAAGCCATGAGAAGCGATAAAGCGCCATTTGAACGCGACAGCAGTTCGCAATAGACTGATTCGAGATGAAGACCCTGCTCCATTAACACGGCCCACACCCCTTCATTCAGGCCCGTTGGATTGGCCACATCCGTTTCCGCCTCAGAATCCGGAGCGAGGCAGAAGGAAGCTGTCGGGTGGGGGCGTGAGTAGGCTAGTTTTGCCGCCATTTTCATCGATTAACATAATTCGATTGGGTCTAGGTCCTACAGAAGGCGTAGTGTCGAGGGAAAGCTGAACGGGAGCACTGAACAAAATTCTCTAAGAAAATTAGTTACTTCATATTTCAAAAATTATATTTTTCGCATTTATAGAAAATTAATTAATTTATTGATTTTAGTTATATGGAAATTCTTATGGAAAAGTGGACATGCTACAATTAAAGTATTTCTTTCTGCGTGTTGCAGAACTCTCGAGGAAGAAGGGGATTGATAAATGTAAGGCTAATTTATGGGGCGCCAACTTACCAAACGGCCGTCCCGGCTTCGACAGCTCCACATCGATTGGCAGACTGTTTGCCTTTGCGGCAAAGGAGTGTTGTAACTGGAGTTGCTGGATCTGGATCTGCTTTTCCTCCTTCACTGCCACACTGGCCGCCTCCAAGACAGCGGGCGGTGGAGGCAAGGCTATCAGGACTCCTGGCTCGTTAGGCACGAATCTGTACTTGCCGCGGAATCCTTTGGCCGTGCGATTGGAGCTGGCATTGAACTCCAGTAGGAGATCGGGACCGCTGCTCACCAGCCGGCGGCTGGGACGACTTGAGCAGAGCACATCAATCACGGAGCTCATGTGAGCGGACTCGGCATCAAATAGAGTAATCGCGTCTAGCTGGCATCCACCGCTTACCACCGGCGGCAGCTGCAGCTCCTCGAACAGGATCTCCACATGGGTGTCTGGCCTGCCGATGAACTTGTAGGCGCACTTGATGTGTGCCGGATAGTGGGCGGGAAAGCGCGGTGAGTGGAAGTATCCCTGGCCTAGATTGCCCTCCTCGGTGGCTAGGCTGGCGAAAAAGTAAAAGTCGCAGTAACTATGTGGCACCAGGCGACCATCCGTACGGAAGTTTTCTGTAAAGCATTCAAAAAACCAAAAGGGTTAACCCAAAAGGATTCTACGGATTCTACGATACCCTTTATTTTAAACTATCAGAAATTGAGGCCAACTTACCTCGCTTCAGAAATCGATAGCTGGCGGTTAGGGTCAAGTTCCACCTGTCCGCATTGGTGGGCGGATGCTGGAAGCGGAGCCGAAGGCCCATCAATCGACCGGAGCTATAAATAGGCGTGGCACTACGGTTCCGGCTGTGCTGGCAAAAGGTGTCCGCCGCCAGTGTCGCGTTCTCGATGACGGGCTCCCTCAGATACGGAAAGACGTCCACGCTGTCCAAGCACCTGTCACGAAATTGCATTTGATGAACGAAAAAAAAAATTGCAAATATAATAAGTATGTAGAGAGGAATTCCACCACATGCCTGCCTGTCGTTTGCATTGGCCAGCACAGATGCGTAATGATGTCTAAAATTTATTGGCCGATACTTTTGGGGCCGGCTCGTTGGTCAGCCAGCCGCCGCCGGAACTATAAATATCGTCTGCAACCAGCAAATGGCCATTAAGAAATAATCCCCAAAGCGCTCGCTCGGTTGGTTCTTCACGATTTATTTTGATAAAAAGTCGAACAAAAGTTGGCGTTAAGGCTAATTCGATTGTCACATCGAAACAGCTGCGGTCGGCCGAGTTCTTAGAGCCACAAGTAATTGAAAAATAATTAAGTAGATTGCAGGGATTTACTACAAGTGAGCTACGGGAAATAGAAATTTTAAATTAAATTTGAAACTTTTCTTTCTTAATGAAAATAAGTTATGAATGGGATTTAAATATATAGGAATTTTCAGCTCTAAGCCTTCATTATTTTTATTCATTTATATTTTTACAGGAACTCTAAAATCCAAGATGTAAGAAGAACCCTTATGATTTCTTGCTTAGGCAAACTTTTTTCTGGCCTTATGTCCCTTTTTATATCCAGCAATCTAGTATGAAATATTCCTTTTAAATTCCTTTTTTAACAAATAATAAGATAAAAACATTTGAAATGTTAAATAAAAGTCCTTATAAATCAATCTATAATGTTATTCCCCCTTTCGCTTGCGCATTCCGCCTAGCATGCGACAAAAGGCCGGATAATCGATCATGGGCGGCTCCTCCAGGGACTTGGGCTTGGCCATCGGTGCATGGCTAAGAGCCTCCTTGGCCTCGTTCAGAGTCATTTTGTCTCCATAGTTGGTTAGCTCCTCGTAGATTCTGGGGATTTGGAAATGGTTATAAACATCGCTCCAGTTTGAGTATCTCCTGGAACCCACTTGCGTTCCTCGATCTTGCCCGTGCCGTGATCGTCCCATTTGCTCCAGGCTTCGAGCAGCACATCCTCCGGATCCAGTTCTTGGGTGCGTCGGCTCATTAACCGAACAAAGGCCTCATAGTCCAGGGGTTCTTTGGCCTCCTCCATCATCTGCTCCAGGAGCTGCTCATTCGGCTCATTTCCCAAGGCGGTGTAGGTGAACCGCAGATCATCCTTGGAGATCAATCCATCGCAGTCCGTGTCAAAGAGCGAGAAAACCTTAGGACGAGCCACACAATCAACACTTGGAAGTCATCCCCTCTTATCCGTCGACTTACTTCCTTCAGCTCCGCTAGCTTGGCAATGTCCAGGTCATGCGGCGCCACCTGATCGTCAGCAGTCATCTCCTCGGGCAGCGTGTAATGGCCACTGGACTCTGGTAGCTTTAGCGTGGGATTAAAAATCTCATTGATCACGGCCATGGCCTCCGAATCGGCCAGATGCGAGGGTGGTTGCGGAGTTTGTGACTGCTTGCGGGCGGAACTGGTGCGACGTCGACGCTGGATGGAAAATTGTGGATTGGATTACTGCCATTCATTATCAGAATCATCCGCACTCACACGCTCCAGATCCTCGAAGGAAACTGATGGATCCATAGACATTTCGAAAGCACGTTCTTTTTAGATATGGCACTATTATTTTTTCTTTAATAAATCTGGCTTAAAAATGAGCTCCGAATTTTCAAGTTTTCGAAAACTATATTTTTAATTTGAATATTTTATTTTGTATTTTAATCAGAGGTGATTTCCCAGAAAGCTCCTTCAATAAAATCCCCAGTAAACATTCTCCGAACTTCAAAATAAATTACGAACAGTTATTCTTAATTCATTAGAAGTCCATAAAGGGTATATTACAATACATTACAAAATTCATAATTTATTAGATTGTATAAAATTGTGAAACAGCCATAAGAAAAATCGTAGTAACTTAACGAAATTGCAGCTTTAAAATGATTTTAAAATATATTCTTCTTTGCAAGATTTTGAAAATTGCGCAAGCTTAATTTAGGACAAAATGAATTCCCCCTTTATAAATTTTTGAAAGATTTCAATAAAGATGTTTTTAAAATATTTTCAATGTTTTAAATTCATATTTTTAATTAAAAAATATATATATATACACATATACATATAGTGGTAGTATAGCTGAAGGAGCTTTCTTTGGTTTTAGTTTTTATACATTTTTAAAGTCCTTTATCGGCTGTTCAACCTTGCTTTTAGACACTTTTCCCGAACACTCAACACCTTTTTTTTTATGACACTGACACTTTCTACCAATCGGTGGTCGAGTCACCCGCACTTTCTTAACGACTCGGACGCGTTTTCCCAGAGACTGTTGCTCTCGAGGATTTATTCGAACCACATTCGACGGCGCACTCGGCCCAAGCTCCACTGAATTGTGCCTGGCCAGTGCTCTCCAATTTTATTGACAAATCGATTCCGAAATATTGTGTGCGTTATTTTTATGGCGCAAATGTTGGATGCATAGAGTTTTGCATAAATTGACACAAATTTGCGGGATTTATAAATATAAATAAGCAGCAGGCGGCCAGGCGGGCCTGGCGGACCGCCCACATGGCCTTCGCAAGGTATTTTAATTACATAGCCGTTGCCGCTGCAACGATTTTGACTTAGCTCTTGGCCATTCCGCTTTTGGCCATCGCATTTCCGCGACGGACGACCAGCCTTATCCATCGACGGATTCGATTTTGATGGCTGTCGCCGGCAGCTGTCTGCCGATTTGAGATCTGATCGGCTGGCTGCCTGATCCCCATCCATTCCTCATTACCACTACCATATCCATTCCGAACCCGGAATTCGGCCGGAAGCAATGTCACTCACCCGGGACGTAGCTGCAATTGCTCGAGCTGAAAGGCCACTAGTTCGTCATCGTGGCCACCGATGAAGATCATAAGGCAGTTGTTTTTGACACCCAGCGCCTGGCTAGCGTTAATTGCTAATCTGCCCCACTGGGTGGCATTCCGATCGGTGGCATGCAGGCAGGAACAATCTGTCAAAGAAGAAGGGAAGCTGTAAAATTTTGATTTATACCTTTGGACAGGATTTAAATGGATTTCAAATTCAAAGCAGTTTCTGTGGTGCTCCTTAGCAACAATAAACGAATTAAATTTGTATTAACCAAAATATAAACTTTATATAAATTGTAAAATATTCTAAATGCAAATTGTACTTTTTTTCAACTAAACCTACCAAGCCATAGTTGCGACTGCTTGCTACTAGAAACTATTGGCTGGTGCTCCTGCTGCTGCTGAAGCTGTTGTCCATTTCCGGTGGTCGAGAGGACCAAGGCTAATATTGCCAGAGACAACCGAGCGGCCGCCATAGTCAGCGGCCAGAGCGAGACTGTGAAGCCGGATTTCGTTATCCTGCCACAGACCTTATGGCCTCTGTCGGTATAAAAATAGCCAGCTACTCTCGTCAAATAGGGCTTCTCTGCTTTTTTTTTTTGTTGCTTTTCCCCTTACCATTAAATTTCCGTTGAGGTTTTACAGGTGCCGGTGCCGGTGCCTCCATCACCATCATCGGCATCCGCTAGTTTTCTGCCGTCGCCCTTTTGACCACTTTCAAACACACGTTAATACTTGCCTGCAGCCATTTGGAGCATCATCGTCCTCTGGACCATGTTTTGGGTGGCGGTATTTTTAAAATGTGTGTCGCTTTGTCTTTTGTTGTTTTTTGTGAGCTCTCTGGGCTGCCAGTTAACAGCTCATTTCGGCCCCAATGGAGGCAGTCAGTCAATTCATCTAGATTGTCACACTTCGGGGACCAAAACTCAATTAAGTTAACTGCCAATCCAGCTGAAAATTACATTCACAATACTGTTTCAGCTCGGCTGAGGTTACTCACTAATTTGATTTTACAACTTATCATGTGAGTGGGTAAATATCTTACAAGTTTTTGTTTTTAAATTTACAATGAAGTTTTTTTATTGAATTTTCCATTTTTTTTTATTTGAAAATTTAGCTGAGTTGAAAATATTGTAGGTTAAAAATGTATTACCTTATCATTACAAAATAAGTCTAGATGAAGTTTAAAAGTTATTTCATTGATCAAAATATATTCAACAAGAAATATTTAAATTCCAGAAAAAAAATAATACCAGTCAAAGTCAATTCAATAACTTTTGGCAAATATTGAAGCCACGCCATATAAGGGATCTGCCTAATACATTTAAAATACATATTTAAAATACATATATTTCTTTAGAAATAGAATCAGTAAATTAAATTAGCAATCGATTCCCGTTTAGGAAATCTTCCACGCCTTGGCGATGCTTTGATGGATTAATTTTCAAGTTTTCAAGGTTGTGAGTCACAAAACAACACGTTTATTTAATACAACACTTACACAACTGATTATTTATATATTTGTCTACTGGCCTAACACCGCTCCGAAGAATATTAGGAGCCACCGGACTGGTTCATCTTGGCCTTGAACATATCCGCCAGAAGATTGGCCTTGGTAACGTTTATCTCCTCGTAGCCGAACGGTGCCATGTGATCCTTGCAGCGATCTAGCCACTGCCGGATGTGCTTATAGGGTCGAAGTTCAAATTCGAAGGCCTCCAGCTGGGAAACGGTGACCAGGAGAGTGAGATCGGCAATGGTGAAGTGTTCAGCAGCAGCGTATTGTCTTCCCTCCAGAATCGAGTTTAGCCAGCCGACAGCCTCCGTGAGCTTGGCTCGTTTTCCCTCATCTAGAGGGGCTCCTATAAACATTGTGGGGAACTGAATGAAGTAAAGCGGTAATTTAATTATGATAATTAAATGGTTAAAGTTGATTAAATATGTAATTCATATTTTATACTCACATAGTAGTCCGTGAGTCGCATGTAGAGGGTACCCAGATCAAAGTGGAGGCGCTGGTCCACCAAAGCCCGCACCCGAATATCAGTAGGATAAAGTGCATCGCTCTTACCGTAAGCGGCCACCAGATAGGCCAGGATTGCCCGACTGAAAGGCAAGAAAATTTAGTGTTAACTCAGAAAAAAGGGAGTTGATGCCACTAACCTCTCCCAGAGAACCAGGCCCTCGTCGTTCATTGTCGGAACACAGTGCTGCGGATTCATCGCCACAAAGTCCGGCTTCAATTGCTCACCCTCCAGAATATTAACGATCTTCAGCTCAAAGTCCAAGTCCAGCATCTTGGCCAGCAGCAGGATGCTCCGGCAGGGCGGACTGGGCGGCAGGTAGTATAGCACCGGCGGCGACATCTTCCCGCCTCTGAGGAGAAGACAATAGACAAATTCCGTAACAATATGCTTCGTGTCGCCCATTGGCCGAAACTGGAATGCCAACTTGGACTACATCACCCCGAGCCGTTGGCCAGTTCAGCACTACACGCAGCCCCCAAAAAAAGTTGGCGGTCAACGCAAATAATCAATGCATCGATTTTGTCCGTCTACAATGACTTAATTAATGACTATTGTTCTTGGGGCTAGCAAACAAAAAAAATTAATAAATAATAATAGGGGTGGATAATTGTGTTCTCAGATCGTAGAAAGCTCTATAAGTTGTATATTAAGCTGTTAAAATAAGTTATTAGAAAATATATATTTATTTTATTCAGAACTTAAAAAGTTACTCCTGTCAATGTATCTTTACGTGGACAGCCTAAAGGTATACTTTGGATTTTTTGTACTAAAAGTAAAGTATTGAGAGGTGTAAAATAAATAGGTACATTAATAAAATTAAAAAAGTTTAACCTTTAAAATTTTAAGTTAAAATCTTTAAAAACAAATTTAAAGGGTATGCCAGCTTTCGGTTGAATGTGGCTCTAAAATTGTATCAAGGACTAGGGCACTCGTCGCTTAATTGCAACCACTTATTTATTCATTATGGAACATGCACCGAAGGTGTTGGACCCTGGCCAGCTACTCACACAATCCTGTGCACCAGCTTGTGCTGCACCACGGCCACCGAGTCGATGTCTATGCAGTTCCCCAGTCTGCCGTCGAGTGTCGTCCTGGCCGCGTTCGCTTCCGCCGGAGCTCCGTCCTGGTGGGTCCTGCTAATGCGAATGGCGGCTCCTCGGTGGCACTGACGCTGACGCTGATGCTTCTTTGGTGGATCCTTTCCGGCGATGGAATCTCTCTCCCGGCTGTCCCAACTTGCCGACGTCGCTGTCCACGGCCGTATCCGCTGTCTGGCTTTTCCAATTTTCAGAGCATGTTGTCTCGTCTTTGGGCACATTTGTTTTCGTTTAGTTTTCATAACGAACGTTGCCAGGGACGACAGGCCGACCCACCAAAGACAGTGCTGACAAAGAGGCCTTTTCAAAAGTCGCGCAGATCCACAACAAAACGTAAATAAATAAGGGGAGATTCTCTTAACAAAAAAAGAATGACAATGAAGGTTCTTTGAAGCTAAAAGAATTTAAATGCCTACTCTAATGAATGGTTCAAGAGAAACATATAAAATTAACGAATTTTTTTAGCTTACAATTATTAAGTTGCTTTTAAGAACATTATTTAATTTATTTTAATAATAAGTACATGATAAATTGATATTCACAGACATTAAAAACATTTCTGAATAAATTCTTTAAAAATGTCAGAATAAAATTAAAATGATGTTCGTTTATAATTAAAACATTCCAAATTACATATGTAAATGCTAAACAAGTTACTGATATTTTCTCCTTTTAAAATGTTAAGCACCTTTCCAAATAAAAGGACAACTTATCAGCACTGGGCCAAGTGTTCACCTGTTCGCTAAGGTGGGGGGGATGGCAATGGTGTTGGGGTCGTGGGTGGTGCCAAAACTCGGTCAAAATGGTCCTGTTCGTGTCTAAAATTATACGTCTACATAATTTCCCAGGCTATGTATGCTCTCTGTTACCTTTTTATTGATTGCCAACAGATTTTCCAATTCAGCGCACCTGATAAAAGGAGCCGGGGAGGCTTTTGATTGGCATCACTTGAAACTCGACGTGTTTACAGCAAACATATTTCGGCAGTCATGACTTCTCGCGTGCTGGAAATTTCTTAGAGCCACTCAAGGACATGGCCGGTACAGTGGTAATTAGCCAAGGCCTAAATGCTTCAGCTGAGGAGGTCCCACGGTCATCTACCTGACAAGGGACTAGCAGGTAGGAGCCTTTGTGTGTGAAGGATTCAGGAAAAGGGACCTTAATAGGCCCGTGAATTCTTGGAAAATGTGACATAAATTGGAAATATATTTTGCAAAATGGCCGGTCAAAGCGAGCCTATAAAGGAATTGATCCTCTCTGGGTCAGGATCAGTTACTTGTGCAAGTCCCAGCGAACAAGATGTCCCTCAGACAGTGCAGATCCTATTTGCTGTTGCTCCTGCTGCTGACGATCCACGGAGCCTTTAGTGTTCCAGCTCTGGATAATCCGCCGCCAGCTGCCACACCTAATACCATCGAAGAGTCAGACAAACTGCCGGAGAGCGGGGAACCGAGCGTTGCCTCTTCCCAGGATGCAATCCTCACAAGTGGTAACGATACGAGCACGCAGGCGACAGATACCTCGGATAAAACGGTGGTGAGTTGAACCAAGAAGTTAAAAATTGTACCTAAACTAATTATTCATTTGTTATTATTTTATTTAGCAGCCCGATAATGTGGCCAGTGGCAGCAATATAGATCCCACCACTGTCTACGCTGGAGGAATTCTTCCACCTGAGCTATTCCAGCAATACCTTAATTCGTACTCAGGCTTTGGTCCTTATGCGGGCTCATATCCGGCTCCCGTGGGCGCCGCAGCACCTGGCATCTATCCATACCCAGGGGCCATTGTGATGCAGACGGGCTACGAGGGATTCCTGGTGCCGGCTAATGGAGCTGGACAGACGGACAGCACCACTGTGGTGGCGTCTACTGCTGAGTCGAGTTCCTCCTCGAATCCTTTGCTGTCATTTGCCTCCAATCTTTTGCCCACGGTCCTGCTGTCCACGGTTCTGCGCATCGCTGCCGTGGTCCTTTCCGCTGTAGGCATTATCCTCTTTGGAGGCGCCATAACCAGTGCCCTGTGCAGGATCACCCCAATCTGCGATATACCCGCCCGGGCTGTGAATATCCTTCGAACAGGAGGAGCCCAGGATGTGGGTCGCATGCTGGCTGAGGAGATGACACCAGAACGGGTGCGACGAGCCACCCAGTTTGTACAAAATGCCATCAAGAAGTATCAACAACTCCAGAACATGATAGAGGAGTCGTCGGGAGCGGCTGAGGTGACCGAATAGGGACGGCGTGATGGGATTTAGTTTAAGTGCCGCCTCGTAAATTAAGAGGAATGCAAAAAATATATTTTTAACGACGCTATAAAACGATTTTAATTTGACTGTTGCAGGGGGGTTCAAGAGTTGTAAATAGGAAACATTACTCGAATCGTAAAAATGGTTCAGAAGTTAGGTCACAACTGATAACTATCTTAATGCTTTGATTTACTTTTATACAGCAATTAATTCTTAATTAATTAATTATCTTAAAGTAAACTTATTCGAAAAGAAATGAACAAGAATAGTTGTACGAATTCCAAATTATTTTATATTTCCTTTACATTATCCATAACTTTGGTGCCGACCCCCCGACGGATTTTATGGCACACTGAGCAATTTAAAATATGTGCATTCGTAATTCGTATATGTATGTTCAATGCCAAAGGCAGCACGTTTGTTAGCTACTAAGCTAAACAATTGTTCTAATAGTGGAGCGGTCAACGGCCCAGCCCAGTCGCCGGTTTCTGGGCTTCACCTGCAATAGGCAACGAGGGGCTAAGAGGGCCCCGGGGACATACATACATGACGAGCGAAATATTCGCGTGCATTCAACTGCAGTTGGTCATTGTCGTGAGTGATTAACAGAGCTGATATATAGACACAATCTCACTTTTATACTCCAAGTCAAAGATAGTAGTAATTTGTAATAAACATATAAGACTGATTGATGAAATACCGGCGATTTATTGAGAACCTATGCAACTTGGAAATACAAATTGTTGGTTTTTATAGGTTTTATTGCCATATTTATTATCAAGAATTTAATAGTAAACAGCCAGTTGCATAAATAAAAATGTTACTTAATAGGCACGACCTATACCAACTACTCAAGAACTCTAGTGCCTTTTGTGTAGATAACATGTATTGATTAACTTTATTTATAGGAATAAAGTATAACTATATAAGGTAAAAAAGTGCTGAGGTCTCTGGCTGTTCTGATAATTTAATGCTGTTACTCTTTCTGACGGCTCTCCTCGACAAACTTCTTGATTAGCTGAACGCCCTCCCAGTTCTCCTCCCAGCCGGGAGTGACCTCCTTGGCGTTCTCGTACCACCTGGCCACATTCGCATACTGGCCAATGTCAAAGTCCACCACCTCGAAGGTGGAGACAGAGGCCAGGAGAGCAATATCCGCCACGGTGAGGCAATCGCCGGCCACATAGTCCTGACCTTCAAGGAAGGTATTCAGGTGATCGAAGGCACTGTCCACCTTCTTCATGGCCTCCGGATCGGCGGGTGCATTGTTCCTTATCTGGGGATAAATTGCCTGAACGAAGCTGTGGAACAATGTGCCCATGTCGAAGTAGAGTCGCTGATTGACCACCGCCTGCTTCTCGGGATCCTTGGGATAGAGGGAATCATCCTGGCCGTACTTTTGCACCAGATATACTAAGATGGCGCGCGATTCCCAAATGGAGAAACCATTGTCCACGAGGGTTGGGATGGTGTGCTGTGGATTCAGCTTCACGAACTCCGGTTTTAGCTGCTCTCCGTCCATGACCTTCAGGAGCTTCAGGTTCAACTCCACACCCAAGGCCTTGGCTGTCATCATGACGGAGCGACAAGGAGCTGAGCACGGATGGTAGTAAAAGTCCATGATGGATTGTTCTGCAAGTACCAAGAGTTAACGACAACTGACCCCAAGGCAGGAACTACAACGGCTTTTATAGCTAGAGCCACGAGCCCCCGAAATCATATCGATTTCCATATATAGTCATCCTGTGTCGTGTGCCTTTCCCGAATGGAACTATAGCGCTGTCAGCTTTATCGATGATAAGGTTTCAACGTCATTAGAAGCGCTTTGCTAATGGCCAGATAATGAACATATATATATATAATCGGAGTCCATGCGTGTGAAAGTAGGGGTACCATCGATTTGAATTTACTTTTAAATGTCATTAATTTTAATTGCAGTAATTACAAATTAATTATGCATAGTTCGTGGTTGTAAAAGGAGTTCAATGGCCTGCAATTTAAAGGTCAAAGTTTGGTTACTTTCTTTTACTTTGTAATTAATGAAATGACCTATAGTATCAGTTATCAGTTATAAAGGTGCAGGATATAGTATTGATTTGAATCTAATAGTAGTTTCGAATAATAAACTAAATGTGTTCTTTTGTGAACTTTCGATTAATATACGAAATATTTAGACTTAAAATTGTATTTATTTTCCAAAATTAAAATTTGATCTTTATTTTTAATATATTTAGTATTTAAACATTTCTCAATCGTAGCTGACACGATAAACTGGCTCCGGAAGTGCTCTGGCGCAGTCCGCCGGAGTCCGGTGAGCGGAACTGGAGCAGCAGTTGCTGCTGTCTGGTGCCGGATTGTCCGTTCCTGTGGTGGCTCTGGCCGAGCTCGAGGCTCCATTACTTCTTTCCTGCCCTCAGGCCCTCGGTGAACTTCTGCAACTTCTTAATGCTCGCCAAGTTCTCGTCCCAACCGGGTGTAACCCTCTGGGCGTTCTTGTACCACTTGTCTAGGTTGGGGAATTCCTTCAAATCAAACTGCACCATTTCCACCAAAGTGACAGAGGATAAAAGGAGGATGTCCGCCACGGACAGCTGGCTGCCGGCGAAGTAGTCTTGGCCGTCCAGGAAGGATTCAAGGAACCCAAAGGCAGCCTTAATCTTGTCCAGGGCGGCCTGGTCTCCCACCTGGCCGGTGCGGTAAATGGGGAAGAAGTATGAGGAAATGGCGTTGTAGAGGGTGTCCAGATCGAAGAAGAGGCGCTGGTGGATCACGGCCCGCTTCTTCGGATCCCTGGGATACAGGGGTTGCTCCCGGCTGGGATGAGAACTTGGCCGCCATCGAGCAGGCCAAGAAGTTTGTGGAAGAAAAACTGAAGGAAATTAAGTAGATTTTGCATATATTTTGTATTTTTAATAAAGATTTATTTTATTTGTATAATTTTTGCATTGTAATTATGACTTGAAGTCTGATGAGGAAAGTGTTTCTTATCGTCGTGAATATATTATGAACGGTGAACGAATACGTGTTTATACAGTAAATAACGGTAGTATTTTCTACAATCCAAGGAGATTAGGGATTATTACTTTTTTTTTTTTTTATATATATTTATTTTATTAAATTATTATTCACAAGAACGAAAGATATGTATGGCTTTAAATTAGAACAATAACACTCGGCTATTATTAGATTGGAAAAAAAGTCGATACAAAATTGATAAGATCAATGTTGACACATTTTTCCCATGTCCTTTTTATGTGCCAATTTTCCGTACTTCAGAAATCACAAAAATTTCCCATATCTCAAAATAGATTGAAATATCTATTTCATATATGTTTAGTTCAATTACTTAAATTATCCCCAAAGTTCAGAGTTCTTTAAAACTACTTATTTCACATGGTGATGCAGATCAAACATATTTAATTTAGTTGAGCTAAAAATATATATTTTTGAGTTTGGTTGAGTTGGTTTTTGGAACGGCCTTCAAATATCTTCGCATAGTTTTAGGCACTATGAAAAAGGGGAGCTTCCATCCGTATCGTAATCTAGTACACATTTACACTTGATAGCATTCTGGGCATTCTTGTACCACTTCTCTACGTTCGGGAATGGTTTCAGGTCGAACGGAACCATTTCGAAGGTGGACACAGTGGCCAAAATAACCAGGTCAGCAACTGACAGTTGGTCACCGGCCACGTAGTCCTGGCCCTCCAGAAAGGTGTTGAGGAACCCAACGGCAGAGTTAACCTTGTCCAGAGCTTCTTGATCTCCCAGCTTGCCGGTACGGAACAGGGGGTAGAAGTACTTGGACAAGCTTTCGTACAGAGTGCCCATATCGAAATACAGCCTCTGGTTGATCAGAGCCCGTTTCTGGGGATCCTTGGGGTAGAGAGGGGAGTCCGGCTTGCCGTACTTCTCCACCAGGTAGACTACGATGGCACGCGACTCCCAAATGGCAAATCCATTGTCCACAAGAGTGGGAATGGTGTGCTGCGGGTTGATCTTCACAAACTCCGGTTTCAGCTGGTCGCCCTCCATGGTGTTAATGGCTTTGAGTTCAGTTCCACGCCCACTGCCTTGGCCGTCATCTTCACGGCACGAGTGGTCGGAGCACCAGGCATGTTGTACAGATCCATAGCGGGCATGGCGATTGCACAATCGTCTCACTGGAGCGGTAAAAGTAAACTGATTTGGCCTAGCTGTGGTCCTCTTTTTATAGCGAAAGTGCCAACGAATTTTCTGCTCCTTTATCATTATAAACAAATAAAGTTTGTCATTGTTAGAACTCAGTTTTTATGTATTTCGCAATAAAAAAAAGAGCTATCAGTATATTTTATGGGTGAAGTCTAAGCTGATATAGCTTAAACACTTATTTAACTATAAATAAAAAACCCCTAAAACTAGAATAACTATAGCGTCTTAACCTTAAATGAATTGGTCGCGTGAGTTTTTATGTATTTTTCGTAATAGCTAAACAATCATGATTAGATTGAAAACGCTCGTAGAAGTGTGTCATATGTGGCTTATCAGTTGCCAAAATCAAATTTTATTCTATTTGCGAATACCCTATAAATAATAAATATGGCTGGGAAATAATTGCCTTAGAAACAATTAAAATTACTTTCCTTAAACTAATTTAAGACTAGTTTTAAAATAATAATGCCTAGGCGTTAGTAGGCCATAAGAAAATGAAGAACAAACCATATTTTATATTACAAATTATAAATTAGGAACTTTATTTTAATCTCATAATATCATACATATTACTGCTTGGCAGCTGCCGCCGCCCTTTCCTCTATAAACTTTTTCAATTGCTTGATTCCTTCCAGATTCTCGTCCCAGCCTGGAGCAACCTTCTGGGCATTTTTGTACCACCTGTCCACGTTGGGGAATTTCTGCAGGTCAAACTGGATCATTTCGATGGTGGAGACAGTGGCCAAAATGGCAAGATCAGCCACTGTCAATTTGCTTCCAGCCACGTAATCCTGGCCCTCCAGGAAGGTATTCAGCAGCTCAAGGGCAGAGTTGAACTTGTCCAGGGACTCCTGATCACCCAGACTGCCGGTGCGGAACAGGGGGAAGATGTATTTGGCCAGGCTATCGAACAGAGTGCCCATATCGAAGTACAGCCTCTGGTTGATCAGTGCCCGCTTCTGGGGATCCTTGGGATAGAGAGGGGAGTCTGGCTTGCCGTACTTCTCCACTAGGTAGACCACGATGGCACGCGACTCCCAGATGGCAAATCCATTGTCCACAAGAGTGGGAATGGTGTGCTGCGGGTTGATCTTCACGAACTCCGGTTTTAGCTGGTCGCCCTCCATGGTGTTTATGAACTTTGAGTTCAGTTCCACGCCCACTGCCTTGGCCGTCATCTTCACGGCACGAGTGGTCGGAGCACCAGGCATGTTGTACAGATCCATAGCGGGCATGGCGATTGTGCTATTGTGTTGCTAGAGCTGAAAAAGTAAACTGATTCGGCACTAGCTGAGTTCCCCTTTATATAGCAAAGTGGCCAAGCCATTATCAGGCCCACTATGATAATGAGCTAATAGTGTTTGTCATTGTTAGAAGTCACTTTTTCGCTTGTTAGTTTTCATGAGAAAATAAACAATATTCTGTGGCTAAATTAAATGGGACTTGATAGGGAAAAGATAAGTACACATAAAGGAAAACATGCGATAGATTTAAATTACTTCATGTTTTGATGACACATTCGCCCAGGAATTCTATTAAAATAAAACAATTATACATTTAAGAGATAATTTAGAAATAATTATTAAAGATTTTCGTGTGTCTATTAGCTGCCTATAAATGTAACACATTTGAAGAACAATTTTTAATTCATATTAAATTAGAAATATTATTGTTTAAACGAAACCGTTTTCATATATGACTTGTTACATTAAATATTAACTTAAGGCAATTACTTTTTTAAGTTGGAGCACAGAAACTTTTTCACATCACACAATACTCGTAGGTCTTGAGCCCAAGCCAGAGGAACATTTTGGACATTTGTGAACCATCTGTCCACGTTGGGGAATTCCTTCAAATCAAAATCAACTACTCTGATTACGAGGACAGTTGCGAATATAACAAAGTCAGCTACGGACATCTGACTACCGGCCACGTAATCCTGACCCTCCAGGAATGTGTTGAGTAATTTAAAGGCTGCGTTGAGTTTCTCCAAGTTCTCCTCGGTTTCCTCTTTTCCATTGCGCAGGATATAGAAGTAATATTTATCAAAAGCATCGTAAAGGGTGCCCATGTCGAAGTACATTCTCTGGTTGATCACTGCACGTATCTGGGGATCCTTGGGATAGAGAGAGGAGTCCGGTTTGCCGTACTTCTCCACCAGGTAGACCACGATGGCACGGGTCTCCCAGACGACGAATCCATTGTCCACCAGTGTAGGAACGGTGCGCTGCGGGTTAATCTTTACGAACTCCGGCTTTAGATGTTCATTTTTAGTGGTATTCACGTTAATGGAGTTCAGTTCCACTCCCACAGCCTTGGCCGTCATAATGACGGCCAGACTGCCCGGCGCACCGGCCATGTTGTAGAAATCCAGAGTGGACATTGCGATGATTCCGTCTACCTCGTGGGAATGAATTGAACCAACTAATCTTGCTCTTGCCGAAAAAATGCACTTATCAAGAATATTATCTATCTGCTTGATAACATTATATTGATTGTTATCAGTCTATTAAAAGTATTAGGGTTAACTTGCTTAGGCTTAAACAAGGCATTGGGAATTTTAATTGCAAATTTTATTGCCTTGTTGTCACAAAGGTCTGAGTAAACAAATAGAACCACCATATTCCTGCTAATATATCTATAATATATAATTAAATTATTATTAAATTTCTTTTTTATGAAGACACGATTTTTATATATTTTTGAAGAAAGATATTACATTTGTAATTTAAGGCAGTTTCTCTATTAAGTTGGCGGCCAAAAACTTTTTCGCTTCCTGTATTCTCAGCAAATTTTCGTCCCAACCCGGAGTCACCTTCTGCGCAGTTTTATACCATCTTTCCACGTTGGGAAATTTCTTCAAATCGAAATCAACCATTTCGATGGTGGAAACGGTGGCCAAAATAACGATGTCAGCCACGGAAAGTTCACTGCCGGCCACATAATCCCGACCCTCCAGGAAGGTGTTGAGCAGTCCAAAGGCTGTGTTGAGCTTGTCCAAGTTCTCCTGGGTTCCCGGCTTACCAGTGCGCAGAAGTGGGAAGAAGTACTTGCCAAAGGCATCGTAAAGGGTGCCCATGTCAAAGTACAGCCTCTGGTTGATCAGAGCCCGCTTCTGGGGATCCTTGGGGTAGAGAGCGGAGTCGGGTTTGCCGTACTGCTCCACTAGGTACACCACGATAGCACGCGACTCCCAGATGGCAAATCCATTGTCCACCAGAGTAGGAATGGTGTGCTGTGGGTTGATCTTCATGAACTCCGGCTTCAGCTGCTCCCCCACAAAGGTATTCACGGTGATGGAGTTCAGTTCCACTCCCACTGCCTTGGCCGTCATAATGATGGCCCGAGTGCTCGGCGAACCGGACATGTTGTAGAGATCCAGATTAGGCATGGCCATCGCCATTCCGTCTTGCCGGTGGGAGTGAAGAGAAACAACTAAAAAGGTACCTGCCGAAATTCCCACTTTTAAACCAAAGTTGTTGCGAATTATCTACCTGTCTGATATTATTTGTGAGTCCATTAGAGTGGACCTGTGTTAATTAAAAGTTTTAGTTTCTCGCTCGGATATTAGAGATTTTTTAGGAATTGACTTTAATTTTATTATTTAAATTTTTAAAAGAATATAATTTTTGATTTGATATTTTATATTATAATAAATATAAAATGTGTACCTACAATTTACGAGTCCACTCTAATTTACTTACATATATACGCTAATGTCTCTCTGGGAGAATTTATTTTTCGTATTTCGTTTGTTTGGGAAATAAGCAAATGTATAGGTTAGCGTACATATACATTTAAGGTTAAACAACTTTTTGCACCTATCTCAAAGAAGACTTTAGTTGTATCAACTTTAGCATAGAATATACATATATACAAAACAAAATGTTTAAAATATTCCGTTTTATGAAGTAAAAACATTAAATTTATTAATACGTTTATTTTTAATAACATAAAAAATTTGTATTCTAATTACTTTGTTGTGTTCTTCAGGGCTTCAATTTTCTCGACCATCTGCCGAAGGCCATCCCAATTCTCATCCCATCCGGGAGTTATCTTCTTGGCATAAGCATACCACCTGGCCACATTTGGGTACTTGCTTATATTAAAGTCAACAATATCAAAGGTGGAGACGCTGGATAAGATGGCAATATCAGCCACAGTTAGATGATCACCCGCCACATACTCCTGACCCTCCAGAAAGGTGTTCAGGAACTCGAAGGCCGACTCGATCTTCTTGAAGTTTTCGGCGTTGGCTGGTTCGCCAGAGCGAAATATGGGGTAATAGTACTTGGCGAAGGTGTCGTACAAGCCTAGATCGAAGTACAGTCGCTGATTGATCAAAGCCTGCTGCTTGGGGTCCTTGGGGTAAAGCGAGTCGTCCTTGCCGTACTTCTCCACCAGGTAGATGGCAATGGCACGCGACTCCCAGAGGGTAAAACCATTGTCCACCAGTGTAGGAATGGTGTGCTGCGGATTGATCTTCAGGAACTCTGGCTTTAGATGATCTTGTTGTGATAAGCTTATTGGCTTCCTGTTAAGTTCCACTCCAAGAGCCTTGGCCACCATGATAATCGTCCGACACCCACTGCCGACTGGCGTGTAGTAGAAATCCATTTGGGAACGTTTTTTACTACGTGCTTTGCATTGAAGAGAAAAAGCAAAACTGAACACTCTCAAGTGGGGCCCTCTCTCATATATAGAAATGCCATATCTCTCTTTTGAAAGAAAATTGTTTGTCATCGTGGTTCGTATATTTGTTGTGTTTTTTTTTTTTATTTAGGCGTATACATTCTGAATAAATAGTTTTTTACGATAGTTAAGTTTCTCTAAACTCTTAGTTTAATATATTAAAAGAACAAATACATACATTGCTAACAAGTTAAATACATTATTTAAATATCTTCTACTTTGCTTCGGCCTTTCGGGCCTCAATCATAGCCTTCATCTGCAGAAGACCCTCCCAGTTCTCGTCCCACCCCGGAGTTGTCTTCTTCGCATTGGCGTACCACCTGGCCACATTCGGGTATTTGCTAATGTCAAACTCGACAACTTCAAAGGTGGAGACACTGGACAGAATGGCGATGTCGGCCACGGTGAATTGGTTGCCCGCTACATAGTCCTGTCCCTCCAGGAAGGTGTTTAGGAACTCGAAGGCGGTCTCGATCTTCTTGAAGTTTTCGGCGGGACCGAGCTTGCCAGTTCGGACGAAGGGGTAATAGTACTTCATAAAGGAGTCGTGAAGGGTGCCCATATCGAAATATAGGCGTTGATTGATCACTGCCCGCGTCTGGGGATCCTTGGGGAAGAGAGAGTCAGAATGTATACTTCTCCACTAGATAGACGGCGATGGCACGTGACTCCCAGATGGCAAATCCATTATCCACCAGAGTGGGAATGGTGTGTTGGGGATTCAGTTTCAAGAATTCTGGCTTTCGGTTGTCCCCTTCGGTGATCTTCACGATCTTCTTGTTCAGCTCAAGCCCAAGGGCCTTGGCCACCATGATAACCGTGCGGCATCCACTGCCACGAGGAGAATAGTAGAAATCCATATCGGGAATTGGGATTACTCTGTGTTGCTCGCTGGAGAGGAGAACCAGAACTGAATGCGGCCAAGCATGGATCCCTTTTATATAGTGAGTTGGTTGTGAAATATCATATCTCGCACGAAATGATTATAATTGATTTGCTCGCTGTTTCTTCGCTGTGTGTGTTGGTTTATTTATTGTTTATTTTTTCGATAAAGTAATCAACAAATGGTAAACACACAATCATACATCTGAAAACAAATACAGTTTTTGTGTTGGCTTATCTTGGGTTTCTTTCATGCGAATAAATTATGCTTTCTATTATTATATTTCAAAAAGCAAGTTAAAGCCATATTTAGTTTTTTATTATATTATTAAATAATATCACTAGAATTAAATATCTCCTGCTTACTGCACAGACTTCATTTTCTCATCGAACGACCTTTTCAAGTCCAGAGCGCCTTCCCAGTTCTCCTCCCAGCCTGGAGTCACCTTCTTGGCATTCGCATACCACTTGGCCACGTTCGGATACTGGCTAATGTCGAAGCCCAGGACATCGAAGTTGGTCACATTCGAGAGGATGGCGATGTCGGCTAAGGTGAGGTGATCCCCGGCAAAGTATTCTTGACCCTCGAGGAAGGTGTTGAGGAAACCAAAGGTGTCCTGTACCTTCTTAAAGTCCTCCTCGGAGCCCAACTGACCAGTGACATAGATTTTGAAGTAGTAACCAGCCAAGGAGCCATACATAGAGGCGTGGTCGAAGTACAGCCTCTGATTAATCACCGCCTGCTTCTGGGGATCCTTTGGGTAGAGGGAGTCGTCCTTGCCGTACTTCTCAACCAGGTAAATGGCGATGGCACGCGACTCCCAAATAGTAAAGCCATTGTCCACCAGTGTGGGAATAGAATGCTGGGGGTTGATCTTGATGAATTCCGGGCTCATCTGCTCTCCCTTCCTCGTGCTGATCACCGTCTTGTTCAGCTCTAGGCCCAGTGCTTTGGCCACCATAAGGACGTTGCGGCAGGCACTGACGTAGGGCGCGTAATATAAATCCATTTTGGGAACCAAAGTCGCGCCGTGCTTGCTGCTCGAGAGCGAAAATATAACTGATTGGGAGCCCATCATGGCTTCCCTCCCAACGAGCCGAATAATAACGGAAGGCGTTCTCTTAATTTACGTTCGGTTGCCATGCTGTGGATGTGCTAGTTAAGAGCACTTGTAGAGAAACAGAGAATAATTGGCTGTGGTTTAATCTCAACCATATAATCTATATAAGAATATAAATAGTAAATACGGAGCCAGGCCAAGTAATACCTTAAATAAAATATTTAACTTTGAAATTACTAGACAATATTTAAAGTCAAAAGTTTAATTTTATTTATAAAAACAAATTATAAAAGTAAGCCAAATCAATTACTGAGCTGCATTTAGTTTCTCGTCGATCATCCTCTTCATTTCGAGAGCTCCTGCCCAGTTCTCCTCCCACCCGGGAGTCACCTTTTTGGCGTTGGCGTACCACCTGGCCACATTCGGATACTTGCTGATGTCGAATCCCAGGGCATCGAAGTTGGCCACATTTGAAAGTATAGCAATGTCGGCCAAGGTGAGATGGTCGCAGGCCAGGTAGTCCTGTCCCTCGAGGAAGCTGTTGAGGAACTCGAAGGTGTCCGTCGACTTCTTAAGGTCCTCTTCAGATCCAAACTTTCCGGTGAGGAATGCCTTGAAGTAGTATGCGGCCAGGGAGCCGTACATGTTGGAGTGATCGAAGTAAAGTCGCTGATTGATTACGGCCTGGATCTGAGGATCCTTGGGGTAGAGAGAGTCGTCCTTTCCGTACTTTTCCACCAGGTAAATGGTAATTGCACGCGACTCCCAGAGGATGAAGCCATTGTCAACCAGGGTGGGAACGGTGTGCTGGGGGTTGATCTTGATGAACTCCGGGCTCAGCTGCTCCCCCTTGAGGGTGTTCACCAGCGTCTTGTTCAGCTCGAGGCCCAGGGCCTTGGCCACCATGAGGACGTTGCGACAAGCGCTGACCACCGGGTAGTAGTATAAATCCATTTCGGGAACTGCGATCGTGTGGTGCCAGCCGCTCGAGAGAAGAAAGAAAACTGATTGGGACCCTCACGGGCTCTCAGCTATATATAATGCCGCACTGAGCTCTCTGTTTGTGTATGCTTGCTATGCTGTGACATGTTAATTGACTGTATTTGTGGAAAATACACTTGTACTTTTACACAAATATGGCTGTGTATTTTTCACAAATACAAATGCCAATCACGAAAATATATCAATTTCCATGGGCTTGTGTTCTCTGTAAAAGCAGCTTGTTAGAAAACATTTGTATGTTTGTGTCTGCGTCGTCAAGCTCATTAAATTTATTTTCGCTGAAGTTTGCTATTTAAGGGGAGAAATGAGAATTCCCTTCTAAGGAACACATCTGTTTGAGTTCTGGTTTTGGTTTCGTTGGCTACAGGTTTAAATGGGAAATAAGGTTTATAAATACAATAATAAGGTTTTTGTACTTTAGAAGCAAGTGCACAAACAGACTTACAATAAAAAAATGTTTCAACTACTTAGTTAAGCAGTGTAAAATCTGTGAGAGCAGAATCACTAGCAACACCCTTACAATTTTTTAAGAAAGATTTGCAACCAACCAAAATGCACCCAAAAATATATTTAAGCATTTATAAAATTAGCTAATGCAATTATAAGAATAACAAAATAATATACATTTTATTCAAAAGGGAATAAACTACAAGTCTTTAACAAGTCATAATGATTCATAATAAAACTTGTTTTAAGTGTACCTATTTAGGTCCTGAGTGTTTTTAACATCCGTTTTCATATGATTTCATTTCATTTCCAATCCAAAAACTAATTTTCCCAAAAAGTACATCTTATTTTTATAAACAAACGCTTAGTTTTCTTTTATTAAATTAAACAATTAATAAATATAAATACATATAAGTATATGTATAAATCTGAGTATCATTTACTTGGCTGCCGCCTTGCGGGCTTCGAAGAAGGCCTTCATCTGCTGCAGACCCTCCCAGTTCTCGTCCCATCCGGGAGTCACCTTCTTAGCATTGGCGTACCACCTGACCACGTTCGTGTACTTGCTAAAGTCGAACTCAATGATGTCGAAGGTGGAAACCAGCGCCAGGATGGCAATATCGGCCACAGTTAGATTGTCACCGGCCACGTAGTCCTGTCCCTCCAGGAAGGTGTTCAGGAACCCGAAGGCCGTCTCGATCTTCTTGAAGTCCTCTTCGCTACCGGGCTGACCGGTGCGGAACAGGGGATAGTAGTACTTGGCGAAGGCATCGTTGAGGGTGCCCATGTCAAAGTACAGACGCTGGTTGACCACGGCCTGCTTCTTGGGATCCTTGGGGAAGAGAGAGTCGTCCTTGCCGTACTTCTCCACTAGGTAGACGGCAATGGCGCGGGACTCCCAGATGGAGAAGCCATTATCCACCAGGGTGGGAATGGTGTGCTGTGGATTAAGCTTCACAAACTCCGGCTTCAGCTGCTCGCCCTCCATGGTGTTCAGGAGCTTCTTGTTCAGCTCCACGCCAACGGCCTTGGCTACCATCTGGACAGTGCGGCATCCGCTGCTACCGGGCATATAGTAGAAATCCATATCTGAATGTGTTATTCGCTGGGGACGAGAACGAAGACTGCCTAATGCCGGGAATGGAGGTTACTTTTATAGCCAGTTGCCTGTGAAATTATCTCTCTCCATTTGTTTATTTGTGCTTTCTTGTGCTCCAAAAGTTGCCGGTCATGGTTAGAATAATTTTTTTCATATTTCGGGAGCCCATTATTTTGGGTTTGTGTCCACGTACCGTGACTCACGTAGCACTAATTACTATTGCAGGAGTGGGGCCACAGATAATCTTTGAAGCACTTGTACAAATTGTGAGATTATTTTATGATAGTAACTAACTAACATTTGCAATGTTCAGTGATGATGAGCTATAATGTGTCAGAAAATATATGTATCAATGATATGAGGCAGAAGGTATTGTAAATCTGGGCTGATCTTACGAGATAAAGGCTAAGTATTTCATCAACGCCTGACGATATTTAATATTATTCAAATAGATAGGAGCTATGAATGAAACTAAAGCCACGTCGCTTTAGCTTATCTGCAATTTTAATTGAAATGTTAATGTTTTGGAGGTGAGACTACATTGATGTCCATGCCAATAGGTAACTGTTTGATTTGAACACATTTAAGTTACCGATTTTATTCAGCAGAATTAATATCGATATAGAGGGGAGATCTTAATAAAAGGGATGAGGTATCAAAAACGCTTTTACTTTTCCATTCGCTTACACAAACAGTTATCTCTGCCTTTTCTCAAGTCGAGATCAGTGAAAGACTGAAGCAGACTCAAGCGCGGCTGTACAAAAAATATATATAAATTGCCGGCAAGCGGAATCGAGCAAATATATACATATCAAGTATACATATATGTGAGCTTATATGGCAAATCGGCAGACTCTCCCGATCTTTGATACGAATACCCAGAGATCTCTTGGCTTCTCTTCGCACGATCGCTTCTCTTAGCCTCTTTGTACTCTTTGAATAGTTTGGGTTTTTCATTTCTTTGCGGCGGTTTGTCTTTTTGATTGTTTGTGAATCACACTTGGCCAATGCCGTCTAACTGGTTCTCTTGATCCCGCCGGTGGCAAACAATAAACACTGAGTGACCTTTCTCTACATTTTACGCCAGATCTTGGGCCGGCTTTTTGGTGAATTAAGCCAAACCAGTTATTGGCGAACTTCTTCCCTTCACGATCACCGTGTTTCCCATGAATCAGTAGATTTCGGCATTATATTCAAATGAGTAATTTTCAGGGGGCGTCGGGGTCTCTGGGGTTTTTCGTGTTCGTTGCGATTTCACAAGCGAGGTGGATTGTTCTGGACGTTAAGAGAGCAATTTGTTTGACGTGTCCCCTTCGAATATACTCTTTTCGACTTGTTATTGAAATTTATGCTATGTCATGCTGATAGTTGGTATTGTCAATTGTGAAACTGATAATAGCCACCCCTAGCGAATAATCGTCGGAATGTTCGAGAGGTGTCTTGCCACCAGTTATATCGAGTTATACATTTTTCGTATGGCTAACCAGGCTTTATTTACCTTCTCATGCAATGTGGCCATAACAATCGTTTCCAGCTGACCAAGGTCGTGGAATTACAAACACTTTTCTGTGGGTAGAAAATTCAATCGATCCATCGATTGTTGTGGCCATCAAGATAATTACATAAAAAATGTACACCTGTAATTTGCGATTTGCATGTCCCTTTGACGTAGAAATTTCCTAGGGCTTGACATATTAAATCAACGAGGGTTGTTCACTCAGCTTGGGTTTTGCCCACAGTTTTATCACAGTCTGAGTCATATTTTAATCGACTTTTTGGCAAGCCCGTGGTATTATTTATGTGGCCATATTAGTAGGTGGTATTATTATTATATATTTCTCTACGGGATTCGCACCCAACTGTTGCCGTTTTGCTGTTTGTCTGATATGAATGTTTGCCGGCCGGCTTCGCCTGCTATCTCTCGTTTGCTTTATTTTTTCTTGTTTATTATTATTTTTTCTTTATTTTTTATAAGCTCCGATAAAAGAGTTTATTTTTAAGCGCAATTGCTGTGAGCACAGATGTTCATTAAGTATGCAGGAATGTGTACACAGCAAGAGATAAAGATGTTTTTATATTAGAAGTTTTATATTAGAAGTAAAAACTAAATAACAAAATTAAATTATTCACGGGCGTGACTTTAAAATGAAATGTTAATATTAAGATTAAAATAATAAAAATAAATAATAGATAATGATAATAAATATTTAAAACTGACTAATCATAATTATTCCCTTGAAACTTAACAGCTCTAAGTACAATAAGTATTGAAGTAATCTAGATAAGAAACCAACCACTTGAGAATAAAAAATATTAAGGAAATGTGTGATAAGAAAAAAACAAAATGGAATTAAAAATTATTTTTTATATTGAAATTATGCTGTATAGTATATATTTTAAAACAACCAAATTTACTCGTTGCATACAAATAAAAAATTGTGTATAATAAACGGGTTTAAATAAAAAAAAAGAGTGAAGGAGCACTTTAAAGAGAGCACCAGGTGCCGTTCCAGTGGAGGATCATTAGAAAGTTGCAGCTTTCTTTTGGGGTGATTCCAGGGGGGCTAGGGGGATGATGGAGCAGGTACATACGTGTGCTAGTGCCACTAAATCACTTATACTTGCACACGGCTCTATGTATTAATCACACTGCTAACGTTACATTTTTGTGTGCTATTATATTGAGTTTGTGCCGGTGTGTGCGGGGAATAAAGCGAAAAACAAAAAGCAACTATGTAGACACGAAAACAACAACTGGCGGCGGCTGTCTCTTTTTATGGTGATTCCCCACCCTTGAGACCCCTCCCTTACCTTTGGGGCAGCAAACAACTCTTGTTTGCCGGCCGCGGCATTATGGCGACGCCAGCGATTCCCTATAAAAGCCGACCTGCTCTCCGGATTTCGTTCAGTGTTACTTCTCATTTGGTACAGTGTGCATCGCGAGATTTCCAACAAACTAAAAATGTAAGTTTGCCATATTTTACTGTAACTGTGTGTGACTTAGCAAAGCAAAAAATAAGCTAGAAACAATGTGCAAAAGGAATAAGCATGGAAAATTACCAAATAGTTGAAAGAACCCCAGATATTGTGTGCTATGTGCTATGTGTTTAATATGACATCACTCCCTCCCTGGGAGCCGGAGAGTCTCGCCAAGTGAATTTCTGTAATGACCTGGCAATTAAAGCCGGCCTTTGTCTGAGCTCGAAATTATAGAGCGCGTCTAATTACGGTATATCTTTTCTGATCTGTTCTGTGTGATTTTTGCATGTACTTAAAAACAACATGGTGGAAAAGAAACTTAAGCTCACATACTAAAGGCATTTGATGAGGGTTTTAAAAATAATTATACCATTTGCTAAGTGTATTTAGGCAACCATTATGCTTAATTTAAAAGACGTATAGTTAATTTTTGTGATTAGGTTAGAGCTAATTAAAAAATAAATTTTTTTAATTTTAAATAGCGGAATTTCTTATTATTATTATTCAACTTTAAAGAGTTTTCTTTATAAAATATATTATTTAATTTAACATTTGTTTTCTTAATTTTCAGAAAATGGCTGACTTCTACTACCTGCCCGGCTCCTCCCCCTGCCGCTCCGTCATCATGACCGCCAAGGCTGTCGGCGTCGAGCTGAACAAGAAGCTGCTCAACCTGCAGGCAGGCGAGCACCTGAAGCCAGAGTTCCTGAAGATCAACCCGCAGCACACCATCCCCACCCTGGTGGACAATGGCTTCGCTCTGTGGGAGTCGCGCGCCATCCAGGTTTACCTGGTGGAGAAGTACGGCAAGACCGACTCGCTGTACCCCAAGTGCCCCAAGAAGCGTGCCGTGATCAACCAGCGTCTGTACTTCGACATGGGCACTCTGTACCAGAGCTTCGCCAACTACTACTACCCCCAGGTGTTCGCCAAGGCACCCGCCGATCCCGAGGCATTCAAGAAGATCGAGGCCGCCTTTGAGTTCCTGAACACGTTCCTGGAGGGACAGGAGTATGCCGCCGGCGACTCTCTGACCGTTGCGGACATTGCCCTGGTGGCCTCCGTTTCCACCTTCGAGGTGGCCGGCTTCGAGATCAGCAAGTACGCCAACGTGAACAAGTGGTACGAGAACGCCAAGAAGGTGACTCCCGGCTGGGAGGAGAACTGGGCCGGCTGCCTGGAGTTCAAGAAGTACTTCGAATAAGCCTGATATTCAAGTTTTACACCCCCAAACATTTGATGTAATATTTATTCACGTTCACAAACACAAACTATACAAAACAATTCCAAATTCGCGTGTCTCGGTGCACAATAAATGAGTGTTCGCTTTTTTGAATGCAAAAAATAAAATGCAAAACTGTTTTAATTTAGATGTGTATACCATATATGATATTGTATATGTACCATGTGTGTAGGTAGGAGTGGGCCTGTGGGCAGCAACAATTGGATAAGTTATGCTCTGCCGGCTCGTTTTTCTCTCTTCAAGTGCAAAAGGGTGTGATGGAAAGAGTCTTGCGAGGAGTCTCTTGAATCTTTTCTCTTTTTAGCGAACAGCAATAAAAGCTCATCGGTTTGGCGTCTGTTTGTCAGTGTAAATTGGGAAAGTGAGATAGCCGGAAGCCGTCAATAAAGCAGAGTAGAATATAGAACTAGAAAAAAAGGTGGAAAATTACTGAGTTATTAAACAAAATAGTGGGATAGTTTGGGCGCTAGATCTAGCTGTAATTAGTATTTGTTTGTTGTAAAGAAATACTTTTAAATTAATGAATAGTAGATCTTTTACATTTTTATGTGAAAAAGCTGAAAATGTAAAAAATAAGCTGATGAAAATTTTGTTCTCAGTTTTTCTTGATCAATTCTCTTACAGAGCTGAAGCAGCAGGGATTGAACAATGCACTCCCTTTATAATGTTAAGAAAAAAATGTTCTGAAGTAGGAAAGCAGATGTATATTTTATTTAAGATGTTTATAACCTATAGTCTTTTCTAGTTTTATTTGTAGAAAATATTAAATAATATAAATTTTTGTAAGGAGAATAAAAAACTGGCAAATATAGAAAATACAATGTCTGTAATCTTAGGACACGTAAAAAGTATTAAGTAAACGTGTAAACAATGCCAAATCATTTTTTGTTATCAACTACCTAAACTGATAACAGGCTAGAAGTTTAATTAAAAGAGTACAGCAACTGGTGGTTAGCAACAAACAACCTTAGTTAATATATTTTTAAAGCTATTGTAATATATTTTACAACTTGCTATCCATATCAACAGTCTGGCATTCCAATGAAATGAAATCCTCTCAATTTCCCAGAAATACATATACTCCTGGTCAAGCCACCTTTGTTTAAAGTTTCAAATATAAATTCACTCAACTCACTTTGCTTTTACAGTTCGTTAAAGAACCTGAATATTTTTTCAAAGCATTTTAACTCCTTATTTAAACTTAAGAAACTTAATATCCTTTAAAGTATTTATATAAGAGCTCCATACATTATAAAATAATAATTCTCTTTCATTTACAGAATCATGTTGGACTTCTACTACATGCTCTACTCGGCTCCCTGCCGTTCAATCCTGATGACTGCCCAGGCCTTGGGCCTCGAGTTGAACAAGAAGAAGGTGGATTTGGATGCCGGGGATCACCTGAAGCCGGACTTTGTGAAGATCAATCCCCAGCACACCATTCCCACTCTGGTGGATGGTGACTTTGCCATTTGGGAGTCGAGAGCCATTCTGCTCTATCTGGCAGAGAAGTACGACAAGGATGGCTTGGTCTATCCCAAGGATCCCCAGCAGAGGGCCGTGGTCAACCAGCGCCTGTTCTTCGATCTGGGAACGCTGTACCAGAGCTATGTGTACTACTATTACCCCCAGTTATTTGAGGATGTGAAGAAACCGGCCGATCCTGATAACTTGAAGAGGATTGATGCAGCCTTTGCCATGTTCGACACCCTCCTGGAGGGTCAGCAGTACGCCGCCCTGGGGAAGCTGACCCTGGCAGACTTTGCCCTGCTGGCCACCGTGTCCACCTTCGAGATATCGGAATATGACTTTGGAAAGTATCCGAATGTGGTCAGGTGGTACGATAATGCGAAGAAGGTCGTGCCCGGCTGGGAGGAGAACTGGGAGGGTTGTGTGTACTACAAGAACCTGTATCTGGGTGGAATTTTGAACAAACAATGACTTGCATCTGTTACTCAGCAAAAAACAAAAATATGTTAGACTAATACGAATTTCATAAACTGATATCGAATAAAGAGTGCCTCAATCTCAAATTATTTTAAGAGTAATTATGTCGAAGAGTCGTTGACTTCTGGAATGAGATAAGACCCCGGTGCCATGCTCTTGTGAAATTCGTTGAGGTACGACACCAGCACTACAAACATTTTTCAGTGCGATAAGATAGAGCGTCTTGCCGATAGGAATAACGTATGCTGCTGAGATTTCCCTCTGATAAGAAACAATAAACCAGAAAGGTAATTTCGAGCAACACCTGAACTAGCCTCGGGCTTACGTAAATTGTAGCTACCTAAACAATTAGTTTTCGTAAAACCAGCCACACTTTTCACTCCATTTTGATTAGTTTTTTACTCTTATACTGGCGCTCTCTTACGGCCAGTCATTTGAATCGGACAACCAAAATATTTGTCAATTATCACCTGTACTTAATTGATCCATCAGCCCACGAAAAATATTTTTTTTATTTGTTATCTTTTTGCTGTGTGCTTGTGTGTATAAAAATCGACTAAATCGCTGAGCATTATTCAGTTGTTTGTCGTGCTTCGGCGATAGAGGAGCCCCTCTTGTGCTTGTACATAAATATCTCGTAAGTTCAGCCACCGAAAGATTTTATTTTTATTATTTTTTTGCCTGCTCATTATGGCGATTATGTCACGTCAGATTCGATGGGTGCCATCTAGGAAAGTGATTAGCTATTCGCTTTTTTGATTCATCTGCTGTGACAGCTTTTGATGAATCTCAAAACAATTTCTGTAGCTTCTACAGGAACAATCTTGAAAATATTTTAAATAATTAAATTCCATATTTCTTGTTTCTGGAATGTTATCACAACTTTTTCGACTACGTTCAAGTAAAAAAAAACGTAATGGAGGGCCGCTTGAGCTTATTTTTCTAAAAATAAACTTGGTGCCAACAAAGAAAGTGATTAGCTATTCGCTGTTTTATTCATCTGCCTTATGAACTTGATGAATGGCTGTTTTTGTTTTGTAGAGATTTCGATTTCTCAGCTGCGAAATGGACTTCTACTACAGACCCGGATCTGCGCCCTGCCGCTCTGTTCTGATGACGGCCCAGGCCTTGGGCGTAGAGTTTGACAAGAAGGTGGTGATCAACACCCGTGCCGGCGAGCAGCTAAAGCCAGAGTACCTGAAGATCAATCCCCAGCACACGATCCCCACGCTGCACGACAATGGCTTCGCCCTGTGGGAATCGCGGGCTATCATGGTTTACCTGGTGCAGAAGTATGGCAAGGACGATAAGCTCTATCCCAAGGATGTCCAGAAGCAGGCGCTGATCAACCAGCGGCTGTACTTCGATATGGGCACGCTTTACAAGAGCTTTGCGGATTACTACTACCCGCAGATCTTCTTCAAGAAGCCAGCCGATCCGGAGAGCTACAAGAAGATCGAGGTGGCCTTCGAGTTCCTGAACACCTTCCTTGAGGGTCAGACCTACTCGGCTGGCGAGGATTACAGCCTGGCGGACATTGCCTTCTTGTCCACCGTTTCCACCTTCGACGTGGCCGGCTTCGACTTTAAGCGGTACTCCAACGTGGCCAAGTGGTACGAGAACGCCAAGAAGCTCACTCCCGGCTGGGAGGCCAACTGGGCCGGATGCCTCGAATTCCGCAAATACTTCGACAACTGAATCTTGTAGACTTCTTCGATTTATTGCACTGCGTTCTTGTCTCTTATTAATAAACTTCTAAGCTAGGGCTGACTAAACTAAAGATTGCACTGCGTTTCTGTTTTGCCCATTGTATGTACTAAATACTAAAACAACGAGTTCGATTTGCTAAATTCAAGCGGCCGGCGAAAAGACTGCTCCAGGTTGTGGAGCCGCTGTTCCAGGTCGTTCATGGAGTTGCGCAGGGCATGGCCCCGCGGGCGCAGCGATATCTGTGGCGAGTGCTGCATGAGGTCGTCCTTCACCCCGGAGAATGAGTGCCGCACGCAGGAGCGCTTTTCGAAGCGCGTGTTCTGGTAATGCGGATGATGGTTCTGCGGATGCTGTCGGTGCTCGCGACAATTGTGGGCCACCAAGGGCTCATCGGTCTTCAGCGAGTCCTCGTAGGTGTCACTGTCGGGAATAGATAAAAATATAAAGTTTATTTTTTTTTATATACTATATACTATTTTCCAGACTTATAATTCACCTGCTGTCTGTGTTGGGCGGATGTTGGCGCAGCTCCAAGTGAGCCTTGGCATGCCTGGGACAGAGTACCTCCGGATTTTTGCTACGCTTTGAGCCACTGTGTTGGAAGGAGTCTGGCGAGGTTTCGTACAGCTCGCGACTGCTCAGGAACTCCACCCCAGAGTCCTGGCCCGTTGAGTGCAGCGAAAACAACGAGGTTTCGTAATTATTTCTATGCCAAAAAGCAGAGTATTACTATGAGCCGTTGTTAGCTTATATAATTTAAAAAAATATTTAAATATTTACAACCCACTTTAAACCAATTAAGAAATAGTTACTCAACTTCAAAAAAAAACTGTTATTTTAAGTGGAGTACAAACCCGTTTGAACACATTTTAAAAGTAATTTATTTAGATGTACTCACAAATTGGTCACCGGCTGACAGGCGTTGTACTTGAGCACAAATGGGGTGCCACCGACGCCCACAGTGCCATCACCGGCTCCGCCTGCTCCCCCGGCTGCTGCTACTGCTGCCGCAGCAGCCTTGGCAATGGACTTGGGCAGTGGCACATCGATGTATTCCCGCTGCTGCTGCTGCTGACGCTGTTGCCTGCGGATGATCGGTGTTTTGCGAGGATGGTCGTTATTAGGAACACGTTTGACTTGAATACCACTCACTCGTTCAGGTACTGGTGGTGCTGCTGTTGCGTGGCCAAGGCCTGCTGCTGGTGATGATGATGCAACTGCTGCTCCAGCTTCTCGGTGGCGGTGGCCGTCGACTGCGTCTGCGCGGAAGAGCACACGGACTCTGGCATGAAGGCGCTAGTGGGTCGCTGGCTTCCAGTACTGCTGCCTTTGCTGCAACGCTGTGTGTGCCGCTGCTGCCGCTGGCGGCGTTGCTTCTGGCCGCGACCGGACCCGATGTCGGCGATGGTATAGGTGAGACCGGCATCCGAGGCTGAGAAATCTCGTTGCGACCAAAGGCGTCTGCAGAGGAAAAAAACGGTAAAAATCAAATTAAAAATAAAAACAAAGTATTTAAATTAGTTTCTATAAAAATGTTAATTGCCTTTTTCGTTTTTTAATAATTTTCTTCACTGTTTCTGTTCACTTGAAAGATAGAAATACATCTTGTTTTATCGCAGTGTAGGATCAAGCTGCACCTGATGAGCTGAGTTGCTATTTGAGTGGCATTCCCATTTGGGAAGATATTGCAGTTGATGTCACCTGATCTTCGTCTAATTGCCTGCACGTTTGTCGCTTCAATTGTTGCTGCTGATGTCTGTGTTTGTTGCTTTTTACCGTTATAATTTAATCGGACAGGAGAAGCCTAATGCCAGCCGGTTTCCTCGCAGACCAGCACCACCAACTTGGCCATTAGCAACAGCAACAATACCAAGAACGTCAGCAACATCAGCAACAACAACGAGTGCGATTGACTTAAGATTTATTATGTGGCCTTCAGCTTAGGCTAACACTACATCTATGGCTAACATAAAAAGGCATCTAGAGCTACAGTCTTTCGGTTGCAGTTGGCCCACTCCACTCAATCATACCGTTTCTGGCGCAGACACAGGTAACAGCAGGCGGCTATCAGTGCCCCCAGGGTGACCAGGGCCAGGAGAACCACCGTCACAAACTCCAGTCCTCCCATGAAGCTAGCTGCGGAGGCGTGCGTGGGTCTCGGTGACTGTCCAAACTCGGCCAGCTCAATAATTCGGGGCATCGGCTTAGAGCCGTCCAGTTTCTGCTGCTGCAACTGCAGTGCGTCCAGTTGGAGGCCCGCCAGGGAGCTGCAAGAGCAAGAGACCAGCCAATTCAAAGAGCATTAATTTCCGTGACAATTCTGGGTCAATCGATTTTCGTTTGGGGAAACAGGGAAGGCGAAGACTTACTCCTGAAGTTGCTCCATTTCCATAATGGAATTCGTGTGCGGATCGACGGCATAGATATAGGCATTGGTGCTGCAAAAAAAGTGGAGAGAAAGATGGAACCCGTTTAGAGGAATCTCAACTGAACTGTTTTCGAACTGGAACTATGGGCTAATTATGGAAGGAATATAGGTTATTTTAAGTTTCTTATGACATCTTTGGGTGCCTTAAAGGGAGATTACTATATATTGTTTTCCAGATCTTCCTTAAAGCCAAAACTTAAAGTAAAACTTACGCTGCCTCTAGTCCTCCGGAATACGGCTCCAGCAATCTCACTCGCACATCCTTTCCAATGGCATCGCTGAGAGCCTCCATTAGGCCGTCTATGCGGCGTTCCACCTCCACGGGAACTCCGGCCACCACCAGGCGCACCTGTTTGGACTCGTCAATGATGTACACAAATACATTGACAATGCCACTGCGTCCATCGTCTGCGCCGCTGCGATCTGTGGCTTTTACATCGAAGCCGTAGATGCGTTCGTCGCGAGGCAAATCACCCAGGAGTCTAATATTGCCCGACAGTTCGTCGATGCCGAAGAGGCGAGTGGGCTCGTTGAGCAGACGGTAGCGGATCTCGGCATTGAGACCCTCGTCCAAGTCGGTGGCCACCACCCGGGTCACCGGGTATCCAAAGCTGGCACTTTGCGGCAGAACGGCTACAATGGGTTGTCCGTTTCCCCGGAACTTGGGCGCATTATCGTTCTCATCCGTTATGTGAACCAGAATCCGACACTCGTTGGGCGAAAGACCCTCGATCCGCTCGTCCACCACAGGATAGGAGACCCTGGCGAAGTTCCTAGCCTCTCGACTTAATCGATCTGCTCGAATCCTGAGTTGGTAGCGGGCAATGTGTTCCCTATCGAAGGGCTTTAGAGCATACAACAGCATGTTCTTGGCATCGTACTCGAAGGGTGGATGGGCATCCGTTTCATCCAGACCCTCTTCCAGCCACAGGGACCAGCGATAGTTCTCGGGATTAAGGCCGGTTGTGAGGTTCAGTCGCATTACCTCGATGGGGGCTTCATTATTCTCCACGAGCTTGACCTCATAGTAGGCATGCTGGAAGATGGTCACGTTTGCCGGTGGCTCGGGTTTCGGAGTAGGCTTGGGCGGATCCGTGACTGCCTGACCCTGCAGGTTTACGATCACCACAGCTGTGGCCGATAAAGCCGGACTCCCCACATCCGAGGCTATAACCGAGACATTCAGGTGCTCATAGTCATTGTAGCCATTGATCCGGGACACCGTGGAGATGGTGCCATCTCTGGAGTCGATCTGGAAGAGGGGAGCTTGCATTTCCTGGTGTCGGATGGAGTACAGGACGAGGCCATTGCCATTGCCCACATTATCCTTGTCTATGGCGGTGAGTTGTCTCACAAAAGTGCCCGGCTGGGTACCTCTGTCCAGATATGCCTTGTACACCGGCAACATCATCGTTCTATCCGCCACATTAGGTATATACTTCACGGCCTTGGTCTGATCGTCGTAGCCAATGAACTCGGGACGATTGTCGTTGATGTCCAGGACATTCACTTCCACGTCCACACTACTGGACATCCGCTGCATCAGCGGAGCATTATCCCTGGCTATCACCTGGAAGCTAAACTTGTCCTTTAACTCCCTGTCCAGCTGTCCGCTGATTTTCAGCACTCCGGAAGCAGGTTTTATGCTAAACGGCAGCTGCAGGTCACTGAGCGTATACGTAATATTTGCATTCTCGCCAAAGTCCATGTCGATGGCCATCAGCTGACCCAGAACGCTGTCCTTGTACTCCCCCTCCGGGGTATCGAAACTGTACCAGGACTTCTTGAATGTCGGCGCATGATTATTCACATCCATTACTGTGAATCGCAGGCAGGTTGAGTCCTTGAGACCATCAATATCGGTCACTGTCAAGTTCAGCCATATTTCTATGTTTGCCGCAAGCGGATAGTTGACCGAGACCTCACCGGTGAGCTTATCGACGGCAAAGTACCGCACTCCCTGAACCCGCAGCAGTGGCATTCCCGGAGTCCTTTCCACCTGCTCGCCCCGCACCTCGTAGTGCAGCTGGGCATTCTTGCCAAAGTCCTCATCGCTGGCACTCAGCTGAAGCAGCTTAGTCCCCACCGGGGTGTCCTCGTAGATGGCAAACAAAGGGCATTTAACAGTCGTCGCACGGACCATTCGGCGCCGTGACTTAGCCCTGGCCACCACGCCCAGAGCCACACTGCCTCCCACAGAGCGCTCTCTATGCTCCGGATGCAGTCTTGGCGATCCGGGAATGTGATACGGAGGCGGTGCCAACATCATGGCAGCCGTGGCCACTGGAGCTGCCAGGCCACTGGAACTCTCCACAAAGTAGATCTCCATATCGGTGGTGTATTCGCGGATTTCCAAACGCGAGTCCTTGAACACCGAGATGCGCTCAAACATCGGTGGATTGTCGTTGACATCTGCCACTAGGATAGTAAGGTGGGCATATCCCGAGAGGCCTCCGCTATCGGCGGCTATGATCTTCAGATTGTATAGTTGCTGCTTCTCCCTATCCAAACCTCGCTTTCCCGTGTAGGTAATCCGGAAATAAGGTCCCGAGCTGAGCTTGAAGTTCGTCTGCATAAAGGTGGTGTGCAGTTCCTGGTACTTGAACTCGTCGTTCCACTGATCCGTGAGGTTAAAGATGTTGAAAGCGCCCGTTGTGGATGACATTTTGTGATGGCTGGAATTGCCTGCCAGAGCCGAGCTAACATTCACATACTCGATGCTGAACTCCTCGCTGTAATCTCCCTGCAGCTGCACTCTAAACTCCGCATTGACGCCCTCGTCGCCATCCTGGATGAGGATTGCATGGTTCATCGATAGCTCCGTGCCCACGGCGCAGTTTTCGTTGATCAGTCCCACATAGGTGAGAGCATTGAACTTGGGAGCATTGTCGTTGACGTCGTCCACCTTGATGTTCACCTGGTAGATGCCGGCGCCACTCACCAGACCCGTGCTGTATTCCACAATCACTGTCAGCTCATAGCTGGCCTGCTGCTCCCTGTCCAGACCAATAAGGGTGAGCAGAGTTCCATCCTCAGTGATTGAGATCTTGTTCACCACCTCCTGCTGGTTGGCAATGATGTAGCGAAGCTTCAGGTTTGTGTCCCCCGCCAGGCGTCTGGGCAGCCGCCGCTTGGACTTGGAGCTGCGACTCCGGTTCCGACTGCGGAATCTGCTGCCCATGGTGAGATTTCTGGAGGTTGTTCCCTCGGAGGCAGGCATTTCCCGGAAGCTGCCCAGTTCATTGTTTACCAGATTAAGACCATTCTTGTACAGCAATTGGCCAATGATTCCACCGACCACGTTTTCCTCCACATGGAAATTGATCACGTTCATGTTGATCTCCCTGAAAAAGAGATGATTAATGATGGGGATTAATTAAGTTGTGGCTTTATTCATAGATTAAAGTTAAAAAAATGGTCTTTTAATAAAGTATATATATCTTTCTTGGTTTCTATTCAACTTTTTTTTGGGAATTAATAGCTTTAAAGTTTAGTTTTCATGTAAGTAGGGAAATTAATACCATTCTCACAGTCTTTGGAAATTGTCATATATCTGCGTAGAGCCATTAAAATATTTTATAAATAAATACCTAAGCAGTTACTATTTTTGGCTTTCTTAATTATACTTTACCACTTTTCCCCGACACCCATTAAGCTTTCTAAAGCAATTAATCCAGTTTGGCCAATAGGTTTCGGGCAGGTGAAAATTATACTTACTCTATGACAGGTCTCAGTGGCACCTTCTGCTCCGGTTTGTTAACAATCCGAATGGTCAGATTGGTGATGAGCACACCTTCGTCGCTGAGTTCAGCCGGGGCGGAAATGGTGGTCAGGGGGGAAGAGCTCCGCGACATGATCAGTGATTGTGAGGAGTTGGCGAATAGCTGAGGCGAGATTCATCAGTTACATATGGCTAAGATTAGGGGTTAAGATAACTCACGTAATTGGCGACAGCCTCGAAATGGTACACCTTTCTCTTGAATTCTGACAGCTCGCGGATCACGGTGATAATGCCCGACCTCTCCTCGATGGCGAAGGGCACTCCTTCCGAGTATGTGTGCAGGAGATCGTACATGATTTCGTCCTCGTCATCGTAGATCAGAGTGGTTCGAACCTGACCCACCGAAGTGCCTAGCGGGGTATTGGCCCCCACCCAAAATTCGTAGGGAGCTCCCACAAAGTCAATGGCCTGGTCATCGATAGTGGCATACACTTCAATGGTAATCACCGCCAGCGAGAATCGTCTCTCCGAGGGATTGGTGGGCTGGTCACTGGCCTCCACAAAGACAGCGATGCGTCCCCTCCTTAAAGGTCCGCCCACGTAAATGGTTCCGTTCTTGTTGTCCAGCCGGAAGGGAATATAACCACTGCCCTTGGGGCGCTGCAACTCGTACAGCAGTTTGCCATTGGGACCCTCATCCGGATCGTTGGCCGCCACCTGACCAATCACATAGCCCGTGGGAGCGGTAATGGGCACCTTGAACTCATAGAGATTGCCATGCTCGAACTTTGGTGTATTATCGTTGGTGTCCAGCAGAGTGATCTCCACTTGTACCTTACTGGGACCCGGCACTTTGAGATGCTTGTCATCCAAATAAGAGGGATTCCTCTCCAGAGCCTCCACGTTCAACTGGATGGACCTTCGCTGCTCGCGATCCAGCAATCGATCATCCCGCACAGTAATCCAGCCCGTACGGGAATCGATGCGGAAGGCTCCAGCAGCATCCTTGGTCTCTACCAAATTGTACAGGAACTCCGAGTTCTCGCCCTGATCTCGATCCACGGCATTCACCTGCAGCACACTGAAGCCTGTGGGCAGGTTCTCCACAATGGAGATATTATAGAAATCCGCCTCGAACTCGGGAACATTGTCATTCAAATCCAGGACCTCCACTTCGATGCTAAGACAGAGTTATACTTTATTTATATATAATTATTTATTTATTTAATACTCACCGCGCTAGGGCTTTCTTAAGAGGATTGTCCTTCTGGCGCGCCTCCAGCTGCAGGACGAATGTGTTGCCCGGAAGACTCTCCTCCTCCAGATCGATTTCCTTCTGCAGGTACATGACGCCGTTGTGAGGATTCACCCGGAACAGCTGCCGCTCATTGCCCGAGATAATGTCGTACACGAGCGAGGCATTTAGAGAGTCCTGATCGAAGGCCATTATGGGCGGGGCAAAGTACAGGGGTATCCTGATGGGAACTCCAGTCATTGGGTAGAACTCATTGAGCCGAGTGCGATACACTCCCTCCGTAAACTTGGGTGGCAGATCGTCCACATCCCGCACATTAATGGTGATCGTGGTATTGGCCTGGTTGGCGGGAGTGCCTCGATCCCAGGCGAAGATGGGCAGTTTAAACTGCCGGATCCCATTATCAAAGTCCAGTTCTCGCTTCAGAATCAGCAGCGGTCGATGGGGACTCTTGAGGGCGAAGTAGGGACTGCCGTCCGCCGACAGTTGCTCCGGCACCGTGGACATGCTAAAGTGCACCTCGGAGTTGGGGGTATTTGGCTTATCGCGATCAAAGGCCTGCACCCCCTCAAAGACAATGCTCTCAATGGAGGTATTCTCATCCACATCAACCACGTAAGGCACGTTGAGAAATTCGGGCGCATTGTCGTTCACGTCCTCGATGTACACGGTGATGGACAGGTAGCTACCCTATGAGTCAAAGGAATAAGTTGGGCAATATATGTAAATGTTTTAAAAAGTATATCCTACCTCCTCGATCTTCTCTTGTTTGCCTGCGCACAGGATTCGAAACTTAAGCAGGTTCCTCGGCACATCCCTATCAACCAGCCTTTCCAGGGACCTGGCCAGCGTCACCACCAGCATGGTGGAGTTGTACTCAGTCAGGTTAAAGTACTTGTGATCGCCACTGGCATCTGCCCCCTTCAGAGAGGCCGTGGAGCGTGGAAAGGCCTGCAGACGGAGGATCTCCTTGCCCACCTGGGCGTCTTCGCGCAGCCGGATGAAGCGCACACCTTCGCTTTCCGCGGCGACGCCATCCATCGTGTGAAACGCACAGCTGCCGGAGTGGCCTGAAAAGTGGGTCGCCAGAGATTACAGATTACTATATATAGCATAGCATGTACCGTGCAGGAAAGTAAAACTTTGACAAATTGTCGCGTTGTTGTTTATTTGGGCATGCAAATTTTCGCGCACGCTGAGAATCTCTGAAAACGGAAAAGCGTGGCCGTTGCGCCAAACAACAATTGGAAAATCTGCGAAAACCGCCAAGCGAATCCCAAAAGGGGCGAGGAAGCGGTCTTGTGATGAGGGGGCGTGGCAGAACTGGCGCCATTCCGTAGCGAACCGAAAAAACTTTCTACGTTTGTCGCGTGGCCCATTCGACTGCGATTTTCATGTGCAGTTGCAACACTTTTCCACATGCATTCAACTGTCTGCCTGTCGTGGATTCTCTCCATCTCAATCTCCAGCTCTAGCTCCAACTCTAGCCTAGCTCGACCTGGCTGCAATCAGCTCTTGCAAATTATTTTCTATTGCTGCCGCTTTTGTTCCCACCCTCATGACATAATTAAGCATTTTTTGTTTGCCCATGGCTCGAGTCGCTTGTGTCCCAAAAGACATCCCCACCGAGTGCGTTCCAAGTGACAAGAAGACGCACACCAAGAGAAAATCCCCGCAATGAAGGGATGAATATTTTTATAGATAAATTAATGTGTTTATTTTGAATGTATTCCAACTCTTTTCCTTTTGCCTTTTTTTTTGGTATAAGAAATCATCAAATTGAAGTATTTAAAAAAAAATCCAAAGTTACATTACATTTATGTATTCTTTCTAAATAATTGCAATCTTTTTCTAATTTAATTATTTACTATGTTTATTCCTATTAAAAATTGTTAACATCACTACAAATTAATAAAATGAATCACAGATGTTAATAAATAAAGTCCACAAATATTATTTTCTGTGCACTTTGATTGCCATCTGTGACTCGCTGACATTTCTCCGAGCTTCATTTTTCTTTCTTTTTTTCGGAAGATCTCCTGCAGCGAGAAATTATCATTGTTTCTGCAGATTCAGATGCAGATGCAGTGAAATCTTGGCCATCGCCAAGCATCTTCTGGTGCAGATGGAGACTTTGTCTGCGGTGCCCCTTGTAGGCACTGGCTGGTTTATTGTTTTATTTGTGGCTTAGTTTTATTCCAATTTCGTTGCAGTTGCCTTCTCGCTTCTTGTTATTGCCGCAGTTGTAATTTGAGCTCGCAATTTCTATTATTTACTTGCAGTTTCTGGCTCACTTTGGTGTGAACTGTTTGCGTTGGAGGGTTTCCCCTGAGTGAAGTTTGCAACAAAAAATAAAAACTGGAATACCACCCACAATTGGTTTATATGCAGAAGAACTGGTACATAATAAATAATAACATGGAGTTTAAATTTCCAAGATATGTATACTCGTTTTAAGGTTTTAAAACTGAGCAAGGTAAAACCTCCGTTGTGATAAGATTAAAATGTAAATAATAATTTATAATTTTAACCAATTAAATTTTGCATTTGGTTTTAAAGAACGTTGTTTTGGAAATTTTATTACGACAAAAGGATAAGGATATATAATTTTTGTACCCATTCTTTTTTGAATAAATTCATAGACTAAATACTATACTCACAGATTTTTCAGGTTTTACAAAACTCTTTTTTTAGTATCCAAATAATAAAGAAACAATCAAATCTTTTCGTAACTTCACCTCTTGCTTCTCCTTTTGATTGTTTTCCTATTCATTTCCATGGATGATTTGAATGCAAATGTTTCTCAATCACTTACTGGAGGCCACATTCTAATAATTATGCAGCTCCATTCCGGTTGCACTTAACACTTTCGAGATCGGGTGGCTTTTGTAACGGTTCTTCAACTCATTTCCCACAACATAAATGTCATTCTCCTCATTGTTCTCATAAAACAGATATGTAATTCATATGCACCACTCACATGCGGCCCGAAGAACACTTTAGCACCCGATGTCTAGCGGCAATTAACTTTAACTCATTCATATTTCGCTTTAGCCCGGGCTTAGCCATCATCATCTAGAACATTAAGCTCAGGCGGTCGTCGGTCATTCCAAGTAACACAAACAAATTAAATTTTAATTAGAACATTGCGACACTTGTTGGGTTCCCAGGCGGGGCAGGGAGGTCTGGTTCTGCGAGTTCACCAAAGAGGGCAGTCACGGAGAGAGGCAGGAGCATGTTACCGAAATGGGTCAGCCTGGGAAGAGGTGGCGGCGGATGTGGGTCAGCTGTCCGTCATTGCATAAACAAATTAACAGGTTGCCTCATTGCGATACTCAATACAAATCGATTTCCTTGCACATTTTTTGGTCAACCCCTGAGGAAAAGCTGTCGCAGCAGCATTTAAATCTGAAATTTGGGTTATTTAACGGACCAGCGAGCAAACGAGCCAAACAAGTTGCCTTGCCTGCTGGTGGCGGGGACAAAACGAAAGACTTAGGCGACAAACGTGCAGGGGCAAAGCGAAAGACTGCGTCCAGCACTTGATTTACGCGAACAAACACACATTACCACTGAGACGGAGAGATTGAGTGTCTCGACACACACGCATTAGCTGGCTGATTTATGATCAAATCCAGCCCGGTCCCGCCAGCCAAAAAGGCTATAACGGCTCTCGGCCGGGTGTAACTTGCCTTGCACTTGTCCCGTTTTTGCAGCTTGGCCTACTGCAGCGAGCAGGCCACAAACGGCTACGGCCAGAACCCAGGAAAAGCTTGTATATGCCATTTCCATTTCCAAAAAATTTCACTAGGGCCAAAGGGGATTAAGATTTTCCGTATCCGTGGTATCCCGTGGAGGTTTCTATCTGTATATCGCACGCTCGCATCGCGCTCCACCGGAACAACCGACAACGCAAACACCTCGCAAGCAACTGAAGCTATCTTCACCACTGCAGGCCGAGTCGGGCCGGGCTGAGCTTAGCTGAGCTGCGATGGGACTAGTTTTTCACACACAAGAAAACGAGAAAAGCCACGACAAGTGGCTTAGAAAGAAAAGCGGCAGGTGGAGTGGGCTGCATGGACGTATCCTTGGCTTTAAAGACCCGCTGCTCTGCCCAGATCGGCAGAAAAGCGCAACAGCTGCACAGAACAAAAAGAATTGGCAATTGATAATAAATAAATTGAAGTTTAAATAATGTTCGAAGATGAATGCGTACAGAGACCTTGAAGCTAGATCAGTTTCAGTGAAATGTAACATTTACTTATTCTTTTTAGAGCTCCATTTAATCCTGTCTTTGGCTACATTTTAGTTTTAAGTGTACCCATTTCTATAGTGCGTTGCGTGCTGGCGAAAAGACAAAAGCCAGCCCAATGGATGAATGAAAGGCAGCCAGAAAGCGAGAAACAAGGAAGGAAGGTCCAATAGCGCTGGCTGAGCAAAAGCCACTCGTAAAAGTATAAACAACAAAACTTATTAACATAAGCATAAACATGCAGTTCGCTGAGGCCCCAGAGCCCTAGGCTCTTTCCACAGCGTTGATGCCCCGCTGATGGCGTTGTTGATGGCTGCTGATGCCGCAATGGAAAGCCGAGAGTCAGACAGCAAGTCAGAAATCAAAGACAAAACAAAACATATAACTCAGACAGGCAAGACAGGGCTGGACTACGACAATGAAGCGATATTCCGGGGAAGTCAATGAATCGAATGCAGTTGCAATAAAGGCGTCTTAACGGTTTGCGTTTGTGGCCAAGACGGAGATGCGCCGCAGAACCCAGCTAAAAGATATAAAGGCCCAAAGGCAGTGGAAAAATGCTAACAAGATCACCGAAGAAAGAGCGAAGAAAGGCGAAAAAATAAAGCAAAGCCAGAGCAACGTTTGCATTATGCGGCTAAATAGCTTTACATAACACCAGAGTTGAGGCGAAGACGGAGAAGAGACGGCTGACTACCACTGACCGACAGCCCAGCGCAACCTACGCAAATGTTGCACTGAACAAAAAAAATATTGCCAAAGGGAATTGCATAAAAATAACTAAAAATTATATATTTTAATAAGAATTAGAAGAAAAGTTTGCATTAATTGTTTGATTATTTACGTTTTACGTTTTTTTACTTATTATAAGTGTGTCAATTTCATATTAAAACAGAAAAAATATAAATGACAGAAAGTAAAAGTTCTATCAATCAAAAGTCTTAAGTTTATAAAACCTATTAAGAATTGAATAAACATTTTTTTTTTGAATTTTGTTAAGCAAATTGATTCCCATTTGTTTTCCGTGCTTACATCGTCAAGAGCCGAACCGAACCGAACCGAACGGAGACCGATCGAGTCAGCGGCTTGGAAAATTGGCGCGTGCGAATGCTAGCGCTTCTGGTGCTTCTGATGGTCACTTGTGGTTAGCCACTGCTCTTCGCTGGAAGAATCGATGCTAATCAGCGAGGGCTGCTCAAGAAGTCGGCCAGTGAAAGCAGGAAGACAATGAAGGCAAGTCGATATGCTAATCCATCGGCTCACCTGCCTGCGCTCACCTATCAAGTTACACATCAGTCATTGGTTTTTGGAGTGAGGCAATCGGTGTATGCATCGCTGGGCTAGCGGAGGGATTTCAAAAGTATTCAATTAATTGAAAATTTGCCTATCGTATGCCACTTTCCTCATATTGCGAATATCATCTTGAGGTAACTCATCGGTTTTTGGCCTGCAATTAATTCTCAATTATGCACGGCAATCGGTTTTGTGTGCAGTTTTGTGACGGTTTTTATTATTTTCGAGTTTTTCGACTGCAAACCGATTTCAACTTGTTTTTGGGATTTGCTGGCTTCGCTTTCCTTTCCAGTTTACGCAATGGCCAGTCAAGTGACAAAGTCATTTCACCAAAATCAATTCAAAATTCACAAATGAATGCGGAGTCACAAAACTGAATTTATTGAGTGGACTTTGTAAAATTAGCCTTTTATAGTAACTTTAAATTCAATTTACAAATTCTTGCCAGGCACACTTACCTTAAACAAATGCAAATGAAATTCAGAACCATTTGATAGACAACTAGAGGCGCGGTGCGTTAAAGGCTTAGCAAAATTGAAAAAATCATAAGTTTATATATCTCGGGACTTTAACCTTCAATCTTATTGCCTTTAAATAGAGCAATTATTAATTCTTCTCAATGAGACTACAATAAAAACACTTAAGTAAGTCTTTGTTAAATTAAATTACTTTTTCAAATCTTTTTCCATATCTTGTTTTCGAAAAATCGGAACAGAAACGCTCACATGAATACGCGAACGACTACTAACAGCGAGTCTCACTGTCTGGTTCTGTTTAGATATAGGAAGTATGCTTACAATCGAACTTTTGACTTCTTGTTATTAGGAATTAAATTAAAATAGATAATTTACAAGCGATGCAAACCTTGCGTCAATAAATTTAAATACCATGTTATGTTGTTGTGCAACAATGCATTAGGGTCTTGAACTTGCATTATAAAATGTTCCCCTGTCACGCGTTTTAATATAAAAACTGAACGCATTCTTACAAGCGTGACAGAATGACTGCGACCACAGTGAACGCCACTGGAGTGCTCTTCGAGGCGGATGCGGAGGCTTTGGATCAGGATGTGAGCCAGAAGAAGTACACCGACGGCAGGAAGTTGCAGTTGGTGTGGCGCAACATCGTGCTCTTTGCGTTGGTTCATTTGTTCTCCTTGTACGGCGTGTGGCTGCTATTCACGGAGGCCACATGGACTACGTTTCTGGCATTTCCGGTATCTGTGGCCTTCTCGATCGTCGGCATTTCCGGCGGTGCCCATCGCCTGTACGCGCATCGAACTTTTAAGGCTAAAGTGCCCCTCCAGTTGATCCTCCTGTTCCTCGACACGTTCGCCTTTCAGGATGCGGTCTACTATTGGGCGCGCGACCACCGAGTGCACCACAAGTACACGGAGACGGACGCAGATCCCTACAACTCGGAGCGCGGATGGTTTTTCTCGCACATAGGGTGGCTGTGCGTCCGGAAGCACCCGGATGTGGTGGCCAAGGGTAAAGAGATCGACCTCTCCGATTTAAAGCAAGACCGCCTCGTTATGTTCCAGAAGAAGTACTTCCTCGTGCTGATGCCGCTCATATGCTTCGTGATGCCCACTGTCCTGCCCATGTACTGCTGGGGCGAGTCGCTGAAAGTATCCTGGCATGTCCTGGCCCTGCTCCGCTGGTGCCTCAACCTTAACATTATCTGGTTGGTGAATAGCTCGGCTCACATGTTCGGCATGCGGCCATATGACAAGAAGATCAGCCCCACGGATGAGAGATTCCTCATGTTTTTGCGCATGGGCGAGGGCTATCACAACTACCACCACGTCTTCCCGTGGGATTACAAGAGCGCCGAGCTGGGTCCGTACTCTCGGGACTTCACCACGCGCTTCATCAACTTTTTCGCCTGGCTGGGATGGGCCTACGACCTGAAGAGTGTGTCACCCGATATGGTCCGCCGGCGAGTGTTGCGAACGGGAGACGGATCCCATCCCGTGTGGGGTTGGGGCGACAAGGATCTGCAAAAAGAGGACGTGGTCGACAGCACCATAACCCATCAGCGAAAAATTACGGCCGGAAGCTAGAGGGCTGCTTTTATTGTTATTGTTATTATTATTATTAAAGTATGTCCTTGAATAAAAGATCAAATTAAATGAGAGTTCTTGATCTTAAGAAAAATATTTTTATTTTTTTAATGGGATTTGGACTTTATAAAGCTGTAAAAAGGTTTTAAAATTTCCCATATATGCTGACATATTTTAATTTGGCTTGCAAAATATTGAAAGTGCCCTTGAGAATTAATCGACTTTGCCCCCGAAAAAGAAGGAAGGTATTGCAACAATACACCTGGAATTTAATAAATTCCTAGAGGAAAGTTTCTCAGTGACCTTAAGGTGCAAAGCGTGGCAAAATCACTCGCTTTAATATGCACATTGCATGCTTAATTTCAGAAACCTCCTGGTAAACCCCAATATTTTGCTGAGAACGAGTGTTTAGAAGTAGAGGTGGCCTAATCATCGCCCCAAGAATTTGGGAGAGCAACCGTTGCCAGGTGATAGATAAGCGGGCCTGCATTGATAAGATAAGAGCCACCACAGAGCGAGCTTTTTTATTTTCCCCACCATTCTTTTGTGGGGGAAACCTAATCGCAGTTAGTCACTGGCTGCTAACGCTCGAAGATGGACGACACAGACTTCTCGCTCTTCGGAGACAAGAAGAAGCACAAGAAGGACAAGGCCGATGCCACGCTGAACGCCAAGACACCCACCTCGGAGGCGGATCTAAAGCGGATCATTACCTCGATTCCCACCTTCGACGATACCTACGAGAACTGCCAGCGGGCGGGCATCGCTCTGATCCTAAATCACAAAGATGTCAAGGGCCAAAAGCAGCGTGTGGGCACGGAGCGGGACCGGGATGATATGAGGACCTCGCTCAAGGGATACGGCTTCGATGTGCGGGTCTATGATGACCTAACGTTTGCTGAAATCAACGACAAGCTCAAGGAGGGTGAGTTGCCAACTGGGTTCCATAAAAACTGTGTCAGCTTTGCAAGTGTAAAAACTCTTGTTTCCTTGATTTAAAATAACATATAATATTTCCACTCACGTTAATGTTTTTAAGTACTAAGAAAAGACCTCAGGCGCTCAGTGCTATCATCAGAATAAATACTGATACACAAAACACTAGTTTTCCACTAATAAATCATAGGAACCGCTTTATCTGCCTGCTTCATCAAGTTTATTTTTGTCTTTTCAATTATTAGGTAATATGCTAGCCTCCAAAAATGATCTTCAATAAATTTATATAATTTATATATTACTCAAGTTTACGTTTAATATTTGAAATACAAATTAGATGAAATTTATAAAAACACAGAGAGATATATGTAGGCATTTTTATAATTCAAGTTCATTGGAAAATGGTACAAGAGAGATATCTTATCTCCTCAAAAACAAAGTCACTACATCTATGACTGCAATAATTACGAGATAAAGAAAGTAATCGTATTTTGTTGACCTATTCTGATCGATCCGGAATTCTTACCAAAAATGGTAGGACTTACAATGACATTTCTTACTTCTAACGAAATTTCAAATAAATATTAATATAATATATATATAATATTTTCCTTTAGTTGCCCGCGAGGATCACAGTCTGAACGATTGCTTTGTGCTGGCAGTGATGTCCCATGGAACGGAGGGCAAGGTCTACGCCAAGGACATGTCGTATCCTGTGGAGCGCCTGTGGAATCCCTTCCTTGGTGACAACTGCAAAACGCTGAAGAACAAGCCAAAGATCTTCTTTATCCAGGCTTGCCGCGGCGAGAATCTGGAGAAGGCGGTGGAGTACTCCAGCTTCGCTGTAATGACCAGGGAACTGGCTCCCGCCGCCCCTGCCGCTGTTCAGCCCATCACCTATGCCATTCCCAGCACGGCGGACATGCTCGTCTTCTATTCCACCTTCGACAGTGAGTTCTCATTGAATATTATATGGTTCCAAGATAAAACCTAATTCTTAAACTTTTTTCCAGAATTCTTTTCGTTCCGCAATGTGGACGATGGCTCCTGGTTCATCCAGAGTCTCTGCCGAGAGCTGGACATTGCCGCCGTGAACGATGCCTCTCGCACGGAAGGCGCCGAGCTGCTCCGCCTGCTGACAGCCGTTAACCGGAAGGTGGCCTATGAGTACCAGTCAAATACCAAGAACGAGGCCCTCAACCAGATGAAGGAGATGCCCAACTTCATGTCCACACTAACCAAGACCTTCCACCTCCGCGTGAAGCCCTTGTCCTGAGCACCTGGGGTGGGGAAATCAACGCCAAAGCTTCGGGGACTGTGAGTCAGTCGGGCCAGTCTGCCGGCAGAACTCTTTCACCTAATCGTTAAATCGTAATGTTTGCCATTTGTTTATAGAAATAAATACGCGCGTGTGTGCGTCTATCGACGGCACTTATCTGGAATTGGCTTAGTGCCGCTGGGCCGCGATAGCGATTGCTGACAACTATACTTTAGGTACACCTCGCGATAAAAGTGCATTTTTCTACACCTTCGAATTTCGTCACCAAACTTTATTCGTAAATGTATGAGCTTACTTATAAAAGTTTTTCTTTTTGAAATCATTTTAAAGAAATTTGATTGAAATTATTGTAATAAAATGTTAAAAGGAAAAGCATGTATTATTTATACAATATATATTTATTTTTAAAGATTATTGAAAAAAAGTGAATATCCTAATTTGCAATCCTTTGACATATTTAAATTTTAAAGGTTATTAGGTCGACTTTCTTCAAGTGCAGATAGAACAGACTAGAATAAAATTTGATATAAGATATACTGGCAGTTTCCGGAAGGTCAGTTGCCCGTAAAATGTCGCGATTGCCGCATGTCTGTGGTCTTTGTCTGCTGATGCGACTTTGGCAGCTCTTGGCCTTGGCTCCGTTTCGGATTCAAGGTCGGAGGGGGGCTAGATGCCATCGTTTCGTGACCCTGATCGGGGTCTTAAGATGGCTCCTGCTTACATCCCTAGCACCTGTGCTCCTGTGGCAAAGCGCCGCCATGTACGAGGCCACCAATGTCCGTCACTCTGCGATCTTCAAGGGAATTGCGCTGGCCACGATGACGGGGGATGTCTGCATATCCTTGGCTCTCCTGGGCGCCCACCTTTATCGTCGTCAGGACTTGGCCAGGCTGGTAAGCTCCCTGGTCAAGTTGCATCACCGACGGAGGCTGAGCTGGTGGAGCACACTGTTCCTGTGGCTGAAGCTGCTCCTCTCCCTCTACGAACTTCTGTGCAACGTGCCCTTCCTCCAGGGAGCCGGGAGACGCCTGCCGTGGTCACAGCTTCTGGCCTATGGCCTCCAGCTCTACGTGCAGCATGTGAGCAGTGTCTACGCGAACGGAGTGTTCGGCGGCATACTTCTGATCCTGGAGTGCTTCGGGCAGCAGGAACGTGAGCTTGAGCCCAGATTGGGGCAACTCTTGCGAAGGGAATACAGGTGGGCAGCCTTGTTTCTGAGATTTGTGAAACTTTTCCAGCTAGGCATCTTCCTGCTGGTCATCGGAGGCTTTGTCAACATCCTGGCCAACATGTACGCCTTTATGTCCTACTTTGTATCGCAGCACGGCGTTCCCCTCACGATATCCAACAACTGTCTGATTGTGACTCTGCAACTGTACGCCTTGATCCTCGCCGCTCACCTCTGCCAGGTGAAGGCGAGTCATTTGCGTAGGCATTGTTTGGAACTGGGTTATACTCCTCCAGGACTAACGCAGGAGCAGGTGGGTGAAACCTATTCAAGTCTGGAATCTACGAGGTGCTTACTTTGATATCTTTCAGGCCAAGGCGCCAACGCCTTACCCCCTGGTCTCGCCCACAGCAAGTTACAAGTTTCGCGTTTTGGGTCTGTTTTCGTTGGACAACTCCTTTTGGCTTTTCCTGGTCTCATACGCCATGAACTTCATTGTGGTTATCCTGCAGTTCACCCTGGAGCATATGAAAAATGCAAAGCCCAACTGAACGGATTAATATTTATATAAATGGTACTTAAACTGCACTCGAATATCTTATGAAATTGGAAATGTATAAGCAACTATGAAAAAATATAAAATCTAATTTAATTGCAAATTAAAATATTCTTATTGTTATTTTATACATCTTATATATTGAAAGAATATTTTATTTTTTATTTATATTTTTATATTTATTTTTTTAGAGAAGGGTTTGTGCTTCACTAGCACCAAAATAACGAGTGCGTCAGTTTTTCGAAGCTGTTTTATTTACACCAGGTTTCGCCACCATATTGTGCGCAGTGGCCTTTTAGCGCCACTGTAGATGTAAATTTTTGTACGTATTTCTTTAACTATTTTTATTATTATATTTATATTTATATTATTATAAATTAAGAATTTGTGTCAATACAGCTGTGCGCTTCGTTATATATGTGTAATGTTTTGGATTCTTTTAGAATATCTAAAGTATTTTGAAAATGTTTCTTAAGTTTTAGAACCTTGTAGCATTCTAAGAAATAGATAAGATTTAGATTGGAATTAGACAACCGATTATCTAATAATTAAATATTGGGAAAACATTAATTTTAATTAATTTTAAAAGAATTTATTAACCTTATGAAAACTGGAATAGAAAAGAATTCATTTTAACTTGAATTTGTGTAAAAAATGATTAAATCAAAATATCGATCTAATGCTAATATTTTACATTGAAGTAGCATTATCAATAATGTAAATGTTTTTGGGATTTTTCAATTTAAGCAGCGGCGGGCTAAGACAAAAAAATGTGGCTTGTTCCCCGGCGATTGGCAGTTGTCACCAAAATCGGGGGATTTGCAGGCGTTCCACAGGATATTTGCAAATTCAATTCACTTTCATTCCCAATGCTTATCAGCCGCTTTTAGCTAGAACACTTACTTACTCCCCAATTTTTGGGTTTCCCTGATTAGCCAGCTGCCGGGAAAGTTCTTTCCGCATTGCAAATAAATCTCGGCTCTGCCATTGCACCAGACAATTTGATTTGCCTGACGAGCGGCACGCCCACAAAAACAAGGGCTCCAGTCGTCGTCGAGGGGAAATTGCCAACTTCCGGCGAAAGTGTCGCTGTTGCCTGGAACTTAATGTGTTTTCAATAAATTTCAGATGCGCCAAAACGCACATAAGCGCAAAAAAGAAGTCAAACGTCAAACTTTTGCCACGCAATTCAAATTTTTCACGCACACAAAGTAACGGAAGCCGGAAATGAGTATGGCGCCCCAACGCCGAAAGAAGTATCGTGGTGGGAAGTACCACAGCAGTGATGCCTGAATGTAGGGGAAAATGTTCCTTTAAGCTATCTCGAGTTGTTTGAGTTCTTAAATTTTTCGACAACACTAATTGAAATGTACCTATCGAAAGAGAATATACGTGGAACACGCCTAAAAGCCTAACAATTGTGGCTAATAAAAAAAGTTGCTCCTACTCGACCTCCGATTGGATACCAATCACAATTGATATGTAATTATAATTACCAACATCAATCACACTCCAGGCGAGGCTGTAAAGTGAAATGCGGTAGGCGGCAAGGGAGAGCCTTAAAGTCGTTTAGCCGGGTTTTCAGAACAATTCGATGAAGTTCTTAGGCTTTTGCCGCTTTCAGCTGACCTGAAATTCGTATCTGAAATTGCCAGCAAAAGGAGAGATTTATTGAGCTGAGCTGCGATTCCCAAAAAAATTAAAATTCCCTTGCACAATGCGTAAAATAAAGTGATTAATGGCGAGCTTTTTGTGAAATAACAATGCATAATTTCACCTGCAGATGCTCAAATCTGATAAAAATCGTAAATCTGTTATAAATGTAAAAAACATATTTCCTTTAATCAATTTATTCAGAAAACGTACAGAATCGAAACATCATTTTTAAGCCAAATATAGGAACAAGTTTCCTTCAGAAATTGTTTGCTTTTTACTCTAAAATATTTCTTGTTTAAGCCTGATTTTTCTACCATTTTGGCTAGCTGTTCAGTAGTTAATAGTCTCATTACATAATTCAATAGGTATTACTTCAAGTGCATTAAGGTACTCCCACCGGTTGATCATGTTTTTGTTGCTGCTTTCTCCGTTATCCGCACTTACCTTGCGACACCTCCTAAGTTGCAGCTCGTTTCAAACCGCACCAGTTTGATGCAGTTGGAAGATGTGAGTTCGAAGATGTGGTTCGATTCCAACCTACACTCAAAATTATTTTTCTGTATTTTAGGAAAAACGCCTTTAAAAAAATCACCCTAGATTTATGAAATTTTCCTTTCTAATTTTAGGGCAAATTTTTCTCAAATTTAGGGCGACTTACCTTTCCTTAATCTACGGGCGAAAAGTTGCTTTTTTAAGGCGATAAACTGGCAATACTGCACTATGGGGCGAACGACCAATTTTTCTGTCCAAAATTATTTTTTTTGAGTTGTAAAAATAGGTTTTTATTAACCGGAATGTATTCTAATAACACAAATCTAAAATGTTACTAACCGACAAATTTCACTTTTTATGAAAAGCGCTACCAAAAATTAAATTTTTAATTAAACAAAATCCTTCGTTCAAAGACAAGCCAGACATATACACTAACAGAAAATTTTTTGATTTGAGATACAAATTGACGGATATAATATGACTACTGAAAAGACACAGTTTTTGGTGGGGTTAAGTTCAAGCCTCCCACAACGGCTCATTTTTTAATATTTTTTGTTCAAATTTTTACACAATTTAGTTCAAACCTTAACAATTAATGTGGAATAAATGAAATTTAAAAAATTGTCGTAAGATCCTTAAAAAAAAATTTACGAAAATGTGCCTTTTTTTGTGCTTCAAAACCCGGATTTAAGTTATTAATTAATGCCACAAAAAGTGGTTGTTCGCCCTATAGTGCACTGATGGCACCAAACATGTTCGGCCCGAGTTGGATATAATGTTGATGTCTTGTCGTACAGTCAGTCAAATTTCGAACGTTCATTCGCAAAGTTGTGCCGGAAGTTGGTCTGCCGGAAGTCGAAGAACCGCCGCAAAACGGGAGTTTCGAACTTGCACGAAAACGGTTCGAGCCAAAAACCAAAACCAAAACACAGTGACGCCGAAAGCTTTGTTTGTGTTGTGCCAGTGTGGGTCGGAGATATAGATTCAGATATAGCGGTATCCTATCCTCCGGGTCAAAAAGGAGAAAAGAAAGCAAAGAAAGCCGAGGAGGAGAATGTTTTAACAACTGCCGCGTTTGTGAGTGTGTGTGTGGCTTGCCAAGTGCAAGAAGCTGTAATTTATATATATCTTACCGTATTTTGTGGAAATTAAATTATGTTAAGTGCTCAAATCAGTACGAAGAAGGTGCTGTGAAAAGCGAACGCGGCGAGCGCCTGGAGCAACAACATCAGGAAGAAAGTGAAGCCAAAGGAGGTGCCAGCCAAAAAACCGCCACAAGGAGAAGTACCTAAGAGGTGAACCAAACAAACTGTTTGATTATAATAAGCGGGGTGCATACATACATATATGCTCATTTAAGCTATACCGTGTGTGCGAGTGCTGGGCTTTGTATGCAAAAGGTTGACAACAACAACAACAACAACTAAACAAAATCAACAACAAATTAGGGTGGCTGGACCAGATGACAAAAGAAAACAAAAAAGAAAACAGAGAGCAAAATACGGTTTTTTGGGTCGTTCCCAAAAACAACCCATATACAAAGTAGGAAAACAGAACCCACAATGCGAAACGAAAACGAAATCAAATCAAAAGCAGAAACCAGCAGAAAGGAACAAAACCAGCAGGAAAAAAAACTCTGCTAGCTTTTAGGCGAATGCCCTCGCAAAGCGCATAAAAAAATAGATTAACGGGGGGCAATGCTAAAAAAAAAAAAAGAAAACATTCAAATTCTAACGTCGTCGCCGCCTAAGCCTCTGCACCGAAAGAGAAAAAAGGAATAACAGCCGCATAAAAAACCAAAACATGTAGGGATGCTAAGGTCACAGTCTCACGATTCGGCGATACCCGGTATCCTTGGTGCTTTGATTTCATTTCGTTTTATGCGAATCACATTAAGTACCCCAAGAGTGTTCTTATTCAATTAAAAACGATGAGAAACATGTAGAAACATACTTGGCTAAGAACTCACTCGCTTTTGGTTTTTGTTATAACTATCTTGTTTCATGAGTATGTCCAAAAACGTATAGTATTTCTTCTGAATTTACGTTATTCTTTAAGAAATTAAACCATAAATATTTAACATATAATGATCCTTAAATCTCTGCATTTAAGATATTATTTGAGGTTAATATACCCCAGGAAGCCAGGTAAATCGACACCAAGTTGGCATCCAACCAGCTGGCAATGTTAACCAGCCGCCAAGATTTGTGTTCCACTTTACGAGCCTGCTCCTGCAAATGAAGTTGCAGTGGACATCTAATGAACCTGCGTCTCGGATGAATCTGAATGAAAGGAGAGAGAGGGACCGCTTGAGTTACCGACACACCTGAAATATTCAAGATACTTTATGGCCATGCCGCAGCTGGGCCAGAAGTATGCCAGACATGCCGCAGGCCATCCTTCCCCCTCGTCCTGGTCCCTTCCGCCCATCTAGGTGTAAATTCTGTAGCAGAAAACATTCATTTATGGGACGGGATATAAGGTTGCGCTTTTTGCCGTCAGCTTCATCGCCATCCGTGGCCATCCCTCGACCCTTTTCATTGGGGGATTCCCCCTGGGGCCTTTCAGATTCCTCCGGGGGCTTCTTGCTTCAGTTTTATGAACTTCAGCTGAGCAATTATTAAATATGCAAGCTTTGGCCAGCTTTAAGATAAGCCCAGCGCCAGTTGGGTGGCTAAAAAGTGCGTTTGCCTCCATTTCGGGAAGCCTCTTTGATGTTTTCTTTTTTGGGGGGATTTTTCGGGGCGATGAGGTAAAGTGCAAAAAATGCGGGAGACAGGCAAACAAGCATTAATTGTAACTGTAAATGGTATGAAATGAGCGAGTGAATGACTGACTGAATGAATGGCGGAATGAATGGATGCTTAGTAGCGGCTTGAGCGCCTGAATGACTGAATGGATGACACTCGAGTGGAGCTGCCAGTGGCAGCAGCACTGAAAATTGCGTTAAGTGGATGTCATCTCTGGCCAGCGACAATTTTGATGAACTCAACAAAAACACTTGACAGCGGTGGAGATGGCGAGGGTTTTGGATATTGGGGCTAGAGATTGGGAGGCCGGAGCTGGGGGTGGAGCAGCGCGACGGTCATGCAATAAACGAAATTATGACGCTAAATTGAACACAAAACGTCCAGAGAGTCAAAGAATAGTCCAGGAAAATATAGTTGAGGGCGCAACGGGTTGGGATTGGAACTGGAAACTGGGAACTGGAAACTGGGAACTGGGAATGGGGGTTTCGCTTTCAAAAGCATCACCACCAGCAGCATCCCCATCCCCCGCGACCCGTCACATTTAACGCGCGAATGAACAGCAATCAGCCGACTGGGGGGGATTCTCGAAAAAAGGGACTGTGGGCATGGCTCTGGACTCGGACTGGGATCGGGAGTGGAACTGGGACTGGGAATCGCGGGACTACAACTGGTTGCTCCGCACCGAGGCTGGAGAGGGTCCAATAAAAGTCACGATAGACATGGCCATACGGAAGCGCTATTTTTGGGGCTGCCTTCACACGGGAATGGTCCACGTCCGCCCTGCGAGCGGAAGGTGAGAATTAAGAAATTAGCGTCCACCCAGTACCCATTACCCGGTACCAGTACCATTGCCAGTACCATTACCAGTGCCCATACCCGTGCCCATCAAGCCGCGAGTTGGAGCTGCCAGATGGGAGCTGTTGGAGCTGCTCGTAAATTGCCAGCCGCCGCCACCGCCGCCGCTCACTTTAACTTAATTATATAATTTGTGAGACAGCAGTGCTGGAAAGGGAGACAAACCGACCAACGAAAAGGAAGGAAATATCACAAAAAAATGTTTAATACGAAAAACTTGTGGAAAAATACTCTTTGAAATGCATTCTAAGCTTAATAAAAACATTACATTTTTCAGCATTTATTGTAAAATTAATATCTTTTAAAGTGTTTATGAAGGCATCTATAATATAGATTGTGTAAAATGTCTGGAAACTATTATTCTGATACTCCCTTTACAATTTGTTTAATACTTTAATGTTGTTTCTAAGCAGTTTAAAGTTTCAATAATCATAAAAAATTATATATTAAATCTATAAACCGGTTTCAAAAGTAGTTCAGGGTTACAAGTCAATACGATTTCAGTTTAAATTATTGTTCAGGTTTTTAACATTTCCAACTACATTTGCCAAGAAAATCCTGTTTTGGTCAAGAAGACCAATGTAATGATTGTACAAATGTATTACAAAACCTTTTTTCTGAGAAGACATATTCTGAAATCTAAGAAAACTGAACAACTAAGATACTCTCCACATATACAGGGTATAGAATGAAGCGGGCTCGGTTGCTTTCTGCGGTGCACTGAAAATTAAATGAGCTGAATGCATTTAAGCCCAAATCAGCGCAAGCCGTCGGCTTAGTGACGAGGACAAACCGTGTCTTAAGTGACTCAGCAGGCATCCGGGATCCTGCAGGACGAGCAAGCAACGGGCGTGGCTGGAAAAAAGTAAATAATCCTTTAACCACAAAGCAATTATGCAGCACAGCGGCAAAGGAGACACCACAGACGAGCGACGCGGGCCACAAAACGGCAGCGACAGCGACGGCAACGGCGACGGCGACATCTTGTCAGCCAGTGAAAAATTACCAACCGATGACGGGGGAACGCAGATGCAGGCAGCGAGAGGGTGCTGGGCGGAAAAAAGGGCCAGTAAAAGCCCACAGGTTGCTGGCAGCAAATTACTTAAATGCCAAGCCGAAAAGTCTGGCAAAAGCAGAAGCTTATGTGAAAATTTAAATTGGCGAGGGGTTGACGAGGGCGACGGGGTCGCGGAACTCACACTGCGGTCGAGCTGCAACACAGTGACACATACGAGGGTGGGCAGAGAAATAAGAAAACATTGTATGAAATGCCATAGCTTTTAATTTCGAGTCAGACACTGTTGCAGATTTCTTAATTAATTTATGGCGTACCTACACTTGACAAATGTGCATTGAATGGGTTTTAAAACAATTGTATTACCTTTGATATAAATTCAAGGAAGTATCGGGGCTTATTTAAATTCCTTTGATTCACGGTTGCATTACTCACCCCGAGGGTTATGGAAATAATCCTGTCTGCCTGCTCATCCTTATGCCCATATAGCGGTCAGCTAATTCAGGGATTAATAATAAATTCTGAGCCCAAGAGGGTGTTGTATTTAAGGTGAGATTATCTATGATTTCATGAGTTATGACTGGTTAGGTCTTAGGGGATTTTTTTGATGCATCTGGAATATTCCTCGATTGCTTTGGTGACTCGGAATAAATTAAGTAAATTCGTAATATATGAAACAAACCTAAGTTCAATTTCGCTGTTCCTTTCCCACAGTGCACATGTGAAGCCAACTAGATTCATTGACTCTACATCTAGCTTATCACTACTCACTTACCCCCAGTTAGCCAGTGTCTTTGTCATTTCCCACGATGCTGGGCCTTTTCAAGCTCAGGTTGCACTACCATTGGCCAGCCGGACGGCCATTTGTGCGCTTTCGTTGCAGAGGCTAAGCGCTTTCCTTCAGAGCCAGTAACAGTGCCAGAGCCAGATCAGAGCGCAATTGATGGCCAACTGCTCAGAGCCTTTAACCCGCCTTAGCCGCAACATGACAATTCAGGAGGAGGAGACGAGACGAAAGAAGAAGTAAAGGGAGGAGGACCTATGGCCAGACACAAAATAGGACCCCGCCGGACCCTGTCGAATGTGTCCAGCTGTGTCTGTTTACATGGCAAGAGCTCTTTAGCAACCCGTCTGGGCACTGGTCGTTTTATGTTCTTCTGGTCTCTGGTCTGGTCTCGACTGCGCTTCAATTTGCGCCTCAGACTGGTGTTCCGGAGGAATGGGTCTTGCATGGGGATGGTGGTGAGGTTTCCCTGCGGGCTCGGTCAGCCGGCCAGACCGTTGGACGACCTTTCGACGGGGTCGCGGATTTACATTTGTTGCTGGCCCCGGCGCCAACTCATTCATAAAAACGCACGCAAAGTCAAGCGCTGCAAGTCCCAAGGTTGGCCCTCTGCCTGTGGTTTTTCCACCCCTCACCATCTCCACATTTTTACCAAACTCCCGCCCGCCCTGCACTCGCTCGGTTGCCCTGTGCCCGGGCTTTTGTGCAGTTAAGTGCTTAGTTGCGTGTAACTTTACACTGTTTAACAAACTCACTCGTTCACCACACAGTGAGTCAAAGGAGTTTATGAAAAAACGAATGCTGAAGGGGAGTAAAGGGGTTAGAAATAGGCAGAGTTAGGGTGTTAAAAGTGCAGAGGGACCTCTAGTTTGCAGTAGGGAACTTTCCCCTCTAAAGTAAGTGTGACTTTTTCGTATATGCTAGATGCAAATATAAAGAAACTACACTACTACAAAAGATAGCTGTAATGATAAATAATTAAATTAAATTAGTGCTATAATCTGACATTCTTAAAGTGTTTTGTTTTTAAATACAATATAAATATTATTTCGAATTTTGTTACATTTTTTTTCAGTGCCTAGCAGGACATTTATTAAAGTTAGTTAAGCCAAGAGCTGAGGGTGCGAGTGCGGGTGGGCCCAGAGTTAATTACGATTCCTCTTTACTTTGTTAAACACCTGGATGCCTCGACTGAAATCAAATAAACTTAATGGTGGTCATAAAAGGGAAAAATACATAGGCAACAGAATGTGTAGAAGCCGGTGCAGGTAATGCTGGAGAGTAAAAAACACTCAAGTTGGTTCCGCACAGAAAAAAAAGGGGTAGGAGGAAGTTGGGTAGCCAAGTAAACAAAAGCAAACATTGCGTGCCAAAATTCCGGAAATTTTTAAGAGTCACAGCATGTGTAAGCTGAATTTTTACAAGCAGACACACACACACACCTCCTGCACCCCCCCTTTTGGTCCTTTCCCAAACTTGAAACCCTCTGCGCCATGTTTCCTGTCTAAGTGCTAAATTGAAATTCCAAAATTAAGTAATTTCTCCCAAGGGCAACTTCTGCTGGAAATCTTTACCAAATACTCACAGAGTGGGCGTGGCCGGCAACGCCCCCATAAAAATAGCAACGACTACAACAACTTTAGGAAAATAAACAATAACAACAGCAACAACAAGGCATGCCAATGAGTTGCACTAATAGTTTGTGTGTGGAGGAAGCTGCCTTCGGAGGGCACATAAAAGAAAATCCGAAGCTGTAAGAGAGAACCAACCAACAGCAACCGCATCAACATGAAAACAAGCTGTAAAAATTATAGGGAAATAACAAACGACACACACATAAGTATTCTGTTACGGACATTAAAGCTAACGCCCAGATTGGTTGTAGCTAGTGACTCGCATCATTTAATCCTAAACTAGACAGCCGACATAAAAGTGCCTGGCAGTTGAGAGACATGAGGAATAGAGTGAAATTTGCAACTGGCATAAAGAACCAAATAAAAAGAGCAAAGTTCCTCTACACATAATCTAGGGGAGGTGGCAGGCAGTAGGAGTAGGAATTTAATTACTTTAATATATTTGTCATATTAAAGGGCTCTTATCAACCTCAAGTCATTCGTTTGCAAATCCCCTTTTATTTACAATGCAATCCAAAGAGCCAGCCCCCAACCCTCCCTCTTTTAGTCCTCTGAATGCAAGTCCTTTTTTGGGTTAAGCCAGTGGATCCTTAATTAAAATCGAAATGGCTCTGCAACACTTTCTATGTCTGCTATGTCTTTCAAAATCGAAAGTTTCCCAATTCATTCCGCCTCGTCATTCTACCCACTTTTATTCTGAACATTGTCGCCTTTCCTCGTCCTGTTTCGGTTAACTTCAAGGAGCAGCTACTTCAGCTTCCTCTATATTTTTCAATTTAAATGATGGAGCAGCCAAAAGGAAAAAAACGAAAAGAAGCCAAGACGATAGAAGGAAATGACGCTTCACACTCGAGGGCGGGGGTTCCGGGTTCTGCCTGCCAAAAAATAGGAGAAGAACATGAATTGAGGCAAAAAAGGAAGAAAGGCAAAGGGGGAAACTTAAACACTTCTTGCATTTTTCTTATGGCACGACAACTATTTATTGCCTCGCCCAAGCCCCAGACGAAGCTGTCGAGGATGCCATGTCGTTGCTGTTGTTGCCGATGTTTACTTTTGTAGTGGCAACAACAAAGTTGTTTGATATAGCCGACGGCAGGAGCTTCGTACACCCAAGAAAAAGGCTAGAACTAATTCTTAGGCAAAGAGTGGGGTAATAGGAAATTAGTATTAGTTAAGGATTAGCCAAAGTTAGCGGAATTCTATTCGAGTTTTTTATTGAAAAAGGAAAGCAGCTTTATTTGAATCTTTGCTCAAACGCTTTTCCCCGGTTTATGCTTAATATTCTCAAACTTATAGTTATTGCTTTTTTTTTTTTAATAAATAGTTTAAACTAGAAAAAAATTATAGTTAGAATATGCAAATTTTTTTGTATGCCAACATTTTCCTGAGTGCACCGTACTACAAACCATTTCGGATGTGGACTACGATGATGATGACGTTGGGGGTGGCCAATGATGGTGTCGGGCGATGTGATGATGAAAAATGCACATGTGTTACTAACGGCCCGATTATTTTTATTGTTTATTTACTTTGATTTGGCTCTTTTGCTCTTTGTGTGCTGTTTGCCATCATGTTCATGTTTTTATTTGCCACGACCGGGACCGGACCCGTGGCCATGTTCTTATACGGGTTATTCGGGTTTTGGGTATCGGGTTTTGGGTTTTTTGCTTCTGGGTCTTGGGTTTGGTTTGCGCATTTGTGCGTAACGAATAAATTTAGCAAAATAAATAAGGACAATAATCCCTTTGAATGCATTGCAATTGAGCTTTTTACAGCCATTGACTATGGCCCCCACACACACCCCCGTACACAGATGTACGTACGTGTGGCACTTAACTCAACATTGTTGGCCTGGCTTAGGAAGCTTTTGCCTCTTGGCCAGGATTCCGTGCCGTTTTTGAGGGTGAAAAGACCAAGGTCCATCTGCTAGCCGGCAGATGCCATTCAATTTCTGGATTGATTTGCATTTCAATTCCAAATCAAAATTTTCAATTGCCCGCACACACTCTACATCAATATGTGTGCTAAGTGGCTGCCCATGCATACACACACACTCACACTCGCCTAATTCAATTTGCCGTAGCAAGTGTTGAAAAAATTCATAGCATACTTTATAGCGCTGCTTGACCGAATCGAGTCATCGCACTCATGCCATCCGTACTCGCACTCGCACTCCTCCTATAATTGACAAAAGCTGCGCTCCATGTTCTTCGAAATTTGAAATCAATTTATTTTATATTGAGTTAGCTGGTCCCCATCCACGAAATAGCATTAACCTTTGCCAGCAGCTACATTGTGTAAAATCGAAATCGATACGACAGTGATGCTGAGCGATGGAGGGGCGATCGACGGGGCCTTTCGGCAGCCAGCCAATTGCAGTGTCAGCGCAAAAGTCAGCCACCGAGTACCAGCTTCCCCGGTGCCACAAAACTCACATGCTCTTATTTGTTAAATTAAAAGCTTCTCCAATGCACAGTGGTTATCGGTACAGTTTTAGGATTCATTGTATTCAAATAACAAGCATTGGTTTTTGGGTATTCAGTAACAGCAAAGCCCTAAAATAACTTAATGTTATGTTCATATTGTTTTAAATATACTTAATGTGCTAAGTGTTATTAAAATTTAATTTCAACCAGTGTGCACTGCAGTTGTTATTGCTGTCCGGACGGCGGAATCATCATCCGGCGGCTGCTCATCATCATCGTCATCCTCATCGTCGTCTTCATTGGCCATTATTGGCTCCGGAGCGCACAAGACTTTCAATTAGTTTTATTAGGGTGTTCCAAACATTCCATTGACTCGAAATCAAGGGGTGAGCTTGCGGGGTTGGGGCATGGGGGCTCAGCTGTGGGTTCATTGTTGTTTTCGGCCCGATGCTTCTGTTTGATATTGGCCTTTTGACTTTTATGCTTTTTTTTTCGGGTTTGGCGCAATTTTTGTTTTGTGGTTGCGGCTCCTGCTTTTGGAGAAGGAAGTGTTGGTGCTGGGGGTGTGGGGTGTGGGGGCCTTTTCGGCTGTGCGATTGTTTTTGAGTTTTATTGTAGCTCCGCTTATTGTTGTTTTGGTTGTTAGGCGCATGGTTGCGCAATGCTAACGCACCGAAAATAAGTGAAATATTATTTATAATGCCCGGCCTGTATGTGCGGAAGCATTCACGTTTCATTCATGTTTAAGCAGCAATTATGGGCCACACAATGAGTCAGCGAAAGGGAAATCTTTTGAACTGAAAGAAATTAATATATAAACGTAAATTAAGCAAACTATATAGAATAGGTTTAGCAAACATGAAAACTATAATTTAAATTTATACTTTAAGTCACTGCAAACTAGTCTCAATAATTTCAATCTGTTAGCAAAAACATTTTTAAATTCATGTTCCATTTCTGCTTGTAAAATTACTTATAAATAATTAAGTAATCTCTTTAATCATTCTTTAATAATAGTTTTCAACTTTTTCGAGAAGTTCTGCCAGCCATGCCCGTATTGGTCAACTTTTTGATACTTTTAAAACTGCTGTTTTTTTCAGTCCAAGTTGTAAAAAGTTCCCAAGCTCATTTCATTTTTCTCTAAAGAGCATTTCAGCCCCGCTGTCTTCCCCTCTTCGTCCATCGTTTCCCAGTGCTATAATTTCCACTTTATGACTTTTGTATTGCCAAACGCCGCTGTCCCTGCCCCGAGATCTTGTCCCCTTCGTCTTTGGTTGGTGGTGGCATGTGGGGCAGAGTTGAAGGCAACAAATGTTTTTGACACGACAAGTCTATGGGTCAAATGGGTGAACCCTCCTCGGTGGATGCTTTTATTTTGTTTCTTGTTTTTTTTTTTGCATGATTTTTTATTTTATTTTATTTTTTGTCACTGGCAGCTACTTGAGCTAGAAAAAGTTTCGTGCGAAAAAGTTACGGTGGCCCGAGTCTTGCGAGGATCTCGGTTGCCTTGGCTGCGGGTTCAGCACGGCTGCTTGAACTTCCAAGCCAAGTTAGGACCGAGTCGAGCCTGGCTGATTATTGAAAATGTGGCGACACCGCCGACGGTCCAGTTCGCACATAATTCAGGGCGGAAATATATATTCGGTTGCTGGGAGAGGAAACTTTTTGCCCCAACTTTATTTTTCACTTTTCTTCTCGTTGCAGTTGGAAAGTGAAGGCACAGCTAAATAAGTTGCAATGTAAAGAGCCCTCCGAAAGGACGAACAGGACTTGTCAACGAGCTGTAGAAGCAGCTGCCACTGCAACGATTGACAGGACAAAAACAAAGGACGCCGAGGACTTCCCGCTCGAGTGGCACAAGTTTTCTCGGATTTTTTCCCTCCTCCAAGGCCCCCCGAAAAACGTCAGCAACGGGGCGCAATGTGCTAGCCAAATACCGAAGTCGAAGAATAGAAAATCACTCGCCGAAAAAAACATTGGGATAGCACCAAAAAAAGAAAAGAAAAAAAGAAATAAAAACGTAAAAAAGAGCAAGGACTGCGGTGCAGCATATGTGTATTTCAGTGCGCTTTCTGTGATGCCACAAGGACACAAGGACACTTCAAGTGACAGCAACATTCGCGAGTTTTTCGTTCGCCAAGAGTCTTCCATCTAGGACGCAGCAGGAGCAGGAACAGCAGTATGCGCAAGCACAAAGCGCCGCCCAGCGGCAGTCCAAGGACAATGCCCCAGGACACGGCTTCACAATCGTCAGAGGAGGCAGGAGTCGGGGAGTCCCCCACCAACGGGGAAGCTCCTCTACTGCTGGGCCACCACGCCCCCGCAGATGCCACCGCAACTGCAGCAGCAACAGCAGCTAGTCGCCTGGCCCCGCCCCTCTGTCAGCCTCTCAACATCGGTGGCAGCAGCAGTTCCGCCGGCAAGGAGCGACCGCGTCCCTCCGTCCGGTTCGCCTCCCTGCTGCACGTGGCCAGCTACGTGCTCTGCCTGTGCGCCTTCAGCTTCGCCTTGTACGGCAACGTGCGGCAGACGCGGCTAGAGCAGCGGATGCAGCGCCTCCAGCAGCTGGACGCGCGCATCGTCGAGTTGGAGCTGCGGCTCGAGCAGCAGCAACTGCTCCACTGGCCCGCTGACCAGACGCAGATCCTGGCCAGCAGTTCCGGCGAGAGTGCCAGCAGCAATGGCAGCCAGCATCTGGAGCTGCACGTGCGACGGGAGCTGCATCGTCTGCGTCGGGACGTATCGCACCTGCAGCTCACGCGACGGCAGCAGCGACGCCAGGCAGCGGAGGCGGCGGCAGCGGCCAGCGTTGAAGGTGGATCCGGTAATGGCCAGTGCCAGTGTCAAGCAGGTGAGTCCTTAAAACCATAACCTCTGTTTATTTAAATATTTAAAAATGTATAGAGATAAACTAAGTAAACTTATTGAAGATTTCAAATATCCACCGTAATTATCAAGTTTGTTTCCACTTTGTTAGCCTTAGATCATCCGTCCTTTGAGATTCATTTAAGTGGATGAAACCCGGAATTTGGCTTTAATAAGGCAGCCTGTCGCCACCGCTGACAAGCGTTTCCCTTGCCAACTTATTGGGATCTCCTGTCAATTTGACAGCCACATTGTTGGCCATGAACCGCCTACATTTGCGGTCAGCGCGCAATTGGTCAGAAAATGTCAGACGCAGCCACACAAACATATACACACAATGGTGGTGTGTGTACACCCACCGCCTGCCCACATACGCGGGCAAGTCAACAAGTCGTCGTTGTGACCGTCTATGTAAGCTTATTGTGTCCATGTGTGTATGTGCGTGACGTGTGGGCCACGAAATTTAATTATTTGCGTCCGGGCAAAATTTATGGCAGTTTAGAGATTTCATTAATTGGAAAAGTGTTTTCCCAACCGCCCCACACATAAGCGACGAAAAGCGGGAGCAGTTGGGAGTTGTTGTGAGAGAGTTTGGGTTTTATTGGGAAAAAAAGGTGGCGATGCCTCGCCCTCTTTTGTGAGGATGTTGGCAGGAGCCTCTGTTCTTGCTAATTTTTTTTGGCGAGCTTTTTTCCTGCTTTCATCCGGCTTTTCCTTTGGCTGCCCGTCTCTGGTGACATTACCGAAACTTTGATTACTCGGGGATTAGCAGAGCACTCCCCAGCACACACACTTGCATAAATAAAGGCAAGCACTGAGAGAAATAGTGCTTATATATAGAATAATTTGGTTAATAGTATAATTTTTTATCTCTGAAACAGTGTCAATTCAGGCAAAACTCCTTTACAGCAAAAATAAATTAAAAGTATATTAAAATGTTGAACAAATCCTTCGTTAAACTATATAATATGCAAAGTAACTTAAATATAAATCATAATTTATATACGAAAATCTGTTTTTATGGCGATATACAGCAGCTTCTTTCAGTGCTTGGAGAGTGGGAGCTGAAGCTCATGGCTGCCAGTTCGCCTTGTGGTTTGCATAAATTTCGCTTAAAATACTTTTTGAAAACTTTTGCGACACTCACAACGCACGCTACTCTTGCTGCTGCTGCACAAGTCCTCGCACTCGCCCACGTCCTCGCCCCTGACCTTTGGGAGATGGAGATGGAGATGGCAGATGTGGGTGGGTGGTGGTAGCTACGCCCTTGGAAATGCGCTGCTGCCTGCCAACATTTGCCAGTCTGGTCGTATTAACGCAATTTGTCTTGACATTCGCACAATTAACTCACCCGCTAAGCTGCTGGACAAACTTTGCGGCTAATCCGGAGTCCTTTGCATGCATTGAACTCACGCTGCCCCTAAGGAGGAGCAGCAGCAGGACCAGAAGCATATGACGCATACGCATACGGACCGGGGGACAGTAAACGCCGGGCGCAATTATTTAACAACTTTGCCAATTCCAGCAGGGGAGCCTCCAGACGAGATAGGACAAAAAGTTTTATAATCGATGCGCTCGCAGGTCGAAAGTTTTCCCTCGGTCGAAGTTTCTTTTCAAAGTCACTGCATATAAATAAATTTCTCCCACTCAAAGAGGCAGCCTCATCCCTCGATGCTCCTCCTCGAAGCCGAGGGACTTGATAAGCGCGTGCCAGGCGCCAGGACACAGCCTTTTCACAACTCTAAGCCCTGTACAATAAATCAAAGCAGCTGCGGGACGGTGGCAGGACTTGTCACTTATCCTGCTTATCTGGAGCGTAGACGATGCGGCAAAGTCATCATCGGCAAAGTCTGGGTAGCTCTGCCCGAACATTCCATTCACCAGATATGCAAGCTACCAAATTGTTGTCCTCCCAGGGATCTTGATTGGCTGCAAAGTTCATGTCAAGGACATTGCAGCTGTGGCTGCAAAGCCAAAGGATATGCCGGCGACTGCCGCATTCCGATTAAGTCGATTAGGTTTTCGGTTTTATCGACGTTTTCCCCCAGTTTTGCAGTTTGGAAAATTGATAAAATTAGTGCGCCAGCAGTTGAGAGTGGAATGGAGTGCAATGGCTTCGGAGGAAGCATTAAAAGCAAGCCCACATTTTCAAATGCCAAATGGAAGTGGCTGAACAGTGGAGCTTGAGCTTTTATCAGGCAATTCCGAGTGTGTCTGAAGATGGTCAGTTGAAACAGTAAATAAATATATAAAGGAATAACTATAATATAGAAAATAACTGCAAAATGTTGGGATGCCACTCATGTGCATAACATTATTGTGGATATTAAAGCTTTTAACTTTAATATGTGAAGTCTAGCAGAAACAATCTAAAATGTGTTAGCTGAAAAAAACACACATATGTTAATTGGAATTATAATTATCTCTTCATTTAATCTCCTTAGTTTAGCACTGCAGCTAATAAAATAAAATAAAATAACAATCAGAAAATTCAATTACATCACATTCCCTGTAAAATTAACTTGGTTAGATATGCATAAATCATAGAACGACCAGCTGTGATAAATAAGTAATTTAATTTGCTTTAAGAGAAATTATAAACATTAATCAGGGAAAAAGAATTTATATGAAAACTCTAATGCTCTTGCTCTGAGGAAGAAAGACACTTTTCCGTTGGGAACTGCAGGGAGCTGCAGCTTAATGTTGCCAGCTTTTCGTCCTTCATTTTTTATGAGCATCCTAATTTTTAGCATTCCGAATTTATGACGTTTCCCATGGTGCAGCCACAACACACTCACGAACACACACACTCACTCGGGGACATGGCTTGTCAAACTGCAAATGACATTTGGCCACTTCTCATCTGCTCGCATCCTGATGCATCCAAACGGCTCCGTGGTTCAGAGTTTTCGAGGGTTGAAGCATCGGAGTTTAGGTAACGTTACGGATACACGGGTCCTGGGGTCCAGCTCGGACGGCTGTCCAGCTGAAAACCCTCAATTTATCATTGCCGAGCGCAAAATCCACTTTAGCAGCCAGAGCAGCGAGCTTCGTTGGCTGCGTGTGACATTTTGCAAAGCCAAAATATGTAGAACATGCCACAGAGACACATCCAGATGGACAGGGACGAAGTCGAGGATGGGCATGGGGATGGTACGAGGATGACGACTCCACAACAGACGCTCACCACGTAGCACTCACTCACTCACTCACTCAGAGCGGCAGTTAGGGAAAATGGCATATGAACTATGGAAATTCCCAATTAGGTTTTAATGCGTACAAGTGCTTTTTATTCAGTGCAATTTCTCACAGGGCCACAGACTGGCAGGATGAGTGGCTTCTGGTGTGGCTGCTTCTCTAGGAATTCAGCTCACGATCCGGATCCAGGGTAGAACTGTGGCACAGCCCGCAAACATCCATCCCCCGGTGTTTGTGTCTGTTGCGTTTATTTGCCAGTCATAAATTTCAATCACGTTGCCTTGTCGGGGATAACACCGAGTGGATATACTCCATGTATCAGCTATGCTCGCCTGATTCTCGCCGTTTCCCTGCATATGCTGTTCTGTCTGGTAGCACCTGCCAGCCCCTCATCGACTTTTCTGTCTGCCTGAACCGAGCCAAAAATGTACACATTTAATGCCTTGGGATGGTTTTTAATTTGAAGGAGAGGCTTTGTCTTAAATATTAATACTAAAAGGGTGCCAAGCTGCTCAGACATTCAGACAATAAAGGTGTCAAAAATATTTTATATATATGTTATTGTGTTTAAAATATTATTTAAATTTCTTTAAAGGACTAATTTTTTTTGTTAAATCAGAGGAAGTACACAGTTTCTCCCTGTACATGGACCTGCGGTTGTTTAGGGCGTGTCGAAGCAGCAGGAATGATAAAACGTAACCCTCTATATCCTGGTCCTTCAAGCGTGCCCACAAGGGGCTTGTGTGTGGTTTTCGGACCACACGGCACACCACCGCACCACACCTCGATCCGGAGTGGAACTGGGATTGGGTTCCCAGTATCGATTGTCGCTGTGCATCAATTGATTTCCTTTTCGTTTTCAATTTGCCAGGGACATTTTTGTTTATGCTTCTTCGCCGGCCACCGGTCGCTCGGTCGTTAGTTCGCTGTGTTTGCTTTGTGTTTTGTTGCTCGTGTTTGGCAATTTGTGACTTTGCGTGACTTTTGGCTCACCTGCGTGGCCACCGCGCCTTGATTGCCATTTAAATGGCGCGCTAATAGGCCAATAAACCATTTCGCTGCACAAAGGATATCGGCAACTGAAACCGACACCGAAACAGACCCAGCGCCAGCAGCAGCAGCAGCAGCAACAACAGCAACATTTATTAATTAGTGAGAAAAAATTAATGCGCAACTGTCATCATTACTCCTGCCCCACGGACGCCTGTCTGCTCTGGCGGGGATCGGGATCTGCGGCGGATATGGCCTGGGTCTGATGTTTCCCCCACACATATCCGCACACAGAACACCCTCGTTGACCATCGCTGGCCACATTTGTTGACAAATTTATTTGTCGTGTGCCATGCTGACACGCCCCTGCCGACCATCCCCATCCCCAGCCCCAGCCCCACTTTGTTTTATTTTATTTTATTTGTGGTTCCAGCCATCGCATCGCATCGCCCATCGTTCGTCTATCCCATCGATGTGCGTGGCTCGAGGTTCGGCATTCTTTTGGTGGAGAAAAAATGCTATTAAAAATATCACAAGAGCCCAGGCGAGCAAACTAAAAGAGAGAAATAAAATAAGGCAAAATAAATTCATTGGCAAAACCAAACACAAAAAGAAACAAAGGGAACAGAAATGAATTACCCAGAAGAGGAGGCAAGGAATTTCATAAATTTCATCTGATTGCGTTGCGGATTTATGGGTACGTAGGACTCCGTATAGAACGTCCAGTGTGTGTCGCTCAGCGGAGGCTGACTTTTATTTTTGGCACGTAATGCCACTTTTTTTTTCTCCTTTCCACAT